TCCTTCCCTCCTCCCCTCCTCCCCTCCTCCCCTCCTCCCCTCCTCCCTCTCGTACGTTTCCGACGGATTATCTCGCTACTTCCTTGTGATCAGCATCTAGTCTCGTGACTTTGACCGTCCCAAACATGTGAAAGCCAAGTTGTAGAATGCTTCCAGCTGTACCGTACGTTCCCGCGGAAAGCTGATCCGTAGTGCTCGTCGTCAACTGGCATTTGACATTTGGTGGCTCGGCTTTGCACTCTGGGTAGTATGTATCATCGAGGTCCGTCTTTCCCATTCTTAGGCGCGTTCAGATGAAGCTAACGAGAAGAGAGGTAATTTGGACAAGACGGAGAATGCTAGATGGTTTAATATTTTCGCTGTGATCTTTGAGTTGGTCAGTGCGTATGGGACTGTCGGTCTGTCTCTGGGTGTACCATATGACAATTATTCGTAAGTCTGTGGTGCACATGCCTATATTTTGTATCCCAGTTATCCTTACTCTGACCGTATGTCGCCACATGACCTGATCTTGTCTGTTTTGGCAGACTGAGCTCTTCAGCTCTGGGAATATGAAAGGGGGCCGAAACGTCGTTGTTCAGCTCAGTGAAGAAGCCTTGGTGTAGATGATATGAGCTGATACATAGATTGTGCGGATCATTCAGGACATTGTCGAAATTAGTCGTGATTGCGGTCATGCTCCGTGGACGTCATCGAGGATTGCCAGTGGCGGTGAGTTTCATTCTTGCTCATCCGGTCATCCCTCTGTCAGGTTTCGTCTGGACTATAACAATCTCCTACACACACTTCATCATCTTGGATCTGACTCCATATCTCGCTACGATGAGACTCCGAATATCGTTCTGTCGCATCCTCTTCTCAGGAAGCTTGCAAGTAGCGGACTTTTTATATTTGATGAAGTAGCACAACTAACATCTAGATTGATCGTGCCGTCATGTGTAAGTTCTACCCTCTCTCCCTTTTGCCCTCTTGGCAACTTGTCTTACCTTGTATCATGCTGATTTCCAGTACCAAAAGATTTCACAGAACAAGATGAAATAGCTTTTGAACAAGAACGTTCACGTCGATTATCTCGTCGAACATCTTCCATCCTTCCTGATCCCAATTCTTTCCCTTCGAATCCAAATGGATTCTCCACTACACGTAATCATGTAAGAAGAGGATCAAGAAGTTCTTTCACTTCTGAACCAATCAGAAACCCTTCTGATCCTTTTATCCTTGGTCCAAAAACTTCAGTCTCCATGCCTGTTCCTCATAAACAATCATCTCAAACTCAATTTCTTCAAGGACAAGTTTCACAGCCATCAACACCATTACAATCGTCTCCGTTGGTGATGAATACGGAAAGTCCTTTATCGCGATCTCCTTCCAGACGAGGAAGTGGGGAAAAGGATGTTCATTCTGCTTCAAGACGAGGAAGCGTGGATACTAATATACATCCCTTAAGATGGGAAAGTGCAGAGAGGGAAAATCTTTCTACTTCAAGACGAGGAAGTGCGGATAAAGATAATTCTGGGAATGGGAATAATGAGGAAAAGGATGAGAATAATTTTGAGAAAGAGAGAGGTCGGATAAATGGGATGGAAAGAGATAGATTAAGATCAACAATGCTCACTCCTGTTCATGAAGGTCAAAGTGATATGTCTAGGGAACCTACACAAGTGTGAGAGATATAAATGATAAATAGTTGTATTATTTCAATTAGGTGTAAACGTATGGCATGGCATTGCATTCAATTCTTTGTCATATTGACCATTCTATGACATTGACCATCGACTGAGTGTTTCCATCAACACACTGATTTTATTTCTTTATTCTACTCTCCTTCTTTTCTTTCCAACTCAACAACATATTCGGAAGTACAGTATAAATACCTCACCTCAACTTGAAACCTTCTTCCACCCCATTCCTCATTTGTTTAATAGCACCCTCTGCATCCTTCGCACCGAACACAGCTGTACCAGCAACCAAAACGTTCGATCCCGCTTTCCCACATTGACAAGCATTACCAGGTCCTACTCCCCCATCTACTTGAATATTCTTATCCGGAAACCTGTTACGTAGATCCGATACTTTCTCTAAACATTCAGGAATAAATTTTTGACCTCCTCTACCTGGTCGGACGGTCATGACTAATAAATGATCGGCTTTTGAACCTATGGAGGAAGTGATGACTGATGATGGTGTTTCTGGTGAGATTGCAATTCCAGCTAAAAGGTTGTGAGAATGAATGAGATCTATTACTTGTTCTGGGTTCGCTAAGTGATCAGTTCATCTTCTTCGTCGTCGAATATCACCCCAGAGCGATCTTATTACAGGATCGTACAAGTTTGAGGATTCGTTAAGACCGTGTGGAGATTTTGTGTATACCGTCTGACGAAAGAACCCCCTGGACTAACACATGGTCTCTAAGGTTTGGAAGGTGGTATACACGTGGGCAACGAAAAATAAAAAGAAGGATAAATGGGTAAACCACCCTTCATCCGTCTTAGATCAAAATCAGACGATTATGGAGAAACTGATTTATCTTACAAGAGACAGAGGGTATCTTACAAGAGACAGAGAGGGAGAGGAGGGAGGGATGAGGGAATTAAAACCCACAAGTAGCTTCATAATGAAAAGTATACAATTTCCCACCTGCTTTAGCTATCTCCGGTACCCATTTTTCAGGATCAGAAACCATCATATGACAATCCATAAAGATATCAGGAACGTTATCCCTTACGCAACTTATGATAGGAGCACCAAGTGTGATGTTGGGTACGAAATGACTATCATCAATTTGAACTCCTTTTGAGATAGGAGGTCGAGGAGAGGGACTTACCCATCCATCACATCTGACATTAGCTCCTTCAATCATCAACCCCTTCATTCTTATCATTCAATACCACGACCAGTGCTGTTTTGTGGGATATTAGGGGTGGTATACGGTGAGAAGATAATGACATATGGAATGTAGATGGGTGGAAGGAGATTAGGAGAAGTACCCACCCATGTGAAGCCAATCGGCCCCTCCTGCTAACATACGCTTACATTCCGCCGCGAGGTTTGAGAGGTCGCTCTGTTCTTTTAGCTTTCGTCTAAGTTGAGAGGGATACGACTTACGGCTAAGACAGAAGGAGCGATGATAGGTTGAGGAACTGATGTTTGGTCTGACATGGTCAATGTGGCTTGCTAGGGAATGTGGACGGAAGAGAGAGAAAGGTAAAGTATCTATGATAGGCAGCGATCGCCGGTGTGGCAGTTGTGGCACTATACGCAATGTGGCAAATGTGTATAGTACGCGGGTTGAAACGGCGGCCAGGTTCTTGTTGTCACGGCCGTCGAGCAACTTCTTCCTTATAGACCGACGGTCGACGAACCTCGGCTAACTTCACGCTTCTGAGTCGATGTCTCACCCAACCAGGAGGGCGCAGACGTCGAAAGGAGTGTAACTACGGCGTACTTCGGCGTAGTTACTCTAACTAAGGCTTTGTTCTATTGATGGCGATGTATCTCGATGTATAGCTATCTCTATTTGTCTTTTACTACTGACAACAATCAAGGATCGCTGAAGAAGTTCAGCGATCTGTAAACTATCTATACTACTCCTCTCTTCTCATAGAACGTCCCTCAACTCCTGCACTGCCTCACGCTCAGTCCTCTTCGTTCAACTTTGCCGTACCTCGCCGTATCCCCGATATCCTACTCCGCTCACCTCGACTAACTTCGCCTAACTTCCCCTGTTCTGCTCTCCCTCGGTTCCCTTCCCCTAACTTCGCCGTAGTTCTCCGCTAGGCGGGGTTATCGTGACAAATACCCTCTTGGTTCTCGTAACTTCGCCGTAGTTGGTCTCAGTGGTTCGAGTGGAGGTTGGTGGTGGTGAAAAGGAAGGTCGGTGATGGTGAAAGGAGGGTCGGTGATGGTGGTTGTCAGGGATGTTACGACGTAGTTCGTGACAGTCGCCCCCTCCTTAGGCGCGAACGTCCTCGTGAGCTTTGTATGCATGTAATGAAGAAAAGGACACTCAGCAGGTTACAGGAAACACAATTGGTCATATAACAGTTGTTGGTAGATGATACCATGGTTCGTTGTTAAACGGACAGTAAACTTCGTCGAAGTTCATCGTGGTTGCTTGTTGTTACCCTGTGGTAGTTACCTTGTAAGTGAGACAGAGGATTTGGGGTACAACAAACCTCGTCGACGTTCGTCAGCGTATCCCTAACTTATCTGAATGTGAGACACGTAGCGTGGGAATTTTGATCGTCGTCATGGTGTTTGTTGTTGCTGAGACACCTTGTTATGCGAAGTTACCAGCGCCCTGACGACGAGTAGCCATGTCAGTTATACTAAATACTCAGTACTTCGGCCCACTTCTTCTTCTTTCCCAGGACTAATCCTAAATCGTACTATCATCGTCTATCGATTTCCAGTCTTTACCTTACCAAACATATCAATTTGATATATTTCAACAAAATGTCTTCTCGTCCGGAGCTCAATGCCCATAAATTTTTTGCAGATCGCTTCGCCGCTGTCCGTAAGTCTACTTGTACTCTCTATAAGCTACTCTGTCGCTGATTGTCCTAGTCGCTCAGCAGGGGAACTCTCCCCGCCAAGTGTCGTCTATGGGCTTTGGAGCCTTAGCCATCACCGATGGCTCGCCTTCTGCTGCTGCAGCTTCCGCTGCAGTTCCTTCTGCCCCCGCGTCCCCTGCTGCGGTTACGACCCCTCTCTCCTCTGGCCAACAGGAGGTCAGACCTGCTCCTGTTGGCCCTTTGCAAGCTTCGGGTCAGTCCGCTACTGTGGTGGAAATCGACGATGATGATGAAGAGATGGATGGTGATGAGGAGGTGGTTGGTGTTCGTCGTGGCGAAGAGACGGGTGTGTTGGTTGATGATGGTGAGACGGGTGGTGCAGATGATGATGATGAGATGGGTGAGGTCGATGAAGATGAGGAAATCCTCAGTGTTGATCTCGGTGATCCGGCGCTGTTTGAGGATAGAGAACCTTGGGTGTCAGAGTTGGAAAAGTTAAGCCGTATGTCCTCTTGTCATATACCCTGCTCGTAAGTGCTGACATGTAGCTGTTCGTGATAATGAGGGGTCTCCCGAATTCCGCGTACGGCTCCAGACTTCTTTCGGGAAGAAACGGGTTGCGTATCAGGAGAAGATGGATACTCTGGCTGAGATTAAAGCCGAGAAACGTCGCCGTTCCCCTTCCGCCCACGACGAAGTAACCCCTCCTTCGGCGAAACGGGTCAAAGAGACCCCTCGATCCACTACAGGACAGGCTGGATTGTTTCCCTCCCCTTCCCACGAGCCAGGGAGTGCTCGCAAGGCATCGTTGCGAGAGCAGGATAGGCTATGGAGGTTGTTTATCGATGAAAGGGAGCGATGGGAGGTCGCCAGTATCGATGAGTCGTGTGATAGATGTCGGTAGGTTCCTTCCCTAGAAGTTTATACATCTGCTGATCAGTAGCCGTGAAATTATCACGTATGGGAGAGCGAAATGGCCGTGTCTACGACCGGTCAAACCTCATAATCGCGGGTCCCGTTGTGCTTCTTGCACTTCTGGCTCCTGCTCGTTCTGTCCCCCCAACACCGCTCGGGATATTCCTCCTAGACCTTCTGCTCCCCCCGGTCCCCCCTACACTCCGTCCGCCGCTGTTCGCCGCCGTCTCCCCACAGCCCAAGACGGGGACTATCCTTCGCGCTCTCCTTCGGCGAACTTCTCCTCTCCCGGCCCCATCTCGCCGTCACCCGCCGTCCGTCGCCCGCCTAACTCTCCCGTGGCCGGACCGTCTCGTCTCCCTGCTACTCCTTCTGCAGGTTCGTCTCGTCGCGCGCCTCGCCGTGCTCCCTCTGCCTCCCTCCAGCCCTCAACACCTGTGGCTGGCCCATCTCGTCTCCCGGCTACTCCTTCTGCCGGTCCGTCTCGTTCCACCAGGAGCCGTCCTACTCCTGCGTCAACCCAAGAGGAGTCTTCCCTAAGTCTCCCTCCTGCCCTTGGGACCCGAAGCCGTCAACCATCTGCTCCTCCTGCTTCTGGGCTCTCAACTCCTGCACCTCCTGTGAAAACTCCTCCGAAATCTTCGAAAGAGAAAGGCAAGAAGAAGAAAGCTGTCCAGTTCGAACCGGCTGTGGTGGAAAACGAAAGTACTCAGCTACCAGAGGAAATCCCTCCTTCCCTCGACCACCCCACTATTGCTATCGACCCTCGGATACCAGAGGAAGACAAACAGCTAGCCACCTTTCGCTCCGTCATTATTGGTTTAACCACTCAATTACAAGCCAATAGACGAGATACGGCGAAGCTCGTCGAATATTGCGTGAAGTTGGTCTCCGCGATGAATACTCTCTCTCGGACAATGGCAACCCTTGTGAACTCCTCCGACATAGGGCCATTAGGGCGAACTGAGTTAGCTAGAGTCTCCCGAGAGCTCACAACGGACATGAGCGACTTCTTCCGCAATCTCTTCGGCTCTCCTTACCTCCTGAACCCCACTGAGTACATGCTCCCCCCTACACTGGACTGGTTAAAACCATCTCAACCAGCTCGACTCAGTTCTCAGGATGGTGCTTTCCTCGATATCCTGACTCTTCCTGCAGACTGTCTTAGAACGCTTCGTCAGTTGTGGAAGTCACCCAGTCTGAACCTCGCTCGTGATCCTGCCCTCCATGCTGCTCACATTCAGGCCTTTAACACGGCATGGAAGGAGACTCGATCACTTCGGCGGGTAGTATCATCGAAGGGTACGGAGAATAGTTCTGGAGATGGTCCTGCACCGGGGAATGGAGAACAAGGAGGAAGTTCGCAGCAGTGAGTTGTACTTAGCTAATGTTGTATCCAATGTATGAACTACTTCCTCGTCCGTGACCTTACTACTCGTCCTTTCTTCGGTTTATCAGGGTGAAGTTCGTGGAACTTCGCCAATATGTCGTTAGCTCCGTCCACATTCTCTGCCGGTTCCCATGATACTGAATCATCCGTCCCTTCGTAACCTAACCATTCTACTAAGTACTCTAACTTTCCTGTTCTTTTATTTACTCTAGAGTCTACGATGTCCTTCACCTCCCACGACTCTCCTACGTTATCTACTTCCACTGGGCCAGGTGGTTCAGCTCGCTGACCAGGAAATACTGGAGGGTGATACGGACGGAGCAAGGAGACATGGAATACATCATGGATACCTGCCATCGTTCCCGGTAATTCCAGTTTACAAGCGTGAGAACCTACCTGCCGTACTACCTTGTACGGCCCACTTTGCTTAACATCCAACTTCTTCATTGGTCTCTTAGTCTTAATATTCTCCAAGGACAACATAACTAGGTCACCTTCCACGAAGTTCGGCGTAGTTCGGTGTTTCCTATTGTATCCTTCGGCGTACTTCTCGTTAGCTCTCTCGATCCCCTCAATACATTCTTTGTGTATTTCGGTTAAGTCTTTTACCGCTACTGTAGCAGCAGGTACCTCAACCTCACTGGTCTTAATCTCTTCAGCCCACCGAGGGTGGTACCCATAGTTCGCATAAAACGGTGTCTTGTTTATCGCAGAATGGTGGGTGTTGTTATAAGCGAAGCTCGCTCGAGCAAGCAGCTTTGACCAGTCGTTTTGCTGATAAGAAGTGAAGATTCTAAGGTATAGTTCGAGGGATTGATTTGTTCGTTCAGTCTGTCCATCAGTCTGTGGATGATACGCAGTAGAGAGATGTAGTCTTATCCCGAGACTATCGGTCAAGTTCTTCCAAAACTTCGAGGTAAACTTCGATCCCCTGTCCGACACTATGTTCTCCGGTAACCCATGCTGAGCCACCACATAGTCCATTATCAGCTCTGATAGCCCAGCTGCGGTCAACTTCGTCGTAGTTGGGATAAAAACCGCCCATTTGGTCAATCGGTCCACTACTACCAGTATCGAATTATACCCATGGGAATTCGGGAGTTCTTCAATAAAATCCATCGAGATACTGGACCAAGGTTTCGTAGCCACCTCCAGCGGTTTAAGCTCTCCATGAGGTTTCTGCCTGTTAGTCTTTGCTCTCTGACATACCGCGCATCCAGCAACATAATCTTCGACATCCTTCCTTACTCCAACCCAGACATAATCCCTCAGGACTAGTTCAAGGGTCTTCGCCGAACCTGGATGACCGGCCAAGGCTGAGTCATGTCGCATCTTCATGATTTTTAGCCGAGCGTTGGCGTGGTTTGGCACATAAGTACGATCATCGAACGTGAGGAACCCCCTTGAGTTCCAACCTCCACGAAGTATTAGGGGGGACCGCGAACTACGGCGTAACTCGGCGACCGACTCTGGTTCCTGTACGTCATCTTGACATGTCGGATGAGAGCACTCAGCACAGGTTACCCCCAATAGTTCTTTCCTAACCTCCTCCACCTCTTCGTCCTCCTGTATTCCAATTATCAAATCCATAGGATCAATGAGGTCGTTTTCCCGTACTTCCTTTGTACCCTGTAAAGCTCGAAGTAGGTGCTGTAACCCAGAGCTAGTGTCATCAAGTTTGTCGAACTTCGGCAAACCTTGAATAAGATTGCTCTCCTGCACCATGGTACTCCCTTTTCCCGAGTGGTAGTCTGCTCTTCTAGACAGTCCGTCCGGCAGTGTGGCTTGTTTTCCTGGTCGGTACACCATTTTGAACCTGAAATTAGAGAGCTCTTCGACCCACCTACCCTGCCTAGGGCTAAGTTGTTTAGGTTCCATCCAATACGTCAAATTCAAATGATCTGTGAGAACTGTAGTCTCTACCTGTAGTAGTAAGTGTCTCCTTCTCCTGAAGGCTTCAACGATAGCTAGTAACTCCTTTTCGCCTACCGTGTAGTTCAACTGCGCCGCCTGAAACGCTCCGGACTCGATAGCCACCGGGTGTTCTTGTCCCAACTCGTTCACCTGCGAAATTATGAAACCCCAGCCGAAGAACGACGCATCTGTTTGTAGTAGCGTCTTCAACGAGGGATCAAAGTGAGCCAATACTGGGGCCCTACACATCCTCTCCTTTAATTCCTTAAAAGCTCTTTCCTGTTCTACTCCCCAAACAAACGGTACATCCTTCCTGGTGAGATCATTGATCGGTTTAGCAATTCTGGAGAAGTTGGGGACAAAACGCCGATAATAACTGACAACTCCCATAAATCCTCTGCTCTCTCGCAAGTTCTTAGGGCGAGGGAAAGATACGACAGCATCGATGTATTCCGGATTACTAGAAATCCCTTCTCGCGAAACCACGAACCCCAGGAAGACTACCGAATCTCTTTCAAACTCGCACTTACTTGCTTTTACGAACAAATTCGACCTTCGAAGCACTTCGAACACCTTCGCCGTAGTTCCTCTTAGTTCCTCCAATGTTTGACCGTAGATGAGTATATCATCTATGTAGACAACTACTCCTTTACCCAGCAGCTCTCGAAAACTTTCATTCAAGAAGTGCTGAAACACAGCAGGAGCATTTCGTAGACCGTCTCGGACAACAAGAGACTCGAACATACCGTACTGAGTCCTGAACGCTGTCAGGTGTTCGTGTCCTTCCTTTACTCGTAGGAGTTGATAAGCCCCAATCAGATCTAACTTGCTGAAATACCTCGCTTTCCCTAGTTCTTCGGTTATCTGGCCGATCAGAGGCAGCGGATAGGCGTCGGGTATCGTTGCCTCGTTCAACTTTCGGTAATCAATGACCATTCGCCATTGACCTTTTGCTTTCTTCGGTACCAAGAACATCGGTGATCCGTAGGGCGAATTACTGGGTCGAACTCTTCCGGCCGATATTTCGCGATCTAGGATGTCTCTCAGCGCACTTCTCTGATCTTCTCCAAGCGAGTAGAGTGGAGCAACCTTCAGGTTCGCCCCCTCCTTAAGATCAAACTCCAGATCATAGCCCCTCGAGGGAGGTAATTCTTCACCTCCCTTCCTTGGGTTAAAAACATCAATGAACGAGTGATATTGTTCAGGAACCACCTGATACAATTCCTCCTGTTCCTCCGGACTCAGTTCATCCTGGTCATCTTTGTCTCGGAGATCTATCGCGTCCGTCGGAGTCGGCAGCCCTATGGCCGCTAACTTCGCCGCACTTGGTGGGGTTGGGATGGGAAATTTCACCGAGTTGTCTCTTCCATCAAGGACAACCCCTTCCTTCCTCATCCAGTCCCACCCTATCACAACATCTGCGTCGCAGAGCGTCGTTACATCGAGACAAATAGACCGCACTTCGGCGTCCTTCGTCAAACTAAATCCGACTTCGATAAACTCGGTGATGGGTCCAGCGACACTCACCGAGCCGTCGAACATGTGAACGGGTACGCTCACCTGATATCGCCTCTTTTCTACACCTATCTTCGCTGCTGCCCTAGGGCTTATATATGAACAAGTAGCTCCAGTGTCCCAGAGCGTAGTTAGCTTTATTCCATTAATGAAAATGTCCGATTTAGGTTGATCTCTGGAAACGGAAGGGATGGGGAGATGATTATCGACATTGCATGAACAAGGGGTACTGAGTGGTGTATTTCTGTATTCACAATCCTCTGGCTCCATCAGCTGTGTTTCTTTTATGGGTTTGGGAATGGTGGCCGAGAGAATATGGCGGACCCGCCGAGCCTCGCCTACTGCGACAGGTCCTCTTCTTTTCCCTGGTCCTCTTCCAAATCTACTTCTCCTCCAACCGCATTCAAGTTCCTCCTCTGTCCGAGAGGTACTGCGTTCCCTCCCGATCCTCCACCACGTTCTCCGAACTTCTCCCCCCATGGAGGCAACAGTCCAACCTTAACCTTAGCCTCCCTTACAGGACATTCCTTCAGCCAATGTCCTGTTTCACCACACTCCGTACACTTCCCCTCTTTCCTCCTTGTCTCCCTCAGGTCGGCGTTCGGCCTAGGCCATTTTCGGCGAACTTCGTCGATGTTCGGCGGCGGACTCCTTACCACCGTGGACGTCATGGCCGCTTGGACACCAACTTGCGCCGAAGGTTGTCCCTTTTCCCACTTCTTCTCTTCTTTCTTCTCCGTCCTCTGACTCTCTACCACTGTTGTTGTCTTTGTCCCTCCTTCCCTCCTCCTCTCTGCCTCCTTCTCCACTTGTCTCCTCCACAGGCGGTTGTCCAAGGGAATTACAAACTCCAATAGCTCCTTCACAGTCCCAAACGATCTGCCATGTCTTGCAATTTCATCCAGGAGGTGCGATTTTAAACCTTTCTTAGCCCGATCGACCAAGTTTCCGTCATCAGACCACTTGAGTATCGCCACATGTCGCTGAAAGGCAGAGAAGTAATCCGAAGCAGACCCGGTTTGTTTGAGATCATTGAGCTGTCGGGCTGCAGTTCCTTCTTTGTCTGGGTCGCCGAAGTTAGTCTTGAGATACTTGACGAACTGGTTGTGCGCCGTGAGGTATTCCGGGAGAGGCCTTTTCGATAGATCGGGTTGAACGGCAAGAAGGGGAGTTTCGCGTAAGTGAGAGATCATGAAAAAGACCTTTTTAGTGTCGTCGGGGAAAAGGTGAGAGTTTAACTCGAAATGTACGTCGCACTCAGACAGAAAAGCGGTTAACTTGTTCCGCTCTCCTCTCCAGAAATCCGGGTTAGGCAACTTTATCCCCTTCCTTTGTTCCCCAACTACGCTTGGAGTCGCCGAAGTTTGCCGTCCCATGGCGTACCTCACCCCTTCTGATATCCCTTCTGCAATTCCCCCCACTGTCTCCCTTTTCCTTCTTTGCTCCCACTCCTCCCTACGCCTCCTCTCCTCCATCATATCCTTGTTCATATTTGCCACCATCTGCACCAAGGCTAACATCACCCCTTGAGTCCCTCCTTCTCCGAAGTTCGTCCCACTTCCAGTGTTTTCTGGCCGTGGGGTTTGATCCGATCCCATTGGGGATCCAATAGGTGGGAGAATATCGGCCATAGGTGTAGGAGGATTAGAAGGTACTGGTGGAACGGACTCATCTCCTTGAACTGACCCCCCTACGCTATCTTCCACCCCAAGGTCCTGTCCCATCGCTCTTCTAAGCTCCTCCAATGCTCTCCTCTCATTATCCTCCATCCTGTCTTCACCCCTACTCATGCCTCGCGTAATTCTCCTTTCCGGTTCCATATTATCTTCGTACTTCTCCGAGGTTCGCACGGGTCGTCGGTAAGAGCGATCCTTGATACTGTCACGGCCGTCGAGCAACTTCTTCCTTATAGACCGACGGTCGACGAACCTCGGCTAACTTCACGCTTCTGAGTCGATGTCTCACCCAACCAGGAGGGCGCAGACGTCGAAAGGAGTGTAACTACGGCGTACTTCGGCGTAGTTACTCTAACTAAGGCTTTGTTCTATTGATGGCGATGTATCTCGATGTATAGCTATCTCTATTTGTCTTTTACTACTGACAACAATCAAGGATCGCTGAAGAAGTTCAGCGATCTGTAAACTATCTATACTACTCCTCTCTTCTCATAGAACGTCCCTCAACTCCTGCACTGCCTCACGCTCAGTCCTCTTCGTTCAACTTTGCCGTACCTCGCCGTATCCCCGATATCCTACTCCGCTCACCTCGACTAACTTCGCCTAACTTCCCCTGTTCTGCTCTCCCTCGGTTCCCTTCCCCTAACTTCGCCGTAGTTCTCCGCTAGGCGGGGTTATCGTGACAAATACCCTCTTGGTTCTCGTAACTTCGCCGTAGTTGGTCTCAGTGGTTCGAGTGGAGGTTGGTGGTGGTGAAAAGGAAGGTCGGTGATGGTGAAAGGAGGGTCGGTGATGGTGGTTGTCAGGGATGTTACGACGTAGTTCGTGACACTTGTCATGAACCGGGTAGGGAGTCCTTGATCATAAAAACCTTCCTATAAGTCTCAATATCAATTGTGCCCAGAAGAATCGATCACCCTATAATTAATCACTGTTCGGGACAGGTCTCACCGTGTATGATTGTTGACTGAGCTTTGCATACAGGTTGTCAGATCTACTCCAATCAGTTGTCCTCGGTCGAGGAACAGGTCATACCGGAAAACATGCTTGTTACTCGAAATGTGGTGGAATGCACCTCTCTTTTTGTTGCTAGGAATAACCTCAGTCCCAAGAAAGCGACTAACTGATATGATTGACAGGTTATTAGCTGGGGTGAACATATAAGAGAGGTTAAGTCAATATATCATCTCACCCTCAAAGACTGTGCATGATCCATGATTCCTGTACGTGCTTCTAACCACTCTACCTCACTAGTCAAACTCGAACTCGAACTCGTTAACATCAGCGCTCCGTACCTTTCACCTGATCTTCCAAAAGTGAACGGGATGATAGTAAATCATATTCTGAATGGATCAGGCACGACTGACTGTGTTGAGGACACAATTTGTTTGTTTCGCTCCCAACATCTTGGAAGGAATCGTCACTGAATCCGACTTCATGATCAGTACGAGGAGTAGTCCCCTTTTTGATTTCGTCTCCTGTGACCGAATGGAGGAGGGAATCACCACACTTTCGTTGCGATCGTGTGGCCATGTTCACCCCTTTAGCCGCATCTTCTGTTCGATCCTCGTCCTCAGTTCCATCCGCCCTCTGCGTTTGTGTGGCTGTATGCGAAGGGTGGCGAGTGATAGAGGTGCCTGTCTTGAAGGGTGAGAAGAGATAGGTGCCGAAAATTTGCTGGAATTTTAAACCGGTAGCGTCGGCAATATAGTTAACAGCCCCTTGGAACGAAGCAGTGATGGAAGACATGATGTTAGCCGATAGAATCGGGCCAGGACGGCCGAACCGCCGTTAGATAATTACCCCTTCCGTCGAATATTTCTCCGTTCAACTTATCCTCTGAACTTTATTCGATCGTCTCTGGTTTTATGCGTGTGAGTGGAATGTGATAAGTATAGAGACATGTAGAATTGATGCATGCTCTTTTTCCCCCCTGTATTACCATCTAATTATCAGCAATCAGATTAACAGTCGGAAGTCCACTTACCTCTGTGTATAATAAAGGCAAGTTCCACTTCTACTCTCCCCTCATAATGTCCTCAGTGTCGACTAAGATTTCGTTTGAGAATCTCCCTAAGTTATCCTACGATCCATCAACGTATGCTTCGTGGAGGAAGGCGATCGAGGTGTATCTACAGATAGGCGATGTATGGAATGTCGTCTCAGGTATTGATACCGAACCTGGTCGCGAAGGGGTTAGGCCGGCAACAGAGAGGGCGGGATCAGTACCTCCTACCACGTCCGTCGAAGGACAAGCGGTTGGTAGAAGGATTACTGGAGAAGAGTTGAAAGAGTGGGAAAAGTGGCAAGCGAGGGAGAATAAAGCGCAAGGGATGATCAAGGGAACAGTGACGGAAGCTGTAATGCTTGATTTATCTGAGAAGATGTCAGCTAAAGAAATGTGGGAGTACTGCTTGAAAATGCACGTAACAGCCACGAACGAGAATCAGAGGAATGTCCGTCAAGCATTGTTTAGCTATGACTTGAGGGAAGATGCGACGGCCGAAGAAATGGCTAAGCATGTAGAGGATTTCTCGAAGACAATGGCTGAAGCGAAGTTGGTGGGATTGATCTTTGACTCACAGGCTCGAGCAGGTTTATTCCTCAATACCATCCTAGCACCAGCATACAGGATCATCCACGTAGAACTAATGTCGGTACCCGAAAAGGAAAGGACATGGGACAAAGTATTGTCGATCTTTAACGCAGAAACGGCGAGACGTAAAGCGCGCCCTGTTGGTAGGACCAATAGAAAGGGATTCGCGATGTTCGCCGAAAGGGATAAAGGAATGAGGGTGAACCGAGATAATATCTCTGATGGTCAGCCCAGAAAAGAAACTAGGAAGTGTTATAATTGTGACACTATAGGACATCTAGCGAAGTACTGTCGTAAACCTAAAAGAGAGGATACGAACAGGAAAGAAAACGCAGATGTAAAGGATGGAGGTAAAAAGAAATGGAGGAATAATAAGAATAATAAGAAAGGACATACGGTCTCGAAGGATGAGAACCAGTCCAAGGATAACTCCAAAACCTCCTTGATGTATTCGTCATTGGATGGTGAACACGAGGCATGGGCCGGGATGGCCATGTCGACAGAATCGTGGTTCGATGATGACGAAGGGTACACGAGTAACATCGTATGGCCCGAAGAAATTGAAAACCCGTGGGTTGAGGATAATGAGTGGGTGGGATTAGCTACAGAGTCTAATGACGTGAGCCACACTCGTGTAATCCCCACCTGGGTAGTGGATAGTGGTGCTACTCACCATATAACTCCTCACAGGTCGATAATGACGAATATTAAAAGGCTAGTGGAACCGAGAGTGTTCGGACTAGCATCTGGCAAGTCAATGACGGCTTGGGAAACAGGTGACATTAACCTCGAACTAGATTCAGGACAGAAAATGGTACTGAAAGATGTACATCACGTCCCCACAGCAAAGATAAGTCTTCTCTCCCTCTCGAAGTTACTCTCATGGGGGTGGAAAGCGAATCTAAGTAGTGGTGGTGGATGGATAGGTAAAGGTAAAGAGAAACTAGGTTTGAGGAAACATGACTCACTTTGGTCGGTACGATTCGGCAGAGCAATGTCTGCTGCGATGATCGTGATATCGACACCGAAGGCGACTTCACCACTTGAATCTGAGCATCAGCGACTCGGACATATAGGTGTAGGTAAACTAAAGAATCTAGGTAGACAGGGACTATTGAAGAAGGACTGGGACACTTACAAGAATGATCCCTTTACAACTGATAAATGTCCCGCCTGTATGCAGGCCAAGATAACACGTCTACCGAAGAATAAAGAAGCACCAATGTTAAAAGGAGATGGTGAAGGAGTAGGAATGGATGTTGATATTACTGGTCCGTTCGGTCCGGCTATAAAAGGTGAACGATATTTCTTCGTTGGTGTGGAAAGGGCGAGTCGAATTGTATTCGCTATACCAATAACGACGAAGAACGAAGCGTCTGATATCGTTCGACAGTGTATTTCGAAATTGGAGAAACAGCTTGGTGAGAGGGTGAGGGTGATCAGGTCTGATGGGGGAGGTGAATTCGACAGTCTCGATATGAGGGAATTCTACCTGTCAGCAGGGATCAACCACTACATCACACCGAGATACACACCAGAATTAAATGGAGTGGCGGAAAGAATGATACGTACCTTGAAGGGGATGGTATCAACGATGTTGTTCGACTCAGGACTACCGAACGAATATTGGTCCTATGCTGTCAGATACACCGCCATTATAATTATGAAAACATCGATTGGTGTCAGTGGTAAATCAGGTTGGACATCACTCACAGGAAGAGACACGAATCTAGATAGCGTGTGGAGATTCGGTGAACGATGTTTCGTTCAGATACCGAGGGAGATAAGGCTAAAGTCGAACTTCACGATACCTAGGGGTTCATCAGCCATTATACTAGGTCAAGATGAGGGTGTGAGCGGTTGGATCGTTAGAATGGACGGATCGGGACGAATCGAACACTCACGAGACGTTCGTCGCTCGACAGGACAAATGGTGACTACTAGAGAGTCGCCCGATGTCATCCAAACCCCTCTCGACGCCATCGAAGTAGACCTAAACCCCGTTGTCAACGAAGAAATTTTCCCTGACGACCGCTCAGAAAGTGGCGAACAGGAAAATATCGATAATGAACAAGGAAATGATGTCGACAGAGACAACTCACCTAATACAGGTCCACAACCTACTGAAAGACGACGTGGACAGGGCATTTGGGGAGGAAATTGGGTCTATGAGAACGATATCGTCGAAAATGAGAGAAATGATGAGGAAGGAAGAAATGATGGGGAAGAGGGGATCGTGACGACACGTCACGGACGAATTATTCGACCCCCCCACCGTTTCGCAGGCCTAACAGACTCGTTCCTAGATTTCGGTCGCGAGCCTAATAAGTTAGTCTCACTCGCCTCTATCGCAGGTATCGAAAGTGATACTTCTCTCATTGATCCTATCTCTCCTGAAGAAGCAGTAAACGGCCCAGATGGTGAGAAGTGGCTAGAATCCATGGAGAAGGAGATATCCAACATAGAATCTAAGGATACATGGGTGGAGACGGTACTTCCACCGGGACGAAAAGCCATTGGATGTAAATGGGTATTCAAAGTGAAGACAGATTCTGAGGGAAACTTACTAAAGTACAAGTCACGACTAGTAGCTCAAGGTTTCTCACAGATACCAGGTGTCGACTACGAAGAGACATTCGCACCTGTAGGTAGATCGGGGTCGTTGCGAATACTCTTGACTATAGCAGCAACTGAAGATCTTGAAATTCGTCAGGCCGATGTCGAAGGGGCGTATTTAAACGGTAAACTCGATGTCAAAATTTACATGAAGTATCCCAAGGGGATAAAGCCGAAACCTGGATGTAATACCTTGAAGTTAATAAAGTCTCTTTACGGTTTAAAGCAATCTGGTAGGACATGGTGGATAGAACTCGGCGAAGGATTATCTCACCTAGGTTTTTCAAGAATCGAATCAGATTGGGGTCTTTACTACAGACCAGAAGGGAAAGTCGAAGGAAAGGGAGCAGCAATACTGCTGGCCTATGTCGATGATCTGGTATTAGCCACGAAATCGAAGGAAGAAGCTAAGGAAATTTTCGATGGGCTAGGTAAAAGATGGATAATAACCGACCTGGGGGAGATAAGTACTATCTTAGGTATGAAGGTAACAAGGAACAGAGAAGAAAAGACGATATGGTTAAACCAACCAGCGTACATCGATAAGATAGTTCAGAAGTTTCCAGAAAACGACTTACATCGAGACCGAAAAACGCCGTTACCTCTTACTGCGAAAAATCCTTCGATGTCGGAGGTGGAAAGTGAAATTCGACCATTTCAAGAGTTAATAGGATGTCTACAGTGGTTAGCCACATGTACTCGACCTGACATATCATATGCAGCCTCATACCTTGCTAGGTACCTTACCAAACCGACGAAGAAAGTATGGGAGGAAGGGATAATGGTAATTACCTACCTTCGGTCCACTCGTTTACACGGTATTCGTCTTGGTGGCGAGGCTAGCGATCTAGCAGGATGGGTTGATGCCGATTGGGCAGGTTGTAAAGACACACGACGATCAACTACTGGTTGGATATTTATGATGAACGACTCACCGATAACATGGAGTTCAAAAAGACAAGCTACGGTATCGTCGTCGACAGTGGAAGCAGAGTACATCGCGATGGCTGAAGCAGCGAAGGAAGCTCAGTGGTTGAGGGGATTACTGAGGGAGATAGGCTACGATCAGCTAAATCCTACTGTATTAAATTGCGATAACCAAGGATCGATATCACTAGCGAGGAAACCTGGTACTCACCAGAGGACAAAACATATTGATATTCGACATCATGCCCTTCGAGATCTAGTCAGTAACAAAGTTATTGAACTAGAATACGTTAGCACTGTCTCACAGAGAGCAGATGTACTCACGAAGGCTTTAGGTGGACCAGTACATTCGGTGAATATGTCAGCGATACGGGTAGAACCACCGAAGAAGAAAAACATTGGTTCAGTATACGTGACATTAGATGATGATGAAATCATCGATTACGATTATTCAGATTTCGAGGACCTAGGAGATCTATCAGGTGGTACAGAGAACGAAGTGGTACCAGAGACAGAGTCGGTACCAGAGAGAGAAGTGTGGGTGGAAGGAACTTCAGAGAAACCCACCGAAGGTACCACCGAAGGAAAAGTTCTCGTGAGCCAAAATGTAAAATTTTCAGGTGTACCTAAGAATGTGAGTAATTCTAAGATAGGTCAGAAGCCACCGGTAGAACCTAGAGTCATTAGAGAATTAAGAGAGAGAAATAAGGAAAAGAAGGAAAAGATAAGAGAGAGAAAAGATGGGAGGATACATGACACTAATTGTCATCGATCTGGTATCCCAACAAATTCTCCACATGCTGACAGGCCCTTTCGAGATCGTAAAGAATGTCGAAGAAAGGTGCAGATGCACCTTGACCAGCGTTCGAGAGAGAGACAAGCAACCTTCGGAGGAAACGGATCTGTCGACAGGCCGCCTCCAAGGTACGGACCGAGATATCCGACAGTTCAGCTGGTCAGAGATAATTTTCATGATAAAGTGACTAATGAGCGTACCATGAGCCTCACCAGGCCTCAGGAGAGGAACCAAGGGATCGATACCACCGGGAAGTGGCGAAGACATAATGAAATTGTTAATGAAAATAAAAGTTTCTCGGTGGGTAGCGGTTCTACGAAATATCGTCAGCCAGGACCACGAAGGAAATTCATCGATTCTCGGGAGTCTACTAGCAAACCTGAAGTTTTAAGAAGTAGACAGGATAGAGGGAAGCTCAGACAGTCAGAAACGAGTGATAAAAGTGGAGAAAGACGAAAGGTGGACATACCGATAATTGGAGATAAAAGTGATGAAGTAAAAGGAATGATAGAGAAGAGTCAGTCGTCAGTAGTGAGTGGTAACCACGTGTCAGAGCGGAGCCCCGCAGGGGGCCCCACCGAAATTCATTTCACGATTTCACCTACCACTACTACCACACACATAACACTCAATATCTCATCGTTATTACCTTCTACATCATCACAAACCTCGCCGTCGCCATCGATAAATCGTCCGGGACTACTGCAGAGTCGTGCATTGTCCCGTGGGGGAGTGTTAGCCGATAGAATCGGGCCAGGACGGCCGAACCGCCGTTAGATAATTACCCCTTCCGTCGAATATTTCTCCGTTCAACTTATCCTCTGAACTTTATTCGATCGTCTCTGGTTTTATGCGTGTGAGTGGAATGTGATAAGTATAGAGACATGTAGAATTGATGCATGCTCTTTTTCCCCTCTGTATTACCATCTAATTATCAGCAATCACATGATCAGAGGATTTGGTTCAGCTAATTTCTCTTTCAAGTATGGAGAAGAGAGTAGACGGATTAACTTCTTGTACTCTTATCTTCTCTACCAAGCTCCGTGAGGATAGATAGATACGTGAAAGGAGACTGACGTTCCTTTTCCCGATTGGAAGGCGATTGAGATCCGCGAGATGCGGAGGTGAACTTTCTCTTACGATCCATTGTGTTTTTGATTCATCAAGTCCCCCTGTTTCAAAGTCCTGTTACAACCGATCTAGCTGAATGTGGTTAGAAGTTAGAAGAAAAATAAAGGGTGGTGGTTTCTAGGATCTAGCGCTTTCTATCGTTGAAACTTATCACTTCGGATCAAACCCGTATGGTCCGTGCGGCAATGGGACTTGGCCGGATCAAGAGATGGTCGTCAAGGATCCGGTCGGAGGATTACTGTAGGAACGCCGTGGTTACGGAGTGTCCAAATATATGGAGTGAGATCTTCGCGTTCAGGTCGCAAACATCTTAGGGATGAGGAATTGGGCAGTGGGGTATGACTGCACACAGCCAAGACGGAGAGAGTCCTGTAGGCTGCCTCTGGGAGACTGCATACTAACGCCAAAGCAGCTGAAAGTCATGTGTGTGAGCCATCTTGTCAGAATCTGCAAGCTTGAATCGATGGATTTCAAACCCGTCCATAATGGTCACGGAAGCACATGGCAGAGAGTAGCAGCCAGATTGAGAGGGGAAAGGGGCTAGGGTGATGAGGTTGACACTGTCACGCCGATCTCCTGTCTCTGAGGCAACTAAGTGTGACACTACTTACGTGTTTTTTCAAACGATTGGAACGTGAGCCGATAGAATCTCCCCGTGACGCCGGGATCTTCCTGTCACGGCCGTCGAGCAATTCCTTCCTTATAGACCGACGGTCGACGAACCTCGGCTAACTTCACGCTTCTGAGTCGATGTCTCACCCAACCGGGAGGGCGCAGACGTCGAAAGGGGTGTAACTACGGCGTACTTCGGCGTAGTTACTCTAACTAAGGCTTTGTTCTACTGATGGCGATGTATCTCGATTTATAGCTATCTCTATCTGTCTTTTTCTACTGACAACAATCAAGGATCGCTGAAGAACTTCAGCGATCTTCTCAACTAATATTATCTATCCCTCCTAGACGTTCACCCAACCCTCTAGCGCTTTGACGTACTTCAACGCACTTCGTCCAACTTCCCCGAACCCCGGCCATCCTCTTCCTCCTTTGACTAACTCCGCCTAACATCGCCGCACTTCTGCTCCCATTGTCCCTACCTAGCCTAACTTCATCTAACTTCGCCGTACTTCTGCTCCCATTGTCCCTACCTAGCCTAACTTCATCTAACTTCGCCGTACTTGGTCTCAGGTGTCCTGAGTTACGTGTAGAGTATAGAGGTTAAGTCGTGATGGGGGTTTTGATGGTCAAAGGAGGGTCATTGTTGGTGGAATAATCGAGGTGTCACGACGTAGTTCGTGACACTTCCATAATGATATTTCCTCTTCCTCTTCCGTCACTTTTCCCTTTCATGTTAGTGTGCTATAAACTTTATTTGATTGTCTCTTGTTTACTACATATGAAGGGGTATGATAAGTATAAAGACATGTAGATGCAACACATGCTCTTTTCCCCTCCGTATTAGCATCTGATCACTAGCAAACATCAAAGGGTTATGGCATGTCTTGAGTTACCATGATATCATGATTGTACCCAAGAAAACGTGAACTCCAACAATCTTACTAATGAGATTCATCTTGTTGTCCCAGAGTACCATAGGTATCTAAAAGACAATATAGATCTGCTGTCCTTGCCACACAGGTGACTGGAATCAGAACAAATCCAAGTCTAGTAAGCAGTGCAACTGCTGCTCAAACTCTGCATGAAACATGATTCCTCCTGTATGTTCTTCAATCATACACTACAGTATTTCAATGACTTAACAATATTCCCCATTTACCTTATCTGTGGGTACTGCCAGGTTTCGATTGTGATGCAAGCGGCTTGGAGGGCTTTCCACGAGGTCTGTATCCCTCCGGATTGAGGTCTTCATCACTCTCCTCCTCACTCTCCTCCTCATTACCACTTTCACCTTTGGCGGGCAACTTTTGTGTTGTTGTAGAATTGTCACTGTGCGGGGTACTTGGCACCTGCGTTGCATCGGCGCCACCTTCATTTTCAGTTGTACTTGGTGCGCCCGAAGGCTTCTCATCAGTTCTGTCAGGAAGTTCACTGGGGCCGCTATCTTGTTTTACGCTGTCAGAGGCTCCAAAATCTTCCAGAGTTGAAGGGGTAGTATCAAGGCCTTGATGAGAACCGGTGTCGGTGTCATCATGCTTTGCCAGCAGAGAATCACTTTCGTCACTTTTCACTGAGCTGTTCCTATTACCTGAACTTGATGGATCAGTTGTATTGTAGAGTGGGAGCAATGAGGTCAAGGTTTTGACAGCCGAAACAACGTATCCGGACATAGTCGCAAGTGAGCTTACTTGACACTTGTTTCTCACTTGGATAGTGTTTAAGTTGTTAGAATGAGGACTTTATACCATTCCCATCCCAAGGGACAGGCAGGTCGGACATGAATACGTCTAAGAACGCCATGGTCCGTATCCACCCGACGAAGGCGAGTGCAGCTCACATTTCCACGAGATCCATTATGTTTCTCCACATCATTTTTGGCCCTGTTTCATCTCCATTAAATGATCTAGCTAAAAGTAGTAATGTGACTATATGAACGTGGGAACCAAGCTAAAGTGATTGTTTCTAGCGGTTTCCATGGAGATTCTTACCATTTCTGGTGATTATACGTCATGTCCGTGCTGAACGGGTGAGAGAATCTATGGTCGATAAGCGTGGGAAGGATCTCGTCTCCGCCTTCTTCGATCTCGGCCAAAGTTACCTTTTCAGGAAGGGACATCGAACCGTATACGAGGGGAGGATCGTCAGAAGAGTTAGCAGAGATAGACCGGGGGGCCGGGGGATCGATGGTCAGTAGAAGCTTCGGAAGGGGTTGATTCATGTCATTCGGTTGATGAGTTTGTCATATGAGGGTAGTTCTTTCGTGATCGGTCGCATTCTACTCAACATCCTGATAACATGTTGGTTAGTCTGACTTGTGAGTACCAGTAGTATGGTAAATACCAACAGAATCGAACGAGAATCCACGACAAGTTACACATGATGGATCTTGCTATCATCAATTCACAGACCTCGAGAGTTTCGACGGAGGTCAAGTGGATCAAATACATACTTTCATGATCATACCCATGTAAGCGGAAACAAGAATGTCCCACACCTCTCCGACTTTCATGCTGTCCGGGGACCGTTAGAGATAGTCAGTGGAATGATGATATGAAGAGTCAACGAGTGGGAGGCGTTCCCCTCACGGACGATCACCATAGTCGTAGAGTCACGGTGAGGGTTTGTGGAGATGATCAACGATGTTAAGGCAAGCCATCAGTGGTTTAGTATGAGCTACTCGCGTTGCATCATCTACAATGCACTTTTCAAACCCAGCAAACTAGGCCAACTTCTAGACCAATATTATCGTCATTGTTCCCGTTAGGTATCCAACGCATTTCCGGCATGCTCACCTCCGTGAACTGGGTCTACGGCTGTCAACGACGGTTCCGGTGCTCCTTTTCTTGGATCCTTAACATCTGCAATGAGCTCATCAGTTCTATCCTCCTGATCCGTAAACGCTCCACTATCAGTGGATGGCCTCTGGGAGGACAAGGGACCATCGTCTCCGGAGGCTTGAGGCAATTGTACCACTCGAGTGGTTCGACCGAGGAGACTGATCGGCCAGGTTTCCCTCAGGTTAAACGAGAGGTTGAACGCGCGGCTGGTAGTTCCAAGTATGGTTCTCGCTATTTGACCTAGATAGGAAGGAAGATTGGTCAAAAACGTAAGCCTGCTCTGCGAGACTGGGGTGTCGGATGCGGACGAGTTAGAGTTGTCGTGACTCATTGGGAATCTGAGATCCGGATGCGAATAATCGATAGGTATTAAGAAATCAAACGGATGATTATTTTTGATAGTACGACTATGTATGTCTCCAAAATATGATCGAAAGTTGACAGCCGTATCACCGAATTATCATCGCCCCATTTTTGAGTCGTCTCCGTTCATAGTTTGCATCGCATCGAAATGTAGATCTGTCCCACAGGTCCGTCTTGCTAGTTCTTCCCTTCGAACCGAAGTCAGCTAGTGAGGCTTCCTGGGGCGCGGAAAGGGCAAAAAGGATCGTCTGGTGATAGAGGAAGGTGGTGAAATGATGAGCGTGAGAAGCGGTGCAAGTGATGCATAGTAAACACAATGGGAAGGCGTGTGCGGGAAGAGGACGTGGTTGTCGGTCATGCTGTATGTCAGTATTAGTGTTCAAAGGACAAAGAGCTTGAGATCAGCCGATGGCGTCATCATGAGCGACGAGGGTAGTGTCAGGGGAGGTGTGAAAAGTTATCGCTCCTCCTTTTATGGGGAGAATGATTTTACTTCTGTGAGACTATGAACCCTCTCCGGGACGTTGTCAGATACACAACAGCTTTAGTCACTACATGCAAGTGAGGATTTAACACATTACTATTACTCGGTACGGACATCCTTGGAATCGGTTGTGAAAACATCCCACTGAGACTTCTCTTGAATTGTCTTGGGGTCGCCGATATCACCTCTGATTTCCTTGTCCCCCACGTCATTGGGTTCGTCTACCGTAAAATCCGCTGTCCATCCGAACAGAGTCTTCCATATACTGTCATCCCACGCGGGAGTAGGACCAACTATATTTTTGACAGGTTTCTGTCCAATCTGTTGTTGTGATGTCGGACGGGATGATTTTGACTTTCGCGATTGATACGATGAGAGGTCTAAAAGAAAAGATGGACCAGCCCAAGAGTTCGCTCCGAAGGATGCGTTCTGACCTATGGTGTCTAAGTAAGCTTGCTTGAAGTTCGGGGAAGCTTGAGGCAGTAGGGTTACATGATCCCCACTCCTACTGACAGATTGCAGCACGCATTGACTCTCGACGTTCGCCGAAATAGCTCGGCTGGAATGGTTCGAGGGCGGTACGATGGTGCTGGACATTGCGTACGTGAGGTGAGATATCTTGAGGCTGTGGTCGCTTTTCGGTGTGTGGATTTGATTCGAGATTGGTATGAGACTTTCGAGCAGAAATTTAAGTTGTTGAGCGGCAAAGTGGCAACGAGGGCAGTGAGGTCATCATCGAAGGCGAATAGGAACTTGTTCTAGAAACGGGTATGGTTCGCCTTCTTGACTCGTCTTGCTTGGTCTTCCAGTGATGAAAAGGGTAATTATCAGTCTCCATTGCCTTCCTCCCAGGCGTCAACAATGAGTGCAGACTGAATAAGACATGAATCATAGTAAGTGAGTGTCAAACATATGAAGAGGAGTTTGTATGGTAAGTTAGGGGCAGAATAATGACGTGGCTTTTGTCCGTATCAATGTCGCCACTCACTCACCTAACTACGACTGACTTCCGTACAACTTTCCTCTTTGTCCCTTTCACTCTTTTCATATCATGGCAGGTCCTCTTTCCGTAGACGAGATCTTAGCCAAGCAAAAGGCAGAGAAGGAGGCCGCCGCAAAGGTCAGCTAGTGTCACAACAAGTGGTCAACGTGCTGACTCTCAGCCTCGATTCTTGTCCAAAGCGGACCGAGAACGAATTGCTCTCGAAAAACGAGATGCAGAGGTGAAAGCGCGACAAGAGCGTGAGGTGGCAGAAAGAAATGAAAGGATAGATTTCGAGAAAGCTGTAATGGAGGAGAGACGGAAAGCTGAGACTGCTCGATTCGGTACTGGTCCGTCTTCAGGACCTAATGGACGTTGTGAGTGTTTAATAACCTGACCATTCCAAGAATCGTTTCATATGCAAGAAGCTCGGCTGATCTTCCTAGCTGACAGGTATGGACGAAATGACCGTTATGATCGATACAGTGCTCCAGATCCTCGAGATGATCGTAATGGTTCACATCCCCCTGATCGGCCTGCAAGTACGAACGGGCAACAAATTCCTACTGGTCCTCGGGGTCATGCTCCTCCTTCAGCACCACGCAGTATGCAAATGGCCAATGGTAACATGAACGGATCTCATACTCCTGTGAAACCCTCACCACTGGCTAATTCTTCTACTCCTGGAAGTTCACCCAAACCGACTGTACCTGGTGATGTGGCTGTCCCGACGGAAGTGGAATTGGTAAATATCCGAGCGAGATATTTGGGACAAAAAGTAAACGAGAAAAAACCTAGGGTTAGAAAGACTCAGGATAAAAAGGTGATCTTCGATTGGAATGCGGCGGACGATACGACCGCTTTGGAACAGGGAACTTGGACTAGTGAAGTGAAAGGATTGGGACCGGGAGGTATCATGTTTGGCGGAAGATTAGCTGGGTTTGATGAAGGTGGGAAACGTAGAGGGCAACATGCGGCTGAAGATCAGTAAGTTCGAAGTCAATTTCATTTCCCTTTTCATAATGATCAGTTGAAGCTCGGTGGTCCGTGAGGAAGAAAGAGCGGTTGCTAACTTTTTAGACACGCCGATGCTTTGGAAAGACGACGAGCAGGAAAGGGAAACAACGACGATCGACATTGGTCGGACAAACCCCTATCAGAGATGAAAGATCGAGATTGGCGGATTTTCAGAGAAGATTTTTCTATTCAAGCACGTGGAGGATCTATACCTGTTCCTTTACGAAGTTGGCGAGAATCAACTATAGATCCAAAAGTTTTGAATATCATCGACGAAATAGGTTACAAAGAACCTTCTCCCATTCAACGTCAAGCTATTCCAATTGGATTACAAACCCGAGATTTGATTGGTATAGCTAAGACTGGATCTGGTAAAACAGCAGCATTCGTCATACCTATGCTTGATTATATTTCTCATCTTCCTTTACTAGACGATGATAATCGACATCTTGGACCTTACGCTTTGATCCTAGCACCAACACGTGAATTAGCACAACAAATAGAAGGAGAAGCAGCAAGATTCGCTCAACCATTAGGATACGTTTGTGTTTCAATTATCGGTGGTAGATCAGTAGAAGAACAACAATTCGCACTTCGGAATGGTGCACATATTATCATCGCTACACCTGGTCGATTAAAAGAAATGATCGACAAAAGTATGGTAGTAATGACACAATGTCGTTATGTCGTTATGGACGAAGCGGATCGTATGGTCGATTTAGGTTTTGAAACGGATCTAAATTTCATACTGGATTCTATGCCTGCAACTTTTATAAAACCAGATGACGAACAAGCTTTAAAAGGTACAGGACCGGATGAATTCAAAGGTTGGAGAGTAACTACTTTATTTTCAGCTACAATGCCTCCTGCAGTAGAAAGATTAGCTAGGAATTATTTAAGACGTCCTGCTGTTGTTACTATAGGTACGGCAGGTGAAGCTGTTGATACTGTTGAACAACGTGTAGAATTCGTTACAAGTGAAGAAAAGAAGAAATCAAAGTTGATTGAGATTTTGAGAACAAGTGGATTACCACCACCAATGATCGTCTTTGTGAATCAAAAGAAAACCGCGGATATGGTTTTAAGATATGTACATCAATCTGGAAAATCAGCAACGGCTATTCATTCGGATAAAACTCAACAACAACGTGAACAAGCTTTACAGGCTTTGAGGGATGGCGAAGTTCAAGTTTTGGTCGCTACTGATGTAGCTGGTAGAGGTATAGATGTACCTGATGGTGAGTTTACGCTAATTCTGCTTCTCTTCTTCCTTTTCCTGCCTTTCATATGTCCCTCATCCTCCTCTTCCGTCTCAGGCAACATCATCCTTTCCGCAGTACTTTCCCTTTCTAATTTCACTCCCAGATATACAACTCATCTTCTTTCGTTTTCCATTTCACATCATCAACCTTTTGACTTATTCTTACGTTCTGTTGTATCTCAAACATCACTCGTCGTTTTCGTAACACTAACGGACAGTCTCCCTGGTAATCAATTGGCAAATGAGCGACACCATAGAAAAATACGTTCATAGAATAGGAAGAACAGGTCGAGCAGGAAAGAAAGGTTTGGCCATTACGTTCCTCACTAACGATGATGAAGAAGTCATGTTCGAGTTGAAACAAGAAATTTCAAAAAGTCCAGTATCGACTATGAACCCTGAGTTGGCTAGACATGAAGCTGCTAAACAGAAGATTACGAGGGAGATGAAGGTGGGTCAAAAACTCTTTTGCTTCATCCCACAATTCACAGTCCTCAATCTGCTCTTTTCCAAAATCGATCACAGGCCACTCAACTCCTTGGTTATATACAGTATCACTATCACAATTTCCCCGATCTATTCATCACCTCTGCCCACCCGGTCATTGTGAAGCATTTGATACTCTGTCCTGGTCGTATGACCCTACGCGTTCGCTCTTGATATCGGGTATATCACTAACGAACAGAGAAAACGGGATGCAGAGGAAGATTGATCCGTCTTCATCTTCTTTGGCTATGCATCCGAGTCTTCGAAATCACTTTTATTCACTGCCCACCTCTCAGGGGATGAATGATGGATGATATGTCGTTCGAACATTGAGGTGAGCAAAGTCCATGGATACATGCTGATTATGATACTAAATCATCTTGACGTATAATATTACTCATCTACAAGTGACGAAAGCATAAGCAGGAAAGGAATGAAGAATTTACGAAAGTACCCAACTGCCTCCTACCACACAAGCGATTATGAAAGCTACCGCACTCAAGATCGGTCCATCGAATGATGCTGGGGTCGTTCTTCCTCCGTTCGAAGTGTCTTTATCGTTCGGTGATCTGTGTGAGGTAGCTGCTGCTGCGAGGGAAGTCTGATGTTCAGTCGTTTCTATTCTATCCCATTCACTTCCCCTCTCTACTCCCATTTCCCCCTTTCCTTGCATTCACTGCTTCATTTTTTCCTCTTGCTCATCATTTTCTTCTTCCTGCCGCCCTTTAGGAGTATTATTCTCCCCTATACACTCATCGTTCTCCCCACATGGATATGAATCTCACAAAGAAAATTCTCAAGAAGATATCTCAACTCACCGCCTGGGCCACATTCACCGAATAAGCACTTTCCGCGGCCTCCTGATCCACATCCGTATTGAAGAAAATATGATCAATCACCTATCTCATCAATCCCTCCATCCATCTTTTTTTCATTCCCAAATCATTGTACTCACATGAATCACGCCATTACTGACTATCCAATCCGCTCCTACGATCAAAGCCGTCACATTCCCACTAGTCACAAAAGTCCCATTCTCATTCTGTTGAATCAAGAACGGTTCACCACCTGCCGAAGTAAAATTCTCCAACAACAAATCCGTAGAATATACAACACTTCCATTTATAATATGATTAGGTAAAACTTGTTCTAATTCCGTCACACTGAAATTCATTGTACCGACAGCATGATGATAAGGTAAAAACAAAGTGAAACCTTCACTATCAATCAGAGGATCTAAAAGATTTGTATTATTAAACAAAGGTTGAGTAGGTATAACAGTATCATTTACTTTTTGAGGTAATTGAAGTACTTGATCAATAACGAAAATTCTCAAATCAGGTCCACTCAATTCTTCGTTTGTTATCAATCCGAAAGAATTTTGAATAACTTCGAAAGGTCCTACGTCTTTTAAAAGAGCTTTAGGTTGTTTTGATAATACTATAGGAGAAGAAAATCCACCTGGTAAATGATATTCTGAACCATTTAAAAAAGTTCGGACAATCGTATCGTTTGGTATGGTCGCGGTTGTGTTTGGACCCCAAACACCTTGAAGGAAATGATATGAGAATAATTGAGTGAGAAGAGTTGAATTTGAAGTTATGTTGGTTGAAACGTTTTGGTATGCTTGGTCGGTAGGTGCTAGAAAAGAAATGTTTCCTTGAGATACGAGATTGAGAAGGGAAATACCTTCGGAAGTGTTGGAAATTTGATTGAGGAGATTGTAGGTGATATTGAGACCGGCACCACTGGATAGTTTAGAAAGGTAAAAAGTGTTATAGGAACTTGTGGGGGAAATCATTACCCAAACATGGCTATGTATCGGACATCGGTGGGACTAGAGGACCAGGATGATGAGGAGGTGTGAGATGGTAAGTGGGGTCGTTTGGTGAGGTTTAGGGTGACAGTGCAAGATGATCGGGGAGACGGTGTGAAAGGATAGGGGGGCGGGGATTGCGGGAGGTGTTGAAGAGGCGGTGCGTAAATGGTGATGGAGCGATCAGAAGGAACAGGGAGATAGATGGGTAAATCCACAGAGGAAAGTCTTGAAGAGGAAAGTGAATTTTGAAGAGGAAGAGGAAAAGAAGGTGATAAGTTATCAAACAGGTGAGGATGGAGTGAAAACGACTCACGGTAAAAAATCATATATACTCTTAACCACACCATTAGGATCAGTGACAGGTACGGAAGCCGTGTTCGTTATCACAGCTGTTAAACTCTGTGTGGAAGAAACGGTTGTACTATCTATGACAGTGGTTGAATCACTCGAAGTTGTCGTTATCGTGGGATCTTGAGCTAAGATGATGGGTAAAATACCAATGAAGAGGTGAGTGAGAGATATCATCTTGTTATGCTCTTATGTTGTACGTCTTCCCTGTTTCTTCTTTCAGATTATCTGACGTTTGGTTGATCTCGTCGAGTGATTGGTGGTATATGGGAGGTGAGTGGAGAGAAGCAGCAAGTAGCGAGTGAAGAGTAGAGAGTGATGAGTAACGAGTAAAGAGTAAGATGATGGAAACGTTTACGCCCGTATCCTTTCAAGGATCTACTTCGGTAAGTCGGTAAGTCGGGGTAAAAAGAGCTGGAATGAGGCGTAATCCTACTCTACTCTGTCGTAAATGATGATCAAAAGTGGGGCATGAAAGTGGGGAAAGGGAAAGGATGACGAAAACGATCATCACTCAATTCCTACTTTTGAGACATTCAAAGGGTCTCTACTGTACGAGTACTATGAATAATTGTTCATGTCAAATGGTCAGAGTAAAATACGAGTACGAGTACGAGTATTGTTGGAATGAATGAAGAAAAAACTCAATGCCATGCGCACGATTTTCTTGTAAAAATTCTTACAAATATTATCTCCCATTACCCAAAGTATGTCATGTGTCATGTCAATGTCCAATTCCCTGTTCTCATCTCCCATCTTTCATCTCCCATCTGTCATGTCTTATGTCTTACGTCTTTTGTACTTTAATCTAATCCCACTTCATCCCCCGGCCGCTAGGATTGTTCCAAAATTGATCAGACACCCAGACAGAGCGATTCGATCTCAACTTCGAATTGGGTGTAATTGTATACAGGTGGTAGGTGGTGGGTGTAATTGTTTACAGGTGGTGGGTGGTGGGTTGCAGGGTTTTTTAATGCTGTTTTGAAGATATAATGAGAGAGAAAGAAGTATAGAGTAAAAGATTTTGTGGAAAAGGGTAGGATATTATATTCTCCCTGCTAATCGATTTTCGATAAGTTCCACCACGAATTTCCCATCGACGGTAATTTCCGTACCGTGAAACCCTTCGGGATAAAGCACTTCAGGTATATCTGGTTCGGTATAATATTCGTCGTGTCGTACACCATAATGTTTTATACCTAATGATTCGGCCGTCCAACTGTCTGTGGGGTCAGCGTGGATATCTATTCATTCATTCATTCGGTGATTCTACTGATGATTTTGTGGATCGATAAGTTTTTACTCATGATTCTGTGAACTGACAGGTTTCATATCACTTGGAAATGGGTGATAAAGAGGGTTGAAACGTTACATAGGGTAATGACGAGACCTCTCTGCTATGATTGCTGTTCGGAAGAAAATGACGGGGGAGTGGGAATGGTGAAGACAAACGAGACGATAATGAATGTGATATGAATAGAAAGGTGGAGAAACTCACAATCTCTAGCGAAACCACCTCTGTAGAACATTTCTATAACTGCGCTCCTAGGTGTACTAGGCATCCAAATGAGATGAGTAAGACCATTCCCATGTACACCAAGCATGATCTACTTTATCAGCTGCATTCTTGTGAACACTTTGTGAAGGACATGATCGATGTCAGACATACACACTGCTTGTTCAGTGGGGAGATGGGAATTCTATACGTGTTGGTAACAACTGGCTTATAAAGTGAAGGAGAAGCTCTTCAACGTGAACGGGGACAACAAGCCATTCAAGGAAAAGAAAAATGTCAACCCAACACAACAAGGGTCAAAAGCGTTGACAAGAGTCAGGAAAAAATGGAAGATAAAACACCCACCGTGGTTTTCCCAGCCAAAGCAAACTGTTCCTCTTTCGTCATTTTCTCAGCTTCAACGATATACAATTCCCAATCATTCTCTTTAGCTTTCTTCTCTAAATTCTCAACTAACTCCAAATGACTTTCATGTTTCAAATGTCTTCTTGAACTTTGTCTTGAAATATAAGTAATGACAGGTTTATAATCCCCAACTTGTTTGACAACCCCTTCTGGGACATTTATAAGAGGATGATCTGTTGTTGATGAATCTATAGAACCATAACCTTCTAAATTCCTATTCAAAATATCTTCTGATAATCCTGAAAATCGAAGGACGGTACGTCGAATAGGTTCCCACCAATATGGACTTGTAGGACCTACATGATAGGCGGAAGCTACTGTTCTTGATGTTTTTTCAGTCCAATGACCGTAGAATGCGGCGGAACGATCGACTAAGAGGATACGGTCGAGAAGGAAAGCACGATGGAGGGAAGGAGGACCGGAAGCTGTGTTTGTTTTGTAATCTCGGAAATCTTCCGGGTAGAGGAAAGAGGTGGATGGGAATAGGGCGGAGAGAAGGAGAGGGTTGAATTTGGGACCGTCGCGCCTGCAAGTTAAGCACGATGAACAGACCCGAATCAGGCGTTCTTCTCTCGCTCGTCTACTACATGCCACGGAGGCTCAGAAGAGGTGACGTGGTGCAGGGTGCAGGGTGCAGGATGCAGGATGCATGGGTTGAGAAATCAGTGCGATCGCGGCGATCTTGTCTGCGTTATGAAGCCGGTGCAGTGCGAGTATCTCACCGTGGCACATGAAATTATGGAAGGCGATAGAGAGAAACAGAGGGGACAGAGGGGACAGAGGGGACAGATATTTACTAGAGGGGAATGATGCGAGGAGAGTGAAAAGTAGACATACCACTCTTCAGAATGTTGATGCAAAAACCAAATCCGTTTAGGAGGAACCAGTGTCGTCTGACCAGTAGGAGTTATATCCGGATCATAAGTCGCATAAGTCCTCCAAGTTCCCATGAGCAGCTCAGCGGCGAAATGATAATAATGATCCATGACTGTATGTCAGGTTCTTCTGTCCCCCTTCCTCAAACACAACCTTTTCATTTCATATCCCTAAAGTCGTAATTTCCCATGATCTCTCTCAAACCGTGTAAACATCCAAAAAACTTGAAAGAAGCGAAAGACTGATTCTCCAGCAGACAACCCCAGGAGGACGGGAACATTCACCGTTACCTTTCATAGGAAACGTGAGAAGAGAGAACTCCTCAACTGCATGAGCCTTCCATGTAACGAAGTAGTGAAGTGAGGTTGAAGAAAGGGGAGGGGGAGGTACAGATGTTGAAAGGGAAAAAGAGTAAAGAATACTCACATTGACCATCATTCCAAAGCCAAGTCATCCCACTCATCCTATACACCCTATTACCCCAAAGTTGGGCAGCTTCATAAGGACTAACAAAAATGATTTCATCACCTTTCGGAAATCTAGCTTGAGCGTTTCCAGGTTCTTCATTAGCTGGTAAACCTGTTGAAATCATATGTTCTAGTAAAGGCCAATCTTGTCTTTTATCACTGTTTTGTTAGTTTTCTTTCAACTCTTTGCTTCGTTCATATCGCCTGTCTCCCTCGTCGGACATTTGATCTCAGCTCGAAAGGCTGGAATCATTTTGAGACAATATCATTCTGTCTTTCGGAAATTGAATGACCTTTGGTTCATCAAGCCAATGTTTCATCAACCCAATGACTGTTCGAGGGAATGATGAAGGATCAAAAAAAAAGTCGAAAAGTTCTATTTATTGTCTCTTCCACCTGATCACCAGTGACCAATTAGTGACCGATGGAATCTTCTGAAACGACATATGTAAGGTAAAGAAAGGGCTCTCCAAATCACAGGGATATGAAAAAGTTTTACCCCTGTATTGATTCCTGACCCTAGTCCTTTCCGCAGAATGTCCAAATAGTCACACAATCACCAAGTTGCTCCTCTTCACTCTCATATTCAATCTTCCAATCTTCCAAACTTTCATGGCTCCATGCCCGTCATCCATCCAATAATTCAGTGATCATCACTCCAATAATTCGGTGATTAACACTCCACGCCTTAAGAGAATATGACAGAGTCTCAATTCCACATGATCAAGGAACAACGAACAGACTTACGTGACGACATAAAAAGATCCATTAAAGAGATAAACCCTCTGCAACAAAGTCCAACCATGAGAATGTCCATCTAAAATGGTCATTCCACTTTCTAATTCATCATCTTCTTCTTCCTCTTCACCTCCATCCCATTTCCCACCATTCGGTCCCCAAAGTTCTTCTATATCTTTACCACCCATCATGACAGGCACAGGTCTGACACTTTCTCCGAATGTTTCTCCGCATGATTTTTGTATGGATGATTTAGAAGAAAATAAAGAAGACCATTTTGGTAATTGAGTGAATGAAGAATGTGAAGAAGGTGTAGAGAAGAGTAAGTATGAGAAAGATAGGGTTAATAGACATAAAAGTAGATCTCTACGCGTCGGTCGGAATATGGTTGAGGACATTGAACGGGATTGAGTTGGAGAAGGTGGGAAATAATTGGAAAGGAATGAACGACGTTCTACGTGTGGTGATCGTGGCGGAGAACCTGGTTGAAGGAATGCGGGGAGGGACATGGTCGGTGGGATACCACGGGGCATTCAGATTCTTTGGGGTTTTGGTCGTGGACGGAAAGGTAGAGGTTGGAGGTGAGGAAGTGGGGGAAGAGGAGGGAGGGGAAAGAAGGAGATGTGAAGATGGTGGATGGTTGTTTCTAGTGGAGGTTGTTCGAGTAAATACTGTAGTAGTTGGGAAGGACCTTGTATGATGTTACAGTACTTTCGCTGGATACGAGTCAAGGAAGAGAGCAAGAGCAAGGTGAGGACGGACGACAAGAACGGGTGCCTGAAATGCGACAGAGAGGGGGAAGGTTGGAAGGATGCTGCCCCACCCACCAAGAACTACTACAATGATCTTGACTGCGCTCAAGTGACGCCCCAGACAGCTGACAAGCGGGCGATGCACGACTGCTGGTCGACCTATCACACCCAAAGCCAGATCATACATTTGCATCCTGTATAGAGAAGGGATATCCAAAACACTGACCCGTTTCCCACCAAATACCTCCCCACTCCTCCCGCCGCAGAGAACCGCCTTACAACTTTCACTCGCTTATTTACGCTTCGGGAGCTCCTTGTCCGCGTACACTTTTCCCGCCCAGCTGATGCATCAGTGCCCACTCGGCAACAAGTGGAAGGAGGTAGACGTACCCTTCCAAACCACTCAAACCCAACAACCCGACAGAGATGGTAGATACGACGCGACGATCCCAAGGTTGATTCCAGTGTTTGTAGCTAAAGTAACTAATGGTACCGATGATGGCCACGTTCACTGTGAGATTAGCACTTACATCTCAATCCACAGATCGTCTGATCGTTGAACGAGGTTTTCTGAGCTTGATAACTCACAAACACCGGCGAGTCCACCGGCAACACCAGGACGAAGGATAACTTCTTTTGCTTGCAAGTAAAATTTAGATCCCTCCGACTTGGCTCGTTCGGCTTCCTGTCTGCCTTCTGCAGTTTGAAGATAGGATTCTGCTACGTATCTTGACGCGTCAGCATGGTTCATCTCTGTAATGACAGAATGACCAACCCCTCAGCCCCGAAGAGAGCAAGGGTCCCGGCGACAGCTCCTCCAATGATGCGTCGGTCCCAAGGTTGGTCTTTACGAGTATACGCAAAGTACCCCAATGTTCCCAAAAGACCAACGTTCACTGATCATCAACTTTCATAACCTGTCACTAAACGAAATTGCCACTCACCCACACCCATCAGCCCACCAAGCGTGCCAGGACGAAGAACGACATCTTTCGTCTTTTCCCAATAGGGGGCAAGCTTGTTTTCCACTTCATCAAATTCCTTCTCGGCTTTGTTGATTCCATCCCTTACGCTTTTCTTCTCTCGTCAGCTATCAGGATGTCGCAGATTGAGATGAGACTCACCTTCGCACGGGCCTTCTCTTTCTCCCATTTCGCACCACTCTCAGGAGTCTGAACTTGATCCTTGGGCGGAGGTTGTAGAGGCTCGGGAGATACACTGGATGTGGAAGGTTCGGGGACCTGGGGCGGGTTGAGAGTAGGCATGTCTGGTTTTGAAGCTGGTTCGAGTGAAACAGGTGGATGATCTGGGTCGAAACCTGCTGGTAGAACGTTGATCTGGGTACGTAAGTCATTCATTCTCCTAATACTATTCAGTCAACATTCTCGGATTCTTATCAGTCCTCGAGAATTTATACTGAAGTCTTAACGACAGAAGGGTTCAAGGACTGAAGTCGATTTGAGAACCCACCTTGTCGTCTGCTGTAAAGCTGGCAGTAGTTTCTCCTGCGAAATGTCCGTCTGCAAGATTCTGATCAGGTTGTGGCATAGACCCCTGTGGGACTGTCTGTCAATTTACCTCTACCACTTCAACGGTGACACTTACTGTTATGAGAAGCTACAGAAGCGTAAGACATGTCAGAAGTGATTAAAGTGGGTGGGGCTTAAAACCACACGGAGAGGGTAGGGGGAAGGGAAGGGAGGGCAGGCCATCATCCGTCAATGACGTATTGCCACCGGCTCGTGTCTTCCGGCATTCTTCGGCGTTACCTCTCACCGGTATCATGTGGCGATATGGAAAGATACGCTTTGACCCGGTATTCGTCGTCGCACGCGAGGTGGAGGATCTTCAACACCAACTTTACATGGTCCCCCATTCACAACCACTCTTTCGCCACTCGGTCACCACCATATGACCTTAGGAGGTCCATCAAGGCCTAAAAGGCCTCTCCCTTCTCCTGTAGATCTCACCACCCCGACTCCTCCTAAACAAACAGGTCCATTGGATCAATACTTTCTCTTCAAACCCGGACCTTCACCTTCTAAACCACTAGCTTCAGTGACATTGGACAAGGGCAAAGGGCGCGTTATCGACCTGACAAGCGATACGAGCTCAAAAACTTCAAAAGTATCCAAGGCTGCAAGTACGCGTAGTGCAAGTGACGAAGATCTTCCCTCCGTATATGATCAACTCGTCAAAAGCTGGTCTCAACAAGGTATAGCCCATAGTCCAAAGACTAAAGTTTCTCAGACTCACCCATCTTCTCTTCAAGCTCAATCGTACCCTCATGGTAGTAAGTTGAAGAGTGAACCTATATCTCCAGTAACCAAACGACATAAGAATAGACCTGCAATCTCTCATAACTTCGTCGCTTCATCATCTTCGACATCAGAACTCAGAAGGAAAGCCAAGATATACCCTTCGAAAGGACACGGTACCTTTCTGGATCCTCTAGAAATACTTTCTAGTGAAGGATCATCTTCATCTGGAACTCCGAGAGAACCTTTGAAAACTCTTCCAAATCCTCGGAAACCACCCTCCGTCCCCGTTTCCTCGATTTCAGTCCCGCCAGCGAGACCATCGACCAAGGATTTACACGAAAATTCAGCTCTAGTCTCCCAGGTTTCTCTTCCTCTCCTCTCTGATATCACCTCTGTCCCCATTACTGCCAGCCCGTTAAAGTCACGTCCAGGTCGGGGTGCTTTTGGAAGTCACGTCAAACGTAACAGCATGTCGCCCGGAGCACTCAAAGGGAGAAGTATCAATCTCAACTTGAGTCAAACGTCTTCTCTCGATACCAACCCTCATCCTTCTCTCTTCGCCCCTCGACGTACCACTCAACGATCAACATCATCTCTCCCTACCAAACGGAAGCGGTCGAACAAAGAACAACTGAAAGATAAAGACGAAGCCTATCATCCTCACTCGTCCACATCTGACCGATCTCAACCCTCAAAGAGAATAGAGTTGAGGAAACGGGATAATACGATCAACTACGAGATTCCTGCTCTAGATGCTGAGCAATGGCCAATCGGTCCTCCCTCTCATTCCATTAGTTCGAGGAAACCTGCCCGTAACATAACAGTGCTACCTGCACATCCCACTCCTGCACACTCACCTCTCAAAACGAGCAGTCCTCTAACCCCTTTGGAATCACAAGATGATCTATGGAGTTTGAACTCTTCTCCCGAACGCCCACCCCCTCAGGTGCCTCCGGAACCTCTCCCAATTACAAAATCAATGTTCGTCGAGGATGAAAAGGAGCGGCAGGAGCCAACTTCTGACGAACCTGAAGAACCCGTTGAAGAGGCCGATATTGTAAGTAGTCACGGTCCTTAGCAAGTTGTTGACCCACTGATCACTGATGAGCAGTTGGATGAGTTTGCAGAATTCGACTTTGCCGCTTCACAACATTCCCAACATTCGCAACCAAATACACCGTCGTCCAAGTCTATCATCAACACTTTTACCACTCCCAGATCCACTCGTAAACATTCGGTGCCCCTTTCTTCCCCACGCAAACGCCCTGCCAGGGCTTCTTCTCATCCTGCTCTTACCCCAAGCAAACTCGTCTCCCATGCTTCCACTGCTCTGTCACCACCATTGCGTTCCCCCATGGTCGTTATGAAACAGAAAACACCCATGAAATCGCATCATCGATTGCCCGTCGTTACTCACGCCGTCGAGGAATTGATGGCCAAAGCGGAGGCTGAGGCTGCTGCCAGAGTCGAGCATGAAGCAAGAAAGATTGAAGAGCGTCGTCGACGGATGCAAGCTTCTAACCTTGACGTTGCCGTAGATACGGAGAAAGACGAACCATTAGAAGAAATAAATTTATCTCTCACTTTCGCGTCAGTCTTTCTTACTTTTTCTTTGCTGAATGCTGATTTCACAGATCGAAAAATGAAAAAGAGATTCCATCAATTGCAGAAGACTTCGGTCCTTCTCGTCGGTCAACACGTGCTCAAACAAAAAGTACAACTCCCCAACCCCAACCGAAAGCAATGTCTAAACCTAAAGTTTTGACCGATGGTGACAAGTTTTTCCGAGCTTTACCACGAGCAATACGTCGTAATGATCCAGACGCTCCATCTAGAACTCTGGACATACTTCGTGGATGCGCGTCGAGAAGAGAACATGAAGTACCTTATCCCACACCGGATTCCGCTGAAGGCTCGGGAGATAGTTCGGATCTGGACGAGCATGAAGAGGTAGATCTTGATGCGATGGAAAAGACTTTGGCGGAGGATGCCAAGGTCGACGTGGATGTTTTAAGGAGAGTGAGAGATGGTGCGAAGGAGAGCAATTCGCGCAGGGAAAGTATGGATGGTTGGGATGGTTTCTGGGGACCAAGAATCGAAACGATGGTAGGTGATGTGAATGTGGCTCAAACAAAGCTGACGCTCAAGGAGGTGGAGAGGAAATTGATAGTCGCTGAGGAGGTGGTAATCGATGGTGATGCAATTGAGGAATTGCTCGTGGAAGCTATGAATGCTGATGGTGAGTGTGTTGTCGGCGCTCTGTAAGAAAACAAGTTTGGAAGTTGATGAGATAGATGTACCCACTGCAACTTCACTCATCACCTCGAATGTAGTCGTTCGACTGGCCAATCCTGGTGGATCCTCATCGCGCGATCCTAAGAAACTCCTGTTGCTTGAATGCGTGACCGAGTGGCTCATCACGACTGGTACGTGTGCTTTCTTGATCTGTCAGGAGAGAGACTGATACGCAGTATTTGCCACCGAGGACCCGTACTCTGCACTTGCTGTCGATGCGCTGTGTCATGTCTTCAGTTTGAACGTCTACGGTCATATTTGTTGCGACGATGAATACAAACGCATCATCGACGTTTGGCGTGCTCTAGGAGCCAAAGCCGATTACCTCATCACGGACGACTTTCGAGACGAACGTATGGAAAGCGGTCTACCCGCCCGCCTTCCCCTGGTCCGTCTGGCTCGTGATGCGGCGTGTCAACGCATATGCGAGCTGGTTTCATGTACGATCAGGTATGTTCATCGTTGTTTGACAGGTCGGAGATACTCATTCATAGCCGCATGCCACCAGTTCCTGAATATCATTGGCTTACGTCTGGTCTCATAGCTTTGGCGGTGGACCGAAGTACCTCACAAGCGTTACGAAGGTGCATAGACGAGACTTTGGCAAAAATATGGGATATATGGTCAGAGAATGATGAAGTGAGAAAATTTCAATTTGCTAAGATCTTCGTTGACTTATAAGGACGGTTTTGTCGCATGGGACGCTTTAGTTCAGATCCTGCAAACTTCAATTCCCAAAGAAACATACCCTGTTATACTGCAAGCCGTAGGTCAGAGGAATGAAGCTAGCTGCGAAATTGGACAAAGAATCGCTATGGATTTCTTGCTACCGGAATGGCCAGAGATATTCCCCAAAAGCTGTTTAAAGGTGCGTAATCCGCCTGGCTCATTTTCGATGGGATACTCATAAAATAGTCAATCCCTTGGGCACCTCCTATCCAGATACTACTTCATGCAGCAAAAGAAATGTATCAATCCGTCCTCTCATCTTCGACCGATTGGGTGGTATTTGAGGGCAAATTATCTTATCTATCTGTTGCGATGGGGAATATGGACGCTTTGGTAGCTCGATGTCCTATGGATATGGAATTAGGGTTGCAGGAAGCATTGGAGAAACATCCGATCATGGAATTGAGAGGGATTTTAGTAAGAATTCATGGAAGGATACGTGAGTTATCATTACCCTTTCCTTTCCTTCATCATCTTCTTCGATCAACAATTTGTCACTCTTCTTGACATTCCTTCCTTGCTTTCTCGTTCTCTTGACTCTGTTGACTCGATTCCTGCTTTCTTGCATGATACTCACTTTGACGTGACCGAGTTTCTCCTTCACAACAAATGCATCATCTGTACATTCTTCCAATCTACCCACTTGATTGGTGGACTCTTTACCCGTAACATGAACCACCGGAACGGTTTCCCAATCAGATTGGTTCCGCGCCGTTCCTATGTCTTTGTTAGGTGTAAAGCATATCATTCACTTGATTCATGTATGAAACAACTGCTGATTTTTAGGAGAAGTGCCTGAAAAACTATCCACTCGACAGATATCTGTTGGAAAAATCAAAGCTCGTCTATCTCAAATGACCCTCACGCTAAAGATGAGACTTGAAGATTCTGCTAAACGATATCGTAGGACACTCCGACCGCGTCTTGGTCCTTCCTTAGAAGAAGGCTCAACGGGCGGACAAACGAGATTGATGTTCGGGGCGGACAAGCATTCAACCTTATCCGGGACCTTAGGAGACCAAATCAGGAAGTAATCAAATGCATAGTGGGTGGAAGGAAAAACTATCATATGTATGATATAGTCATGCCAGTAAATCCGCCCAATTCCATCCAGCCATCCTCAATCGCCAAAATGACACATCGCACGGAAAGCCCCCTTCAGGCACTTTTACGTCATTTTTGTCACTCGCCACAACTCTCACGTGCGATATCAAGTTCTGGACCCTGCCATTCTATTCTATTCTTTCCTCGTCCATCCCTGCCGTACGCCGTTCACATGGTATACATACATCCTACATGATATACATACTCCCCCCATGGCCAAACAACGACGCCCGTCTCACTCTACGTTTCTCTTTCCTCGCGCCCAGCCCCGCCAACCATCTCGATTTTTACATACACAGAATATACATACTCTTCACACTGTCAAACAAGCCTTTGCACAAGTGCACAAGTCTATGAGGAAGTCTGAAGATGAGCCTTCGGAATCGAACTTTCAAAAAATAGGACGCAATGGGTAACTTGATAAAATGTCGAGATTTGGAAACGTTGTCATCCAAGTCGAAAACTTATCAGCCACGGCACATATCTTCTCTATCAAGGTTAATCTTTCTCTCACCCGCCAACTTTCTACGTTGTAACACTATACGTTTACTTGATTATATAGAGAAAGACAAGATGATTCGACGACAATATAAATTTATTTCATCTCAATAACATGAATCTCATTTCGACTCATATCCTAAACTTCTCAAAGTAATATACAGTACATACCTTTCTAATCAACATCAAGAAAAGAATCCCCTCACAACCAATAATTCAAATTCCCTTCGACAATTATCACTTTAAAACCTATTTGGATCCAACCATACCCTCTCTCCTTTCTTTCCCTTCGCTCAAATCGTGTTATCTCAATCCATCTTCGGAAATCCGAACCCGGGGGATATTGCAAAAATGTTACAAAGAATTCGACAAAGTCAAACTGAAAATACATTATTCAGACATATCTTACATTTCAATCCATCAGATTCCAAAAAACGTTCTCGACCTTCAAGTTCATCTTCCGAAAAGGAAAAGAGGACATCAATTAGTGGGAATGCAATAGGACCTCATTTGCCTGAATCGGATACGGAAAAAAGAGGTGGGAAAAAAGAATTATGTCAAATTGGTAAAGTCTCAGAATCGGAGATGGAAAAATTACCCTTGGCATATGACGAAACCAATAGAAAAAGATGGTATGATGATGCTATCGTTTATACAATTGCGGAAAGGGAAAATCTGAAGGGTTATTTACCTTGGCATGATGAGAGGACGGATGGTAGTTTTGGTATTGTTGTTTGTCCTGGAAGTTGTGTTTTAGTCAATAAGGTGAGTTTTGGTTTTGGTTTCTCCACTTTTTGTTCTCTCTACAGTCTCCGTCCACACAAACTCATCCATGTACCCACACGAACTCATACATGTTCCACACAAACTCATCTATGTTCGTCATCTTTCATACGGTATCTCCAATTTCGTCACTTGCTCATTCCCCTACATCTCAATATCCGACTTTCATTCGTCCTTTTCTATCCTCTATCGAGACGAAACTCTTAATCTTCTCCGTCAGGTAATCATCCTTCTTTCATGCTCTGTTTGTCTTATCTCTTCAAACATGTCTTTCCTCAACTTCGTTCCTTTTGGTGGAGGAAAATGACACGTTTCCTTCCCGTCGAACCTGCTCTGCATATCATACACTTGATGATCATCTTGAATCGGTGAAGGAAAAGATCAAGTTTGAAACCCCGCTGACTCAACAGCAAGTCTACGATTCTATCCCTCACCCCTATCGTCCTCCGATAGAACCAGCAACCGTTCAAACTATCACTTTCGCCAAAGGTGATACTCAAAGATCAGTAGGAAGCACAATCGTTCCAATCATCATGACCGATAGAACTACTTCTCGAAAGTTTCTAGTCAAACTCTATGCTCTGGTGGTGGAACAATTGAGGACAGGGATGATCATAGGACAGAGTGGGGCGGAATATTTTAGAGGATCAAAAGCTGGAGCAGATGGTTCGTTCGTTTGGGAATTCGATTTTGAAAGTGGAGGGGTTTTGGTAGGGAATGTGAGATCAGCGAGATGAGAAGGGTGGATTATAGGGTAGTAGTTTAAATTCCGGTCAGTTTGAGAGGTCCGCATTAGATGATTACATGATTTATCCAGGATATGCTAAAGCCTGTGACATAGGCGTGTCGTTAGAAGAGTAAGCGACCATCGATCCGTTATGGAAGACGACACAAAGGTGGATCGTGTCGGTGTAATCAGTCGAGAAAGCAGTGCTACATATTCCTTCCCCCCTGCCTTTCTAACCTCCTTCCTAAGTTATTCATCTTGCATCATGAGTACTAACAATCCGTACGTTTTATTCTCGTCGCTACTTCTAACCTGTCTCTCGGAATCAGCTATAGGTGCTAATTCATAGGTCTGCAACCTCTCCATCATGGTCTAGACAATTTGCTCATAAGTCATTGGATATGCAGGCTTATTCCAATGGTCATTTTAGCTGGTGTTCACTGCGTCCTCCAAACAGTCAAGATCAAGATACCCTGGTCACTTGGCGTGATCATTGTTATCGTGTGGTTTATGGAGATGAAAACTATCCCCGCATATCAACGTGGAATCGTATGTTGATCAGGGATGAGATCGGTGAGTCATATTCGGACGAGCTGAAGCTTGTCTGAATGTCAAGCAACCGTCGTGGATGAGGAGCACAGAAACAATGCATTCAGACCTGGAATACCCAGGTATGGATCAATCAAGCTGAATCCAACACCCACATTGGTGAGAGTGACAGAACCTCTTCTTGACACTTCTTTAAAAGTGTCAAGTATCACTCTCGTGAAGGTTGGTGAAGAGACAGGTGTTCGAATTCAAATGATTTTCAATCAATCAATGAGACCGGATTGGAGTCAAATCAGGTTTCAAAGTGTGCCCATTCATTTTGTTTGTCATAAAGATGAAGATGCAAAATTGGATTACGTTAATCAAAAAGTTACATTCCCTTCGATCATCCGCTTTTTTCCCGAGAGCTGCATAGGGGAATTTACACACAGGGAGGACAATGGGTATGTTCCGAATTATTATGAGATAGTCTGTGAGGGACAACCAGGTCCAGAGTTTGACTTGGAATCAACCCAACTTGAGGCAATCCGTGAACCCTTTGACAATAGTGTTGTATACAAATTTCAGAACAGGACATATGGGGATACGGGTACGGGTATTTGGACCCGTTCTCCTTTTCTCAAAGTTGATTGCATGTTCTCTTTTGAGCTTGTGGTGAACACAACTGAACCATTTGCCATCCGGGCTGATGTGACAGCAAGAATGTTTGGGGATTCTGCAACTGCATCTCCGTGGCCGGAAGAAGCACCCTTTGTTTACCCAGGAATAGAGGCCTCTGGAATCGAGTTGGAAGCAAGGAATTACGACGATTTGACTGTAGCGGAATTACGGGTCCAGCACGGGATCTCTCCAGACTGTTTGGTCAAGGTGAGTTGAAAAAAAGATTGGAGTTTCTTCCCTTTCAACCTTATTCATCAGACTATAGCCGGTTTCTCAAACGCCCGAATAACGTCTGTTTTGCCTCTTGAGCAGTGAGGATTTCAGAAGGCTGATGTGACAGGGTGGCACAGATAACAGGTCTGAGGGTGACAGCACTGCTGTGGAGGAATCTGACTGGGAAAGGCAATCTGACCGGGAAAGGGAATCTGACTGGGAAAGGGAATCTGACGGAAGGGAATCTGACTGGGAGGACATCGGTTATTTAGTATGAATAATTGATGGGATGAGTTCTGTGATTGATTGAGCATGACATCCTTTAAAGTTGTAGACAGTTCAAGCTACATTGTTCAAAACCGAACGTAGCTAGCTATCCTTATCCGATGTCTCCGTTAGGTGCCCTGCCAGTGTCGCTGTCCACGTAAGAATGAAGTCACCGCTTGACAGACATTCTTCAGGATGGTTGACGGATGAGGTCGACAGTTACATAGTTGGATCGACTATCCGTGCACTCTTCATGGAAATTCCAACCTTTCTCTAACAAAATATACGTACCTACTTGAGACGTCGTGCGTGATCAGGGTGAATGACCGTGTAATGATTCCCTCATCCTCAAGATCCTGGACCATAAGGGCACGGAACGCATGGTCAACCTCCCACCCTCCCCTACCCCTGATTGATCCCCGTTCGTTATGACATGACCTTCCCATGACATATGAAATTGAGTCTCCTCTCCCTCTTGAATCTATCAGGCAGGAAGACCAGGGAGTACGGGTGGACCGATGACGTTGTGACGGAAACAACCTTTGTCTCGCGTACGTTCCCCTGCATCATCCCGGAAGGCTTGTTCTTGGGCCTTCTTCTCATTTGCATATAAGATCTCTCTTACTCATCTTTCCTTCATCTCTTACCTCCAATAGTAGAGGTATCTTACCCTAGTCACTCCTGACTTGGACACAACAAGTCCCCCACTGTCATCAATCTTGACCTACAACTTGATTCCCCTATCCGGCCTGAACAATTCTCACTTGAAAAGGGATGACACATTCTCAAGATATCTCTGAGACGCCTGTACCCTCTACCCCAGCGTCTTTGGGACAGGACAAACATCATCATATTATACACGCAGAGTACACAACCACGGACAAAGAGGAGGACCCCTTCTCACCTTTCACAGGTCTCATGGATTGCGTTCCAATCAGGTTTGAAAAAGTAACAAACACTCCCGACCCCTCAAAATTGCAAGTCTATCGTGTCAAAACCAACAGTGAAACAGCCAAGGGAACATATCCTTCATATCCTCGTCATTGGCCAGAGGAGCACACTGTATGTACACCTGATGTAATCACAGGTAGCTGGTGCGGCGAAGGAAGGGGATTTCGCCCTAGAACCCATGCGGATGAATCACCATCAGGAATGAAACTTCTTTGGGAAGGAGGCTGGGTTGTTGGTCTCACTGAAGTCACTCGGACACAAGTACAAATGAATGACCATGTCACTCATCTGAGTTGTGATGTAATTGCACAGGTACAATGCAATGGTAAACCTGCTACTTTTGTTCAATTGTCAATAAGTCACACAGAAGCAGAATGTATGAAGCTTGAACTCATTGCTTTTCCAATGCAGTCAATTCTCATCAATAGTGAAGCGGCAAGTAAGAAAGAAGCAAGTGCAGAGACTCTTGAACTCCCTCAGATCATCAGAGTATTTCCAGAGGAATTGAGCACCTCATATGGGCTCACGCAGCAGGGTGAACAACCTGGGGGACCTCCTCAATTGTGGTCAAAAACCATCAAAGCCACTCTTGGTCCAATGGATGAATCAAAACCAATACAGAACTGTCTCACTTACCAAGCCACTAGTAGGATCCCCCAGAGGTTCAAATGGTCTTTTCAAATATTGGTGAGAGGTAATGGTGAAGGGGCAACTGGTGCATTTGCGCTCAGAGCTTTGGTGACAAGCGACCATCACACATACCGGCCTCTAGAAAGCAGTGTGAGCCCTCGTGGGATCACAGTCACAAAGTTGACCACGCGTGTCTACACGGAACCTTTGCCTCCTCAAAGTCCGCTCTTTGTCATCCCAGGGAGCCGTCACGGAGAACGACCAAAGATCAACGAGTATGATGCGGCCAGTCTAGAAACCCTGGAAGCAATGCTCAGAAATTCGGAAAGGGGATGGACGATGTCTGTGAGTACTCCTTTCTCTTCTTCACCACTCTCCCACGGTCTAGCTACACACATACTCACATGCTCACATATCTCCCTCCTAACCTGACCAAGCGAGGACTGATATCGGAGCACCTTTGACGGGAAATTGACGACCAGAACCGCATTGGGGGTCGGCCGGTGGATACTTCATCCTGAACGTATGCTTTCATAATTTTACGCTCTTCATTCATGCCTGTATACCTATGCATGTGTGGGTGTTAAAGTTCTCAGTCGCACAGAGCTTGAGCGCAGCGTGTGAAGACGCACTCATTTCACCACCTGATCATGGATCATGGAGACTGCCACCTGCCACATTGGTAAGTGCCACATGACCAAGTGGAGCCCCAGGCTACTCCTTCCCCACGTCCCCTACTTCCCTCCCTCCCCCCCTTTGGTCTCCCTCTCCTCCTTGTTTTCATCTCCGGACTGGGACCTGATAGAGACCTCTTTACCTGCGGTAGACGGCACCAACATGTCTCATAAGCCTCATTCAATGGATTCCTACCCGCAACTCAACTTTGAAGCCCGTGAGTGTCCCTTCACTCTGCCTTCCGACCGACTCTACTTCCAAGACTCTCCATGGCAGTCCGCCATCTTCGTCCGTTGCTCATGTCCAGGGGCTAAGCATCTCAATTCGATCTATGATCGTTTGAATCAGTTCAAGGTGGGTGTATGATCGTTTACTCTGTCTTTCATGCACTCGCCTCCGAGTGTGCCCCACCACGTACCCTGGCATATCGTACTTCTAGTGTTGGCATTGCGCGGGAATGTGTCGAAACCTAACGATCAGGGCGGACATTTTAACGATTTCAATCTTGGCGCACTACTCACCACTCATCGTCTTGATGACCCGGCTCATATCTCTCTTCAAGTCTGGTCCGCACCCGGTCACTCCAAGCCGACTTTCGAAGAAGCCAAACGCCAGACCTATCAGCCAACCCACAAAGGCCAGTCCTTTGGACCATCATGGACCAATCACTGGTTCAAGGTGATAATCCACATCCCCCCATCTTGGGAGGACTACGAGCGTGTCCAAATTGAATTTGATTGTTCTGGGGAGGCGATGGTATTCAACACTCACGGAGATCCTTATCACGGTCTTACCGGAGGATCCGATCAAGCTCGTCGAATTGAGTTCATTATCCCTGCTGAAGACCGAAAAGCAGGTGTAGGGCATTATTACATCGAGGCAAGCTGTAATGAAATGTTCGGTCAGAATGGGATGGACCCTCCAGACCCGAACAGATACTATCAGTTGGGAATCGCCGATCTCGTTGTCCCCAATATGGAAGCTTGGAGGTTATTGTGGGATTTCGACGCCATACATCAGCTCGTCAATGATCTCCCGGGTGACACACCTTTACGTATGAAAGCGTTATGGGTGGCTAATGAGATGATGAATGTGTTTCAAGTTGGGAATGTGGACAGCATCTCCAAAGCTAGGGAAGTGGGGAAGGTGGTACTAGGAGAGAAATGGATGGAAGAGATCGAGCTGGAGAGCAAACATGCGGAGAAGCAGGAAGGTGCGTTATGGGGTGTGGGACATTGGTGAGTGATGTGACAAACTTTATTCCATTGTTTCTGAGAACATTTCTCACATCACCCGGAGACCCGTCAGGCTCATAGCCTACGAACGGGCTGCCATAGTGTAGCCGCTGACACCCAGTCACATCGACTCAGCCTGGTTATGGCCGTTCTCTGTGACTCAGCAGAAAGCCGCACGGTCATGGTCGACACAATGTGATCTGATCGATCGATACCCTGAACATCGTTTCTCCGCTACTCAAGCTCAACAATTCAAGTGGGTTGAGGATCTTTACCCCTCCCTCTTTGCTCGTATCAAGGAGAAGGTCTCGGCTGGACGCTTTCAGCCTCTCGGAGCGACCTGGGTCGAGATGGATACCAACATGCCTTCTGGCGAGGCTCTTTGCAGACAATTCCTCTACGGACAGCGATACTACCATTCTCGCTTCGGTTTCACCTCGGACACCTTCGTACTTCCCGATACGTTCGGTTATTCCTCTCAGCTGCCCCAAATCGCTCGTTTGGCCGGCTGCATCAATTTCTTTACCCAAAAGCTGAGTTGGAACAGTACGAATAACTTTCCTCATTCCACATTCAACTGGGTGGGCATTGATAGTTCTCAAATCCTCACTCATATGACCCCTGTAAATAATTACAACTCTCAATGTCACATGTCGGATATCCGTCGTGGTATGACTGGACATAAAAACCTGGAAGTCACATCCCAAGCGTTGCTCTTGTTCGGTAATGGGGACGGTGGTGGTGGACCCACTCCACCTATGCTGGAGAAACTCAGGAGGACCCGAGTGATTGGTAAACGACATGACGCTGGAGGCCAGATCCCTCTTCTGAAAATGGGAGGTTCTTTCTCCGATTTCTTCAAGTCCGTCAGAGAAGAAACGATCAACGGGACTAGATTACCAAATTGGCGTGGCGAGCTTTATGCAGAGTTCCACCGCGGCACATATACGACCCATGGTTCTATCAAGAAAGGTAATAGGAAGAGCGAGATTCTGATGCGTGAAGCGGAGTACGCAGCGACTATGGCAAGTTTGGCAGATAGAGAGTACGAATATCCTAAGGCGAAATTGGACAAGGCGTGGGAAGAGCTTCTACTTTGTCAATTTCATGATGTTTTACCTGGCAGTGGAATCGCTATGGTATGTCTACCCTCTCTTCTTCGCTGCCAGATACTCCAAAACGATATGTCAGGACTGATTATTAGATCTACGAAGATGCCGAGATCAAATATGCCGCAATCCAGAAATCGATCACCGCTGTCCTCCACGAAGCTTATGAAATACTCTATAAAGGTTCCAAGGAATTGTCCTTTGACCAGAAGGATGTTGTGTACAATGTATTCGCCGTCAATAACTTACCAAACTACCCCCGACAAGCTGTCGTCGAAGTCCTCTTGAAAGACACTCCCTCACTCAAGGCCATCTCTGCACAGGTGTCGAACGATGGGAAAACCGGTTTGGTCTTGGTGGACGCCACCGATACTGTGAACCCTTTGATCGGTCTACCCAAGGGTCTTTACGCCAATATCACTCCAGTCATCGCTAGAGAAGAGGCGGACAGTCTGTTTATCTTGAGCAGTGGCGCCCTCGAGATGAAACTCACAAATGGACGCATCACCAGCATTTACGACAAACAGGCAGAGTGAGCTACCGACTTCTTCATGAACACGAGCTAATATCGTAGTCGAGAGCTCATTCCTGAGGGACAATCGGCAGGAATGGTCATCATGGAGGATCATCCAAACTTCTGGGAGTGAGTCATTCTTCTCAACCCAAAAAGTATATGAACTTACGACTTAGTGCTTGGTGAGAATGAAATAATTGAAACCCTCACTCCAACTCATGTTTACCATCACATATCGCCGCGTTTTTGCTCGTAGTGTCTCTTCATATATGACTTCAAGAACTTTAGAAGTGAGCTGACGTGTAGGGACGTCGATCAATTCCATCTGGAGAAACAAATCCATCTCAAATTCAACCAAGTCCATATAATCTCTACCGGACCTCTGCGCGCTACTCTAGGCGCATCCATAGTCATCGGTCAATCTCACATCTGCGTGGAGATATCCCTCGATGCTATCCCCGCTTCCCTTGCACCATCTTCCCGGCCCATGCTTCGATTCTCTGCGATAGTCGACTGGAGGGAGAAACATCGATTCCTCAAATTCGAACTTCCACTGACCGTCACATCCGATATGGCATCATACGATACTCAATTTGGTATCCTTCAACGTCCCACTCACCGGAACACATCATGGGATAACGCAAAGTTCGAAGTGTGCGGACACAAGTATGCCGATTTGTCAGAATACGGATATGGTGTTGCATTATTGAACGAAAGCAAGTATGGGTACGCAACAGAAGGAAATGTGATGAGATTGAGTCTGCTAAGAGCTCCTACTCTTCCTGATCCGGAATGCGATATGGGAGTTCATGAATTCCAATGGGCTGTTTTACCACATTTGGGCACTTTGACGGAGAGTGATGTGGCTCAGGTGGCTTATGATTTTAATACTCCCATGCGGTGTAAGTCTGTTCTGCTTTGACCTGTCGATTCATCAAGTTCTCGTCAATTTATCAAATCTTTCCATTCTCCACTGGGCTACCTTCGACCGGTATTCTCAGGACCATTTGATGGACGAAGTGTGGAGGCAAGGGCTGACATGTGACAGTACGACACACACCTAAACCCATTCATGACATCGCCTCACATGCGCTGGGCAAAGCATCGCCTTTTTCAGTGGAACATGCAAAGAACGTAATGTTGGAGACTGTGAAACGAGGAGAGGATGATATGGCCAGTGGGAAGACTACTATCATTCTCCGTTTGTTTGAGCAATATGGTGGACATGCCAAAGCGACTCTTCGGATGTGAGTCTTGTTTCCCTCTTACAATTTCTCCCAACCTAGCCTTCACATTTTGCCGCTTACATAAATTCATGATTCGTACCTCATCATATAAAAATTGGTCTGCCTCTTCCGTGGGAAGCCGCAACAGAACACGTTTTCACGAGCATAAATTACTTCCCACTATCTCACTCTCCCGCCTTTCAACAATGTGCTATGTATAAGCCTCACCTTACTCCTTCCAGAAGGTAAAGCCATTGAATGGTTTCATGGCAAAGCGGTCCATCAGACTGAGGATAACGATGAAGCTAATCATCAGCTCCGGTCTCTCGGTCTCCCGAGCAGACCTTACAGACATACTCGAAACGCCTACAGAACCTTTAGACCTTGTTCCTGTCCACGTTGAAGGTAAAGACGAAGAAGTCTTGGTAACTCTTAATTTCAGAGGGTTTGAGATTAAGACTGTCAAATTGACCATTGGAAGTTCTAAACGTCTTTCTGTGGGATCTTGGGTAGATGTCTAGGATTTTAGACGATCCCATAGCTGGGCATCTGTCTGAAATGTTGATGATGGACTTGTGAGATGGATGAGTTAGAGAATGAAAGAGTTGGAATGGTCGTGATGACGTTTAGCAAAGATATCTGGGACAATATGATATTGAGGAGTGTATGACATTCCTGGTGATTTTTTATTTTCTGCGAAGAAGGAAACATCACTCGAATCATAAGCAGAGAGACGGGTTGAACAATTATCAAAGAAGAGGAAGTACCGGTCAAAATACCTTGCCGAGGTTGTAGATATTTGAAATGTATGTTGAATATCGAAATTATTCCATCTTGACTTGACTTACATATCTTCTTTGCGTTCCCGACTCACTTTCAATCTGATTCAAGTACAATATAACACGCAACAAAAGAGCTCCTTACAAGCAATATGAACGATCTTCGAGAATTATACAATGCTATATGTGAATTGGTGATTGTATGAATTCCATGCATTTTGCACACTGAAAGATCTATGCTACTTCTCTTCATCTTCATTCAACGCAAGAATCAATGATTTTATTCTACCTCTTCCAACCCCCCATCCATGGAAGTGGGATGATCAGAAACAGATCTTTCTTTCTTATAAAAACCCGTTAAAGTCCCAACCCTTCTCGGAGCTCCAATGACAGAAGCAGATAAACTTCGACTAACTTGGTTCATACCAGCAAACAACCTTCCCGATCCACTTCTGTCACCTTTATCTCCGTCTCCAATTATTCCGCCCGCAACTGCAAGATTATCTGAGAGACCGTTATACCCTCTTGAGTTACTTGCCTTTATCTCTTCATTGACTTCAAAACTTAAATTTGGATATGTCTGATAGTTTGAATAAGAAGTTTGACCATTTTGAAAGATGAAATCATTATATTTCCCAGATGAAAAGGGTGTGAATGGTGTTAAAGGTGTGAGAGGATATGAAGGTTGTAGTGAATTAGAATTGACGGTTTTTAGATTTATAGTCTCCCATATTGATTTTCTTGAGATCAATGGATTTGGAATCAATGGGGAATGGTTTTGTGGGGTTTGTTTGGTTTGTGTAATTATGGATGATTGTTCGTTTATTGTTGAAGTTGGGAGTGATTGATTTTGATTTTGATAAGGATGATTCTGAGATGGGGAGAGTGAGGAACCACATTGTGATGATTGATTCTCATGTGAGAGTTGATGCTGTTGATTGGGTGTTTTCAAATGTCGAGTTTGTTGGATTTGACGTTGAGATGATGATTGTTCTATTTGAAGTTGTTCACTTGATAGTGATAGTGATGGAGATAATGGTAAAAGTTGGGATTGAGATACCGATTGAGAAGGATCAACAGAACTTAATTCCATCCCTTCACTCTCATGTAAAACCCTTTGTATCAAAGTCAAATCACTTTCCAATTCCTCAATCTTTCTCTCCAACTTATTATACCCCTCCCAACTTAATCTATCATCAACGTAATCTTTAGCATCTCTCAACACTTGAGAAGAATGTACGACACTACCTACACCTAACAAAGCTTCGAAACCTGAAAACAATCGATCTTCATCAGCTATAGCTATTTCTAAATCTACTCGAGCATCTTCTAAAACTTCGTATATGTTTTCCAAAATTGTGGTAAGATGAGGATCTTCAATTGGAGAAATACGACGTAGAGGATGAAGGATAGTTTTACGTTTTATACTATATGGTGTGGAAGCTAATTCGTTCGTTTTGTCTCTTAGATTATTCTGTGAGTTTGGTGTTTGAGGAATATTGGATGGGAGAGAAGAACGTAGAGAAGATAAAGAATGTGATAATGAATGAAGTTGATTTTGTAGTTTTGGATAACGAGATCTGAGGGGATTGAAAATATCGAGAAGGTTTTGAAGTTCAGGGGTTGGTTGTATTGATGAAAGAGATAGGGAGGGGGATGATGGTTTGGAAAGAAGAGGAGATGGTGGAGTGGTTTTTGTAATGAGTAATTGAAGATCTGAAGGGAGAGAAGGTTCGGCCATATCATCTATTTCGTCTCTTATTCCGATATCTTCTATAGCCGATTTGGTAACAGGTTGATCATCCATAGTGATGTGTTGAGTTTCTTGGGTGAGATTGATTAGGTCGTGATCGAGTACAGACGTCGAGCCTTTTGCGTCGTTTCCGGTATCATGATTGTGAAAAGACTTGTCATGATGTTCATCCCCCTGATACTCCTCATGATCCTCATGATCAAAATCAAACATCTCATGTCCATTCGTATCTTCATGTCCTAACCTACCTCCCACTGCATCTTGAGCCAACCATTCCACTCTCTGTCTTTCAAGCTCCATCCTCCTCTCAGTCTCCTTTTGTAGATCAGTGACGAGAGTAGTGACTAATTCTTCTGCCAATAAAACCCTTGCAACTGATTCTTCCTCTTCTTTATTCTCCACAAATTTCTCTTTCCTTCCCAATAAACCACGCCATGATCTCTTCACTTCGTTTTGTCGAGTTGTAACAGTCACAGCACGTACTCCATCATCTACCAAATTCTCCAATATGTCCGCTTCCAAAACAGCACCTTCCGCACCTTCTCTCAATCGTCTCACACGTTCTAACCACTTTTCAACACGTTTAGCTCTTTGTTCTTCCGCCGATAATAATTTCAACCTTAAACCTATTTCTCTTCTTCTCCCCGCTGATTCTCTTGCCAATCCCTCTGACATCTCATCCACCGCTCCGATCATCCTTTTCGAACGACTTCGTTCCTCCTCCAAAGCCTTCCGGAGAAGTTGTGTTTCTTGTCGTAAACTGGTTTGCGTGGCAGCACTTCGTTGTCGTAAATTATCCAAATGGCGATGAATAGTGGCATGTGTTTTTTGAGTAAAGGTCATATACCTCTCAACTACTTTGGCAGCACTAGCATCATCTCTCATAGCCTTGTCACGTTCTTCTTGACAATTCACACGTAAGGAAGTTTCAGATTGTAACTGTTCTTCTAGTATACTCACACTCCTTTCGAGTTCTTCTATTCTGACTTGGAGAGTGTGTACGAGACGTTCTTTCGAAGTCAGGGTAGAAGTAAAATCTGTGAATAAACGATGGACGCCACGTTGGCCGAGGAGGAGATTGGAGATGGATTCAGGGGATGACAGGGAGGATGGTGTTTCCGGTGGAGAGAGGGGAGTAATGAGATCAGGGGTAGATTGTAGGATTGAGGTGGAATAGGATTTTGGGGTTGTAGGTGGGACCGCGGTAGGGTCGAGGGAGTGAACCAAATGGGAGTATTCATCCAGTGCCAAATCACTGAGATCAGCTCAAGTCGCCATCGATGTCTCACAATTGCAACAAATATGAGAGAGAGAGATCTTCCACGAGCCGATTGACAGAGGAGATGAGATCAAAAATCAACGTAAGGTATGTGAGAAAACAGACGAGTGGATAGGCAACTCACCACAACTTTTTCTGTTCTTCCATCCTTCTTCTCTCTCCGCGCTCCCACTCAATTTCTTCTTCCCTGTCCTCCTCTATTCTCCTCAGTTCATTGATCACAGCTTTATCACCTTCTTTCTCCTTCGTACGTCGTTGAATCTCTTGTTTGGCAGAAGCAAGTTCCAACTGTGCCGCAGTCAGCTGTGATTCGGTAATATCGAGTTTAGCCGAGAGTCGACGATGAGCGAGGGAAAGTTCGGACAGTGCTGTGGAGGTGGGTTGGGTGGGTGGAGGGATGGGGTTTGATCTAGGGTATCAGTAAGTAGTCTTACCCCAAAATCTCATCATACTCATTCATCTCAGAGCTGGAAAGATATACATAAGTCCTCGTATCTCAAGTGGTCATATGAGAGAAAGGAGGATACACAGATGTATTCTGGTGGAATGGGCGCACAACGGCACTCCAACAGCCCGGTGTGAGGGAACGAAGGGAGAGGTTACGATGACCCACCGGAGTATCTCAACCTCCCTTTTGAGTACCTCACAAGTCTGTCTCAACCCCATAGACTCTTCCTTAGCCAAAGATAACTCCAATCTTGTCCCTTGCAACTGTATAGCCGTCTGATGGGCGGAAGTTTGATATTGATGTAATTGCTGTCGTAACGAGGTGAGCTCGAGGATTAAGGGATGTGTGGGTGGGAGAGATGTAGAAGGGAGTTTAGAAGTCATGGTGGTGTGTTTCTTCTCCCTCTGTATGGTCGGTATTATATGTACTTTTGCAAATGTAAGGACAGGAGTGGGGTCAAGCTACCTAGTTACCTTATAGCGCACAGTACTAGCTTGGACGCTAGTCAATCTCCGTCGGCCGTCGGGTGTATATCTCCTTCGCTACCAAGTCGAATCCGTCGCGTTTAGAGGAAGATGACAGGTAGTCTGTCGAATGGTATGTACACCATGTACAGCCAGCTACTGCTTGTGAGCTACTAATTGTTAACTGACTGACTCGTATTCACTCGCTGCCAAAAAGCAGACAGACAGATGGTTGTCGCCCGCAGTTGCATGGCGGTGCGGCACGTGACCCCTCGACATTACGTAATTATCTTCAACGCCTCTTTTCCTCTGTTTTGCACGAGTAAGACCAAAGTTGTACCTGTCTCGCATCTAGCATCTCGTCATCCCTCACTACTCGACTGGTACTACATGTACGCACAAGCTGTCATATACACTTAATCTCACTCTTCTCTACAACGACAATACAAGACAGATAGTTCCGACGGAAAAGGAAGCGATACTTACCCGTAAACAGGGCATCGTTTAGGATCAGCACGGACCCCCCCACCCCACACCCCCCCCCTCTCTTTCTTTTTTCAGAAACCCTTATAAACATATTCCTTTCTTTCCTCATCCCCCAAACTCCATCATGCAGCTCAACGGTATCGTCAACGGTAACGGCAATGGTCATGGTACATCTCATCATTCACTCAAGGTGAGTCACCTTTTTTTCTTAACAAAGATAGAGCTCATGTTACAGCGCGTGCTCGTCACTGGCGGATTGGGTTATATAGGATCTCACGTCGTCGTAGCCTTACTCATGACTGGAAGATATCTGCCTATCGTAGTGGACAATTGTCATAATTCGTATCCCGAGGCATTGAAGAGATGTGCAGAGATCGCGAGGGATGAACTTGGGTGAGGTCCACTTATATACCATCCTCCTAGGCAACGCGACATCTCGATCGTATGACTGTTGCTGTGAGAAAGTGTAGGGGTGAATCTCATTTGAGACACAAATCAAGTGGGGCAGAGTAGGGAGTAGAGGAAGAGCAAGGGAAGTGCTTATAATCAGGAGTGACGCGCCTCAACCTTTATTTCATCGAAAAGATATCAGAGATAAAGCTGCTCTGGATGAGATTTTTCGACAATACGATGAACAAGGAGGGATATGGGCTGTTATACATCTTGCTGCTTTGAAAGCTGTAGGGGAGAGTGGAGAAATTCCTTTGGATTATTATCAAGTTAATGTCGTCGGATCCATCTATCTCTTAGAGGTATGTCGATATAAATTTCCCTTCCCACCCCTCCCCCCCAAAAAAGAGAAAAAAAAAACAAAGATGTACCTTGTTGGTGGTATCACTTCTTTGGGAAAGGCACTAGAGGGAAAACTGATCATAGACCATGGCAAAACATAATTGTAATCACTTAGTTTTCTCATCTTCCGCAACGGTATACGGTACACCTAAAATCATCCCTATACCCGAATCCTCTCCTTTACAAGCTGCATCATGTTATGGACGGACGAAAGCGATGGTTGAAGATATCATTCAGGATTTATGTAGGGCGGATGTTGGTGAAGGAAAAGGAGAGAGTTCTTTACGTGCTGTCAGTGTACGGTATTTCAAGTGAGTCGCTGCTTTCAAACTTTACCCCACTACCTGGTCACGCTGTCCTCTCCCATTCATTCTCGCGTTTCTTACCGATGGATTCAGTCCGAGGCTTTGAGGTCGGACGTCGGGGTGCAAGCGACTAACTGTACAGTCCTGCAGGAGCACATCCATCGGGAAAATTAGGCGAAGAACCTCGAGGAAAACCGGGAAATTTACTCCCCTTATTGGCTCAGATGGCCACTGGGAGACAAAGGGCGGATTTGAAGATATTTGGGAATGATTATCCCACACGGTATGTCCCGTTCACCTTTATCTCTCTCGTCGCTACCCATGCACTGCCCACTCTCTCGGTACACAGCCCTCTTGTCCATGTTCATCTCGGCACCAACCAAGATACATGTTGCGAAAGGCCTTGTAAAATGTCGATAAGATAGCTGACATATAGCGATGGGACCTGCGTCCGGGACTATCTTCATGTTATGGACCTGGCCAATGGTCATGTCCTCGCTCTCGACTCCCTCGCCAAGCCTTCAAGCGGGAATACCATTTTCTCCCATGTGAACGTAGAGAGTGAAGGTTACTTTAGAGCGTTCAATTTGGGTAAAGGAAAAGGAATGAGTGTTTTAAATATGATCGACGCCATGAAGAAGGCAAGTGGGTTTGATTTCAAGTATGAGATTGTTGGTCGGAGGTGAGTTGTTGATACATATTGATATTCCTCTTGCTCCCTCGACAAACCTACACATCCTCAGGTCGAACCAGTACCTCAATCCTTTCATCTACCAGCGTATTTCTTGTCTGTTTTCTGGTAGCGATCAATCATGTCAGTATTGACCCCAGACTTGGCGACGTTCCCGACTTAACAGCCGATCCCTCATTAGCGGAAGAAGAATTAGGCTTTTTAGCTCAAGAAGACCTCGATACGATGTGTCGTGATTTATGGAACTTTCAAACGAGAAATCCACACGGATACGAATCGACTTCTTCTCTACCACCACCCATCCTCTGATCCAATTCTGTCTTTGTGCTCTCCCTATACAACTTTCATGTTTCATGTTCGGTGTCTGCTCGCATGCTGCGTTCCGTATTGGTCGGATCCCCAGTCGGGATAAGTTAGTGAAAGGACCGATGATATAATCTCAAAGTAGACATGATGGTCAATCACCTTTTTTCTCTACCGATGGGTCCTGTGGATGTGTTCTCGAGGACCTGTAGTGTTTAATGTGTACAAAAAATGGACAATGCATCGATTCGTGCATGTAATTGACAAGTCTAAGACATCTTACTACAGTATTATCGCACAAAGTCGTCAAATGCCACGTCACAGTGATCCCCTTGCGACTCTCCCCGCTCTCTCCCCCCCTGCAGCCTGACTAGGTAACTTGCTCAAATTTATGATAATTTAGTACTCCTCTGGCCATCTCGACCAGTAGTCTGAAAGAGCCGTTCTGCTACAAAAAAAAAGGTATAGGTTCATCTTTTCAAGATATCCCGACCGAGTGAGTTGTCTCTTATTCTGATTTAGCGATGGCTGACCTCGCTTCTCTTTGCGCCCTACTCACTCTCCCATCCCTCCCTCGCCTACTTCTTCAAATCACCTCGTCTTCTTGGCTTCCTCATTCCGCCGCTCCCTACTTCAACTTGCCTGCACACACCTCAATATGACTTCGACGTCACTTGATTCCCCACCTATCACTCACCCAGATCCCATCCTCATCCCCCCCTTGGGGTTCTCCGAGTCGCGTCGTAGACGACCTCATTCCCCTCCTCCCACCAACGCGCCCAACATGCCTTCCCAATCTTACATTTCCTTCACACCCACCACTCAACGTCTCACCATTCGGATCGCTTTATCATTCTTAGCTCTTCTAGTCCTTCGTGCCATTTTCTTACCATCTTCCTCTCCAGCAGAAGAGATTCAATCTCACGGAGTACTCGAACGTGTTTTATTAGCCGATAAATACCTAGACGTATCAAAATATCCATTCCTTCAATCACGTATAGGTCGTGATGATCGTTGGGATCTTTTCGATTTAGAAGTAGGTGATGGTATAGTTGATTTTTGGGCAAGATTTCAAAAACCATTCATAACTGGTAAAGATACAGCACATCTCGATACTCAAGTAATGCGTACAGTAATCGATAATTTACTTCAGTTCAACGGTTGGGTAGCTGCTGCTTGTCCTACTTTAATAAGACCATTTGGACAAAATAATAGAGAAGATCATTATGAAGATTTAGCATTAAAAGATAATTTATATTATATCGCTATAGTAGTACATTCCGCCGACCATTTTTTGATTGATCAATTAGCTATCATCGTTCAATTAGCTAGAAGATTGGGAACAAGAAATATTTTCGTTTCAATGTTAGATATGGCTTCAAGTGATTCGACTCCAACTTTATCAGATTTAGCTGAATCTGTTATGACTATTTTAGGTATAGCTTTTAGGATTAGAAGAGTTCCACCAATGACAGCGGACCCTTCTGCTACTTATTATCCTTTGGAAGAGGCTGAATCTAGAAATTTAGCTTTGGAACCTTTACATGAATTATGGAATAGGAGAAGTATAAAGTTTCATAGAGTCGTTTGGTTGAAAGGTTTCACTTGTCCTAATGATGTTTTGGAAACTTTAAGAGTTAGTGAGGTTAATAATGCTGCTATGGTTTGTGGAATGGATTGGGCGGAACATAATGGTTTTTTCATTTTTTCAGATCGGTGGGTTTTGTGATTTCGCCTACCTACCTACCTACCTACCTACCTACCTACCTACCTACCTACCTTCCATCAAACCCCTCTTATTAACTATTCTTCACTTGGTCCGCCCCCCCCCTCCCCCTCTGGCAGATCTTGGCCCCTTTCCCGCTATCACGAGATCTTATTTGTCTTCCCTTCAATTTTGATGTATGTTGCCTCAATCTAGCAAGTCTCATCTTGTTATGTCCATTACAGGTGCTCACCCCAGATGGCGTACTCGTGACATTGAAGGAAATCTCTTCCGTCAAGCAAAATCCAACTCTAAACCCGAAGCTGGACCACCTAGAGATCGAATCGGTACCGAACGTTACGCCGGACATCTTCCTTTTCAAGTTTACTGTTGTGAATCCGGTACACACGTTGTCGATCCTGAACAATCTTATTACCGTGATATTCATTATCGTTCTTCAAACTTATGGCATAACCTTTCAACCACTCAAGAACCACCCAATTGGGACGCTGATACACAATGTATGGATAGTACACAAATGTGGTTTTGTCGAGATTTATGGACCGACGCGGCTAAAGATGGTTTAAAAGCAGGTAGTAAAGGTGGACATCGTAAATTATCAAAAGTACATAAACGAAATTTCTTCGATAATCTATTCAACTGGAGTGGTTTGTCACATTCAAACCCAAACGATGTTACTCATTCTACATTCGAATCTCAATCTCAATCTCAAATGTCGTCCAAGGAAAAAGACTCGCATTCATTTGAAAAAGAATCAAACTTTGTGAAAAAATCACATCGTAAAAATAAAATGGAAAAAAGAGAAGGGAATGAAATTAAACAAAGAGAAGATCAACAACAAGATGGTGGAGTTAATGATGAAGCAGGAACGGATGTTGATGCCATTGATGAAGATTTAAATAATCCAGCTCTTGAACCATTAAAACCACAAGATTTACCAGCATCAGCTTTTTTGATACCAAATTCCGCTTTCACACCAGCAAGGATAGTGGTGAATCCTAGATGCGTGACGACTTATGGTGGTGTCAGTCATACTCAATTAGCATTAGATTTATTCGGTGGTGAAAGGGATGAAATCGAACATAGTGGTGGTAATTATATTTTAGATGATTGGGCAGGTCCACCTGATAGTTTTGTTTGTCAAGAAATGAAAACTACCGGAGGAAGGACGGCACCAAAATCTCAAAGAAGAGTTGGGTTTTTATTACAGAATGAGGTTAGTGATTTCTTGTATCACTTTTATGAATCACTTCATTCTCACTTCTCATTTCTCATCATATCTTCCATTCGTGTTTCTCACTTTCCCCCTAAATGACCATCCTGCTGGTGTCGGAAAATCAACGATACAACAACACATGATCATGTTTTGGTCTACTGTTTTGACACTGGGCCTGTGACTGAGAAAATGTGTCGATCTTATTTCGTCCATGGCATTTGCGTTCAAGCAAGAGCTGACGATCCAGGTGGGTATTTGATGGAATCCCGGTGATCCGGTAACGTCGGAAGAGACAATACGACGTATTGGAAGAAACGTCAAAAGGAGGAAGGAGGAAGGAGGAAGGAGGAAGGAGGAAGGAGGAAGGAGGAAGGAGGAGATGCGTATGGCTGACAGTGGGATACCGGGGGCCATTTGCCATTTTGTGAATATAACTCCATCAGAAATGCAATAGATATTCATGAAAAAGCATCTACAACAATAAGACGAAAGAATCCATCTCCACAAACCTGAAATTTAAATTGTCCATTTTTTGATATGTTTTTTTTTGGAAATCTTACTTTCCTTTCTACCCCAAATCCCTATCAATCTGAATGGAGATCAACTCGATATGTAGCTAAAAGAAAAGTATATATAAATAGATATATTGTAAAATCCTTATTGTCCATGATCCACTTTTCTGAAATGAAGAATTTCTTTCACTATCTCACAATACTTGTACCATTTCTCACTTCCCCTTCAACCCTCTCATCCATATCCCCTTCAATCAAATCCGCTCTCAAACCAGACTCATTATGATTGGTTTGTCCTCCCAATCGGTCTCCGGACACTTCCTCATCCAACAAACCTATTGGCTCCGACTGATGAAATACCACCGGTGGAGTCACCTCATCACCTTCTTGTCGTCTGATCCCATCCCAATCTAATTCTTCATATCTAGGTGGTAATTCAACCCTTTCTTCATGTTCTTCTACATTCCTAACTCTTCCACCATCTTGATGAATGACATATTGCATTTCCCTTTCCCTTTCTCTTTCTCTACGTCTATTCCTTCCATTCCTTATCCCAGAAGAACTTTCAACTTTTGTATCATTTTCTAAAGGTGGTAATGGAGAAGAAGAAGAATCATGTAATGTTAATCTTCTAGGTGAAGTAGTTTCTTGTCTTAATAAAGGATCTTGAGAATCACCACGTTGTATACCTCTTTCATCAGAATTCGATCCATGGGGATTATGAGCGATTTGAATGGTATTGGAAGTAGGAAGTGTGTTTAAGGTTGTTAATGTACTGATTGAAGAAGGATTATTATATCTTTCAGAATTTGAATTCATATAACCTTGACTTGAATTCGTACTTTGACCTTGTAACATTGAAGGTGAAGAAAGTGGAGTTTCGTCTCTGAAAGGATCTAGACTAGTGTGTAATGGTGTTAAACCGAGTCGATTTTCTCTGTTTTCTCTAATGGGAGATGTATTGGATGGAGATGGTGAAAGAAGATCTAATTGAGTTGGAGAAGTTGATCCGTTTGTTCCTATACCACCTCTACCGGATCTTTGTTTACCCAACGAAGAAGGGAAAGATGAAGTTAAAGAAGATTGTCGTCTTTTACGTCTAGCTCGATAACAGAATAGACAAAGGGAAACGAGGAGAAGTGTACCGACGATCGAGATGACGCATGCTATGATTGTTCGGACTACTGAGGAATGATGAGGGGAAGAAGGAGTCTCATCGGGTATACTAGTAGGGGTATTGGTACTGATTATAAGTTTTGACAACTTTAGTTTTCGCAATGACTAAGATGTGAAGCAATGTAGAGAATGTGAACCATACTGTGATGAGGTTGAACAAAGATTGAGAATGTGTATGAGGGAAGATCAAGTTCAAAAAGGAAATTTCGATTGATGACCACATTTAGTGTGATGGGTTTATGGAAGAGAAGAGGGGTGTTGAAAAGAGATAAGGGAAACTTACGAAGTATCACTTCCTGTTGCTGTGACACTAGGTGCACCATCACCATCACCATAAAAACTTACACAACCAGTAGTACCTTGTCCAACCGTCATAAGTGCAGTAGAACCACCTGAAGCCCATTGTTCGTCACTACCAATCCCAGCGACCAAAATGAATCTAGTACCTTTTGCCATATCTACCGTCCAATTCAAATGTGTGATACCTTGCGAAGTATACGTGGTAGGTGTATCGGATAAAGAATCGGAAGGTAAAGTTTGTGCAAATTTTGATTTTCTTGAATATGTTATAGGTAAACTGAAAGAATTTCCTAATGGTATAATACCAAACATTGTAGGAGGTGTAGTCGTGTTTCCAGCTTTTGTTTTAGAAGAAGATGAATCCATTTGCGTCATGGAAAGATCAGTGTCATTGGCTGTGGTTGCTGTATTGAGAGAGGAATCGACAGCGGAGGAGATATCAGAGATATTATCGTTTGTTGATTCAAGAGCTCGACGGGAATCGGAAGTGACGTTGGATTCCAGAGAAGTAGGCCATGACATTGTGAGGTTTGAACATTGAGGTGGATAGTCGTTGGATGTATCGGAAATGTTGAATGCGAATGTGTAAAGAGATAAGATGGCAGCGTCGGATAGGAAACATGATCCTTGAACTCCGGTGGTTTGAGGGCCGACGGCTGTGAATCAGTTTTATTCTTGTCGATTCCTCAACATCCCCACCCATCCCTCCTCATTCATGGTGCCGGAGATGCTATCTGGTGGAACACCACCAAGACGACTGTTTGAATCATCTCTGATGGTACAACATCTGGACGAGGAACGAATAGGATAGGAAAGAGCACACGAGATAGAGAGATGACTCGGATTATTAGGTAGATGAGACGGTCTGGAAAAAGCGCACAATGAAAAAGGGGAAAGGAGAAAGACGATATCGGGATGAGAAACAACAAAAGTATCTTCACTCACTAATCACATCAGTCGTACCTGCAAACTTTATCCCACTCGATCCCCATACTGTCAACAAGAATTGAGTTCCTGCAGGTTGGTTTATCGATAGATTATATTTGTTCGCGTGTTGGTCGATACTTGGTATCCAGACATTGTAACCATGTTCGACAAAAGCGGTCTGTGGTCAATCCCTGTCATCCCTCTACCTTTCACACCGCGCCACCAGGGGCAGGTGGACAATATATCGCTACATCGCTGTCTTTTCCCCGACGCTGGATCCATCGGCGGTCAAGAAAGTCGTCCCCCGCCCATCTCTCTCCATTAAGTTCCATTCGAATGGACTCGGATAAAGTCAAGGCGTCATCTGCTAACCGGAGAGTCGTACAAGCTCATTGTAAGGGACAGGAATCATAACTTTACTCCCCTATCTAATCAACAAGAAATCAAATATACTCACAGGAGTAAGTAAAAGATGATAAGGTCCATCATCTCCCCACCATCTATCCGTCAGCTACATCCTCACATCTCTCAGAGGAGAAGAAACATACTGTACGGTCGAATTCCCACATTGTGTCGGACTGTTCATCAGCTTTGTCTCACATGAACCCATTCATAAGATCAAACTCACGCAGTGACATTGACACTGAGATAACCTGCTTGTGTGAACAAAGGCGATAGAGTCACACCCAGTACGACCAGTAACGACATGGATGTCCACATGTCGGGAGATGACGAGTCGAGGGTTCACAGGTAATAATGGAGTATGTATGGCGTAAATAATTAATGTGTCGTTGTAGTGATGTAGTGTCCTTTGGTTTGTGTTCCACTAATTTGATAAGAAGCGGTGGTTGGTGCGAGAAGTACGATGAGTTATTAATATTGATGAGCTAGTGGGATCCAGCCCAGATACTAGATGATGATATTTAGATGTTGGAAAGAGAAAGATATGTGTTCGATGATGGATTCAGATGGTTCTGGTCGATGTGTCTCAAATGATGGATAAAAGGGTCGGTCGATAACCGTCGATGATGTACTTTACTTTTACTTGGACTTTGATGTCGTTCGGTATTCTGACGACGGATTCTTCGACTAGGTGGGTTGTGAGTACATGTTATTATCTGATATGTGAGGAATAAGAAGAGGATGGAAGATACAGAGTGAGAAGCTAGGTAGAGAAGGAGATTTGAAGGGTGACAACGGGCTTTTTTTTAAGCTTTCAAACGTTGCAAGGCACCCGAAAGCCGAGCATATTCTCACTGCTGATACTTCACATCTATTCATTTGTACAACTATGTGATATCAGACATATAGATACAGATATAGGGATAGCCAGAAGAATGACAGATTCACTGTATCCATTTTCTTAATTCTTTCTCAATCACCACCACCCCTCCCTTTTCTTTCACCGCGGATATCGCCGTCGTCTCCCCTTCGACACTGGTACCCGCCGTTCCAGGCAGGAAGACCGCTGTTGGAAACCCTGCTTCGAGTGAAGACAAAGCGGTAGATTTAACACTTTTGTAAGCTTTGCATGAGTGTAGATACAAGGAACATACCAATAGTCTAAAGCTAGACCAACGACGACTACTTTTTGGATTCGGTTCAGAAACAGATATCTGGCGAGTTCCGTTTCTCTTGAGGAGACGGGAGGATCGACTGGTTGGTCGGGAGTTGTGTCAGAGGAAGTGGTAGATTCAGGAGCAAGGAGATATCCTTCGAAAGCAGAATAGGCTTCGAGACATTTGTGACATGCCTGAGATCAGTGGTGTGCACTTGTACTTACCCCGTATCCTTCTAATTGCCTGAGTTGACACTCGGGTAAAATAGGGGGAAGTGTGTGGGTGACTCGGACGACTACCCAAGCTCTAGCATGTAGCAAGGGGACTCATAATAACGACTGAGAGGTCTGTATCGATTTTAGAGAGCAAAATTGGCGTTGAAGAGAGGGAAGGAGGGGTTACGGGAGCAGAAGGGATACATCGAGGAGGAAGAGCATACCTTCCGAACAATCCTCTTCTCTCCTTTCCAACACCTCAAACATTCATTCACATCCTCATGTATCTCCACCCCGTGAGTACCTACAATACAATGATCAGGCCACATCATCTGTTCGTACGTTCTGTCATGTACGTCGGTGACTATTCTCGAGGTGAAAGGTTGTGCATCATGGGTAGAAGCGAAGGAAATATGACCTGGGGGATGATAGTCCTACTGATCAGCTTTCTGTCCCATGTTCCATGTCCCTATCCTCTCTCTTCATTTTTCCTCCCGTACACCTCAAAGATTCTTCTTGAACCGAACCTCGATCAGACAAAGCTGACCTTATACACCGGGCATATGTCGGGGTATTTACTGAAGACGGGACGAGAGAAGGGAAGCTATCTGTGAGGGAAAGGACCGACCTGGGAAGCGACGACAATTGTCCAATCCCATCCCTCCTCCACATCCAATAACTTGTTGATGGGTGATAAGATACGATCCCCGTCAGGTATAGCTAGTGAACCATGGGGTAAGAAATCGTATTGTACGTCAACTACGATTAGAGCTGTTCTTGTCATTAGTTGTACACTTACCAAGACATCCTCCCCGCGCTCGCCTGCTCAATCTTATTGCGACTAAGATCAGTCACGTGATCAAATTCACTATCACTGCTCGCTATCATCTCACTCGTCCTCATCATCACATCTTACCTCGTGGACAGCTGTCGCAGGCAGTTCGTCAAATGGGGAGGTACGTATAAGTGGCATACATGTCCGGTAAACGAGGAGGTGAACTTATAAAAGGTCAAGGAAGATGAAAAGACACACGTAGGAATATCCTTTCTCTTTCTTACTCCCAATACCCAAAGGATGTCGACTTTCTCAACCTCATCCTCTTACCATCCCCCTCCATCTCTCTGCTCACTCGTAATCTCAACAGCTCTCTAAATCTCAAATTCTCCCATCAATCTCACAACACAGGTACTGATCTATCAAACACTCACATCACATCACCTCCACCGCTCTCCAAGCACCTTCATCCTATTGTAGAAACCCCCTCGTCACTACACAACACACAATCATACCTCTGACCGACTACTAAACTCCTACCCACGTCCTCCACAAAACTTTCGCTCGTTATCTAACCCCACTGACCATTCCTGACCATGTCTGATCCACGTGAAGAGGCGAAGAAACAGGCAGAAGCCCAAGCTAGAGCCAAAGCCAAAGCTGAAGCAGCTGGAAAATCCCCTTCGTCCTCTTCCAGTGACCCCAAAGCTGCCGCCGCGGCTCAAGCAGCGAAAGAAAAAGCGGCGAAGGAACAAGCAGCTGCCAAAGGTGGTTCTTCTTCCTCTGGCTCTGGCTCATCCAGTTCCCGTCCCTCCTCATCTTCTTCTTCCTCGTCCTCCGGTGGATCCAGCTCGAGTTCAAGTCCATCACCAAAACCATCCGTCGCAACCCCTCAAATCAGCGCAAACGCATGGATGAGTTTCTTTCTCTTCGTATGTCTTTGTCTCATCATTCTTCAAGGTCCACTAGGTTTGACAGCTTCCGCCCCTGCCGCGTCTCTCGGTGGTGGATGGTTCGGTTCATCGAATTCAGGCGGTACAGGTGGATGGGGTGGATTACCAGGATGTGGAATGGGAGTTGTTATGATGCCATGGTGTTCGAATCCTGTTCAACCTGCCATAGGTGGTGGTGGTGCGGGTGGTGGTGGAGGAATGGGAGGACAAGGAGGTTTCGCTTTACCTGGTGGAGGAGGAGGATGGAGTTGGTATGCGAACCCTCAACAACAAGGTGTTCAAGGTTTTCCAGGTGCTCAAGGGATGCAAGGTGTGCCGCAAATACAAAATGTACAGATACAAGGTGGTGAGTACACGTACGCTCATTGTTCCTGCCTATTACCTCTCTCGTACTCTACTGTCTCACTTTTCGTTCTTCGCATCCCCCTTTCTCTTCTCCCTCTCGAATGAGGACATCAAATTCCTCGTCTCTCTTTCCCCTGTCCAATCATCATGCTGGAATTCTCCCCTCTCTTCCCCTTCTTCAATGAGAACAACTAAAATCCACTTCAATCTTCTTCCTTTCCCAAGCCACTATATCCCTGAAGAAAAGGGAGCAAAAAGAAGAAGACTTACTGATGACAGGATACGACCCATACGCAGGTATGATATGTCTTTATTTCCCATATCTTTGTCCATTCGTTTATCTACCCATGGCTCAAGGACAACAAATCCCAAATGGTCAGTCCCTTTCAAATACTACATCAACTGACAAAACAGCTTATCCTTACCCTCCTCCTCCCGGTGATAATTCAAGAGAATACATAAGGACATCAAATGGTATGATATATGAAAAACCTGCAAAAGTCGTCCAAGTTTCTCAACAACTTCCAAGAGGAAGAGGTGGACCTTATACTTATAATCAACCTCAAGGACCTCAAATACCATATGGTTATGGGATACCTCAACAGAATTACGGACCTCCTTTTCCTGGTGGGTACAATGGGATACCGAGGAATCAGGGATTGAATATGGGTATACCACCTAATTATGGGACTATCCCAGGACAAGTTGGAAGAATACATTCTCATCCTGCTCCTCCACCTCCTTTAGGAGCTCCACCAGTTTCTCCAGCGACACGTGAGTTTTGTTCTGTTCTCAATGTCTCCTTCCATGTATTTGCTATCTTCTTTCGTCGTACTTTATTCGTCTCTATCCTTCTGATCCCTTTTGCATCCCTCGTGATTCATCAACCTGGTCGTCGGAATCGGCGACATCATCAACTCTTTATACACCAAGTTCCGACACCTTTTCCTCAATACTCACACTTACCGATCGGCATTTTCTGCTATTCCACTCTTCCACTCTTCCACTCTTCCACTCTTCCACTCTTCCACTCTTCCACTCTTCCACTCTTCCACTCTTCCACTCTTCCACTCTTCCACTCTTCCACTCTTCCGCTGTTCCATCCTCTTCATCTATGATGTTATCGCCAGTCCGCATCGTCTGATAATCCCAACCGCTCAGCTAACTGACTCACAAGCTATAAATGAACAAAGTCCAGGATTAGCAAACCTCGAAAATGCTTTTTACCCATTATTAGTAGGAGCCATCGCCTTGTTGGTAATTTTCGACTATGCGACATGATCGAGCCTCCCCCTCCCCCCTTTCCAGTGTTTCCACTCTTCATCGAGCATTTCTCTCCAATGACCATCTCATGACGTGTCCATCATTCGCTCTGACCTGTATGGAAAGCAGCTCATGGACTCTCGATCGCTGACGGAAAACTTGAGCATCAAACTTATGAGACCTCGAGCAGTGTTCTCTAAGACGAGGATCGATCGTCAGTAGAAAATAGTCAGTGAAAATTAGTTAAATCAAGATGTTTAGTAGACTACAGTAGTAGTATCAGATGATTGAACTTTATGCATCTTTCTTCCCATCTTTTCTTTATTTTAGCTGATCAACGGAGAAAATATGAATTGTTTGATCAAGATGTACGAATATGTAGATATGTTTATTTCATTATGACATCTCGAGACATCCAATCCCTGATAACACCTATCCATCGTCGAAGATCACACATTGCCTATCTCATCTACTAATTGAGAAGGTCCCATTCGGCCAATCACCAGAAATACGATTGAGAGTCACTTTCCACCTCAGGTTATGATAAACCAGTATCATTCACCATTGAGTCAAGAAGTATCACCTCATCCGACTGAGAGCAAGATACCATCCCTCAAACCAGAAATGACGGAATGATAAAGCTCTTCCCCGTGAGAAAAGCCAAATACACCTCAAATGGTAATGTCTAGATTCCAAAAACGAGACTCTCCGCTATTTTCTCCCCGAATCGTCCGAATCGACTTCTAACACTATTACCCGTATGTGTATTCTCTCGTCTGGCTGGAATGCTAGGGATTTCTGGATCATTCTTGGGGTTTAAAGGTAGTTCAGCTGGATATTGCGTTCGGTCCGACTGGACGTTGGGATTTTTGTTGAATAGTTTTTCTGCTTTTGTTTGACTGATAGTCAGTCGTCATTAATCAGAAGATGAGGTATAACTGTATCTACACATGAACCGATCAGGATACGGCGAAGAAGAGGTGGAGGGAGGCAGTCAATGATAGCGACGAATATTGGAGTGAGTTGACAGAGGAAAGCAAAAGTGAGCTAATCATGGTTATGAAAGATGAAATAAGCGATACACGAGGAAAAGCGTTCTGGACTCACGCTTTCATCGACTTCTTCTCTTCTTTACTCATTTTCAACTTACTTTTAATCTTCTTACTCGTCCATGAAGTACTTCCTGAATGAACACTATTCGTATCGTTTTCCTTCGGAGGAGGCGGTAAATCCCTCTCTTCTCTCTGAATCATTTCAACCTCTCTTATCTGCTCTTCCTTTAAAGTCAAATATCTCATTCCTAAGTTCCCTTCGTCCGACTTGTCCCCCGTGGTGCCAATTTGCATGTTCATTAACTTGTCCCCCGTAGCCCCGATTTGCATGTTCATTAACTTGTCTTCCTTCCTTCTCATACCCACATCAGGATCGTCATCCCATATCACTGGTCTTCTCATTCTTGTCAACGTCTGACTTTTGAACATATCCCTAGGATATCTTCCTTCACCCGATAACATCAACTGAGCTTGTCTCTCTCCCGAAGATAAATTAGTAAGATCATACGTCGTATCTACATCGTATATCCTAGCTGTGGTAGGTTTACGAAGATTATCTTCAGACATGTATCTTTGTAAACTTCTTTCTTTCCTTCTTCCACTCATCGAGTTATACGGTGGTTGGGTTCGAGTAGAAGAGAAAGTTTTTGATGAGGTTGGAGTGGTACTATGATAATTTCCAGAAGTAGAATTGAAAGATGTAGAACGGGAAATAATGTCTGGATTTCCTTTTCGTGTAACAGTCGTAGTATTGTGAATATTGACGAGTTTATTAATACCGGAATGAGGCCATGCGGATGGGGCCACCTTCTGGTCTTTCGACTCTATGGGTGATATGGCGCTTTGCTCGAGAGGATGGATCTTGCGGACTGGTGAAAATACATATCGACCTGTTGGACGATTGACAACTCTGGCTTCGTAATGTACCTCCTTGGTCTTTTGTATTGGGGAAGAAGATATCGACTTGACTCCTGGAGTACTTGACACCTTGTGCTCTCTGGATCCATAATTCTCAAGTGAGGTGGAGCGAGGGGTTTTTTCTTGAATTCTATCTTGCTTCGATGAAAAAGTGTGAAGATTCCCTTCATACCCTTCCCCATCCCGTGGGGTCGGAGGGTACAACGACCCTTCACTCGAAGTGGACTCTCTGAAATAATACTCGTCTTCCATCATACCCAACTCGGGGGTCGGAGGTAAACCCAAATCCGTCCTACTAGACATAGGTGAAACAGTCACCGAAAGACCTTTACGCAAAGTTGATTTTGACATTTCCTTTGGGATCGTTTTGTCTACATTCAAGCTGGCTGATATGTCATCTCGGAATGAGGAGACCTGTGTCTTCTGATCTGAATCAAACCTGTTATCGAGATAACCGGAAATCGATGGATCCGGGTAGGTCGTTTCGACTGTGTGATCAATAGAATGGGGGTTTGAAGATGATATGGACGTTGAAGTCGAGGTAGGAGAGAGTGGAAGTGATTCGGATTTGAGATGAATTGGTAAAGTAGGTGAGTCCGGTAAAGTCGGATTTAGTTCCAGCTGAACACGTCGAAAAGTAGCTTGAGGAGGTGAAACATGTGAACTACTTTCCGCTCCTGTTGAAGTTTGAGAAGGAGCTGTATTCCCACTTCTTTGAGGTGTACCAGTAGGTAAAGCTCCTTCTGTAGTCGTAGCAGATTGAGGACCTTGTCTACCACTTCTTGATCCTGTGTTACTCTTTGCTGACTTTTCATCAGCCCGTTGTTCTTCACTTGACACCAAAATAATAAGATAGATCGACTTACATGAATCATTTGTAAAGCTCTGACTTGTAATGGTAATTCCCCACTTAAAGAAGCTACTTCATATACACCCACAGCATTTGTAGGATCTAGCCTTTCGTGTAAAGCATGCACAACCAATTTCCCCAATCTTTCCAACTGATATTGTTTAGCCATGAATAATAAAGCGGATAATACCGGTGCACGATTTTGTAATTGAGTTGATATTGTTAATGTATATAGATATTGTAAAAAAGCCACACAAACAGGGAAAGGTTGAGGCATATTTATTTGAGAAGGTTCTAATTGAGCTGGTGAATAAGATCCAAGAAGTGTATCATTTATATCGACCGATTGAAGTTCTTCAACCACAGAAGATGTTTTCTCTAACATTTGATTTTCTTGTTGAGCGAACCATGACCATCTTTCTCTTAATAAACGTTTTGAACATTTGATCTTTCTACCATCTTCACAAACGACTTCGAAATCAGAAACCAATTGTTCTTCCAATAAACTCAATCCCGTCTCCTGAGTCAAAGTTGGTAATTGAAGTTTTGGTGGAGTATAAATTCCGAATGTTTCTAGAGATATGATAGCCAAATGATCAAGATTGACAGCTCGTTTACCATAATCCGTAGCGAGATCGTAATTCGCGTTACCAAAAACTATCAAACGATTTTTTTCAGGCCATAAAATAGCTTTATTCCAACTTCCATCAATCAAGACTGAAGGTTCTAGATGTTTCCAAGTCATTTCTTCTAAATTCAAAGCCCATATGGAGAAAGCTGCAGAAGTTGAAGCGAGGTATAAACCACATAAAACGAAATGATTCCCTACTATACCCCCTGTTGGAAAACGTAATCCGGGAGGTTGAGAAGTTCCTCTCATTCTTGAAGAGATATCACGAATATTAAAAGTTGGAGGAGAGATATGTTTTTCTGCTGAAGTGAATGGAAGTGTATCGGATTCGATAGGAGTGAATAAATCAAGTTCACGACGAACTCGAGCAAAATCGTAATTTGAATAACACCATATATCCCCACCTTCTCCTTCTTCATCGATAGTGTACGAATGAGTTGTGGAGGGTTTGTTATCGATCCGACGTGGAAGGATGACTTTTTGTTTGGAAGACGCCATAACACTTCGATATGCACCTTTTGAATGAAGCCCTGACATTTCGGGTTGGGCCGTCTTGGAGATCCAGCGACGAGTACGAAGGTCGTATACGTTGACTTCGTAGATCCATCTGTCGTGAGCATGCAATCATTCACCCGGCACCCAGGGTACCACAGATGAAATGGCACGCTTGATGTGATTATTGTGGAACAACATGGTTGATCATTGTGGAATAAGAACATGCAGATCCTTGTGAGAGAGTTCTATGGAGATTAAGAGGGCCAGCACATGACCCGTGAGACGTACTGAGCCAGGTGTATTTCGGGATGGGAAATAGGAGGAATGATACGCGTCATCAAGGCAGTGACAAGCAGAAGATGACTCACGAATTGTCGGAATGTTGTCCACCAGAAACGATCAACTTGCCTCTCGACACCGCACTCAGATGAGCGTATCTAGGAGACGGCAGCAAGTCTTCGTCCTGTTCCTCCTCCGGTTGCGGCAGCCATTTCCTCGTCAGGCAATCAAAGAACCAAATATCGCTATGAACGGTAGATTCCGCACTCGACATTCCACCGAAACACACCAATTTATCTTCCCCTATGTCTCAGCTTGTTTCTGTGTACTTAGGGGACGAAACTTACAAACATCCATTGAATGGAAATATCTAGGACCAGGACCATCCCCTGCATCTAAACGTGTCCATATTCTCGTACTGAGATCCATGGACCACATGATGTCTGACAGACGACGGTCGTGTACTTGTTTTCCGCCATAGAGGAAAACGGTGGGTTGATGAGGGGAAGGAAGTGGGGAGATGGTGACTGATGGGCCCTGATATTTAGCCATTGCTTTGTTATCCTCAGACCCAACCATGTGGAATGATAATAATCGTGCATTTAGATGAATCCGTCGTTAACTTGGTGTTCGATAGAGTGTATGCGTTGTTCCGTGGTTATGGTAGTGAACGAGAGTGACTCACAGTGAGTGGAACCGGTATGTCACCTCTAGTGGATTCACTCCAACTTATCATATGTGACAAAGACGAATCCATCGTGTTCCTACTTCTCTTGTCTTTTTTTTTATTCCACAATTTGTCTCGGAATGTATTCTTTCACAATCCAAAGAATGTCTCGGAATCGATACGGAATGGTTTAAGTTTAGTAATCTCCACAATGAGGGTGTTGACTACCATATGTCGTTTTTTTTCCTGAATGATGTGAATTGGGTGGCTGCGATATGGGGCGTCTCCATCGACCAAAAATGTTCCTTAAATCCTATCAAAGTCAAAGCGTGATCTGATGCCGGGGACGATCCAACTACTGAAGTATTCTCGGGCGTTACTCAGTTCATCAACAATCTTGGACGATATCCGTCATCAATTTCTTGAACCAAAATCCGCACACTTTATAATCCCGGTGGTCGGTGACGGAGGAAATGGTTGTGAAGGAGTGATGAAGAAAAAGATGAGACGTGTTGAAGATTTCCAACCTATTTATCAGTAACCGTCGTGTGAGCAAGTAAATTTATAAGGAGAATATGACGGGGTTTATAGAGTGAGATGTGATTAGGAACGACGGGGATCAAGGGAATTCTTGAAGATGACCAAACTTTCAAATGTGTAAACTCACGCCCGCTTCTTTCCCTTTCGTACTACTATCTAGCCGTTGAGGGCACCTCTGATCAATACTAGTAGTGTGGGCGTAGGTCGAGAATATTCGCTTGAACTAGGTCATGTACGGACGAGGCGTCGAGTAGGAGTTTAGGTCAGAAGTGAAGTTGAGGTTGAAGGAATGACGAGTGAAATCAAGCGAGTAGACTGTAAGGTCCTTCCTTGCTCTCCTTTGTCCCCGGATCCCCGGCCACGGGAACTTTTCCCATATGCAAAAACCTCTGAAATATCACACCCCAAATCATCAACATTCACTTTTGCTTGAGTGATAATGACACTACCCTAATACTGAACGGAGATATAAAGTATCAAGTTTACACTGTTGATAATTGAGATCTGATGGTTGTCAAGACTCACAGCCCTTTACTCGAGGGTAACTTGAGAGTCCGCGCTGCGCCTCGAGGCGTAGTCTTGGGACTTTGTCTGACCAAACCGGGCCCGAATGTCTGGTGAGGAGTACGAGAGGGAGAGGGATCTGCAGGGGTTTACAGTGGAGAATACACGGGTGAAGGGTCATACTATACGAGTAAGGGTGAAGGGGTGGAATGTAAGAGATTGTTAGGGAAAGTGGGGAAAGGTGGGGTAGAAATGACATCTGCCACGTGGAGGATGAGCACCCACTGACCACTGACCACTGACCACTGATCCACCGGGGGTTATGCGGTGTGCGGTGGGGAAGGAACACCGGGTGATCATGGCGGACCTTATGACTAACATAGATGTCTGGGGTTTTAGTCAAAGTGCGATGAAGAACAACTGCATGCTAGGATGCGGAGGATACAACAGAGATCTAATAAGATGTAAAGTACCATTATGCTCGGACGCGTTTGTAAAACCTAAAGGGGTCAGCTTGACATCCATTTGATAGCACTATACAGTAAACTCACAAGATGTAGGCTTGACGGGACTAATCGTTAGCGTTTGCTCTCCCAGGTGTCGATACAGGCCTGGAAAGTTGAACCCGAAAAAATATATCCGAGAGATGAAGGTGTCATGAGCAATCACTCACAACTATATCTTTCTCTTGTGCATGGGTGATCCGACTGTCTTCACAAAACATCCAACCTTTTGAACTTTTGACATATGCCGTGTCTGTAATCAGCATTATTCCGAGTCAAACCCCTGTTCAATCCCCTTAAGGAAGGACTACCATGTGAGAACAAAGTGGAGGCTTGGAGTAGAATTCAAAACGTTCGATCATATACTGTATCGTTGTGAGATCTAAAAAAGAGTGATAAGCGACCTGACAATACTCACAATGACCACTACTCAAAGTCCCGATATGATTACTAACAGCATAACAATCATATTTAAAAGGTGCAACCTGAGTCCTAGGATCTCCTAAATCTTCTCTACCCGTCGACATCCTAGGTGGAACATAACGACTCAAATCTAGATTCTTAAGTGGGAAGACTATATGAGCGTCTGATTTGTCCCAAAAGAGACCATCTTTGGTGGAAAATCGTTTGAGTTGAATGAGGAGGACGGGGGGAAGACGAGCTATGGTGAGTGTTTTCGATGCTCTTCGAGGGACTTTACATCGAGGGCAATACCTATGGGTCAACCGACATCCCTACTTGTCACGGTATAGGTTTGACCGTCATCTCTGATCTGAAGGCTGGTGATCAAGGGGATGGAAGTAGTCCTCATGAAAAGGTGACTGATGACAATCAATAGATAGAGTGAATGTGAGGGGAAGAAACAATGGGAAAGAGAAGAAAGAAGTGGTGTTAAGGAAGGGTCGAAAAAAAAAGCATAACTCACCAAGCATCATCTTTATCAATAATCTCCGTTTCAACAAACTCATCAATCAATTCCTGAACGACCAACTTATTTTTACCTCTTGGAATTTGCAGGCTCATATACATGAAAGCATCATAAGTCGTACTTGTTTTCCCACAAGTTAAACATTCCAATCTATTTCTATATTGACCTTGGAATAAATCCACGATGAAACTATCATCACGCATACGATAAATTTGCCATTCTTTTTCAGAAGCGACTTCTGGTGAAAGTGTTTCAAGAGCGTGTTCCCTCTCTGGGGTCATTTCGACAGGTGGAGGTTTGACTAGGACTCGATTGAGATCTTCGTGTAGACCATCAAGGACGAACGAAAGGAATTCTTGAGAATCATGTTGTTCGTTTGTTGCTGTGAATTGTGGAGCGAATGCTGTTATGCTGGCCTGTTTACGCGTCAGTACGAATTTAATCTCTTTCTCTCGATCCCGCGACCTGTCATACTTCTGAGGAGAGCGATCGGGGTATGACGATTTGGACAGGACGTTTTGTTTTGGATGAGGCTGGGAGCAATTTCAGATAGTAATATGTCTGATTGATTGAAATCAATTTTCCCCGAAGATGTGACTCCTTTTGATGGACACAGAGACTAGCGCAATCAAGGTGATATAAAGAGATATTTTACGACATGGTGGGGAAAGACGATTCGTGGGAGAAAGAAAATCAATGATGGCTGAGAAAAGGATGATAGCGAAAAGAAGAAAAGAAGATCAGCAATGAAGAGGATAAGGAGCGTAACCAGGAAGAGCAGATATACCAGAATAAAACACAAATTAACTCACTCGGAATGTCTTTGGAGTCAGAAAATGATATTGTTCCTCCCATAAAGCATGTAACAAATCCCCAAAAGCCTTTGCCAAAACACCTTTTGTTCCTAATGGATTACTAACATTTACCATTTTCTTATAACCTCCATCCAAAAATAACCTAGCGAAAGGATACGTAGCACTCAAACATTGAATCGTCGAGTTCATATAACATGTAGCTCCTAAATTCTTCAATCCCGTCAGACCTAACGATACATCATCCCAATATTTCACATCACCCGTTTCACGAGCGACTAGATCTAATCCTCTTATGGATCCTGATCTAACGACGGAAGGACGAGGATCGTATCTTTCCAAAGAATGAGTTTGAACAGGTGGAGGTGGTTGTGGTAAAGAATGAGTTTGAGGATAATCGAAAGAATTACGAGATTGTGTGTATCCGGAATAAGGTTGATTATGTTGTTCTACATAATCTGATTTTCTTCTGGCTCCTGGACCTGGATGAAGGGTTGCTTGTGGTGGAGGAGCTATAGGAGTACTGGAATATGCTGATGAATGAGGGGAACGAACGGGAGAAGGGATGGGATAACGGGAAGAAGATGGATGACCGGTGTAAGATGTTTCACCTATCATGGATTGTGGTATATTGGCATAACCGAACTAAACGTTAGTTCTGAGTGATGAAAAGACTTGTCAGGTTGGAAAAGTTGAATGAAAGATAAAGAGGGAAGGAACTGACCGATTCACTGATATTTTTAGCATATTGGGAAGATTGATATACTGGCATTTCCCTATTGGCCCTTTTTGTCGCCGCATCACCATTGGAAATCGACGGTCTGGAACTGTGCGTGTGAGCGAGTGTAGAGTGCAGTTGAGAGAGACTCACGAAGATGATCCATTGACACCTTTAGCGACACCATGTCTACTTCCATTGACACCATTCATATGTCTCGCAGCACGCATCTTGATAAACTCTGTCCAAGCGTGATATCCTCCAGTGAGCATGACAGGAGTTCGTTCGAGCTTTTTAGCAAACTCATGTTCGTAGATGATATCCCATAATCTTGACAGAGCAGTCGGGGGAGATCCCTTACGAGGCCAAGAGACGGAATTAGAATCATATACTACCACAAGGTCGGCTTTATGTCGCTCTTCAAACGCTTTCCGTTGAGCTTCAGGAGATAAAGATAGGGAATCTTCCAACTTATTCGAAGTCATACTATTCATTAGTTGTGATGTAAACTGCTGAGCAAAAAGCGAAAGATCAAAAATGAACTCACTCGCTACGTAAAAGAACCGTAGGATCCATCCATACCGCCTTGACGATCGCACCACGTGGTTCGTATTCCTTTCCCACGTAACCTCTTCTGAATTCTTCCTCCGAACGAACATCCAAAAGAACCACATCCACAGCAGGGTTCAAAAAATAACTTCTCAAGGTATCCGGATCGATACAATTGGCAAAGGGGAATTTCGGTTTTGTCGGTTTTTCCAATGTTGCCTTGGCCACGGGGAATGATAATGGAGGTGAGGGTGCATCCATAGGACCACCGTTCGACAGGGGAGAACGAATAGGGGGTAATGGTAAAGGTAATCGTTTACGTGTTTCTGATGGGGAGACGGGATTATGTGGTGGGATAAGATTATCTTCCATCTCTGACACATTGGGTGTACTGGCGGGTCGTATAAAATCATGTCTCGCGGCTGGACTAGGTGGACGAGGACCTTTGGAATCGAAATTGAGATTATCAGGTCGAGAAGGGGGAGGAGGTAAACCAGGTCGATGAGATGGTACGGATGGAAGAGAAGGGAAAGTCGGTACATCAGGGAAAGTAGGTGTTGAAGTAGCTTCATCATTTGGTGAACCTATAAGATCGATGGTAGGGATATGTGAGCTGGGTGAAAGTGGTAGACCGGAGATTGGAGCTTCAGGTATGGAGGTTGATTCCATGACATCGAATTCTTGATCAAATTTACTGAGTGAGGGAAAGTTTTTCTCGAATTCTTCTATACCGTCCGGACCTATCTTCGTTGGGGTTTCAGTTTGTGGTGTATGTTGTCGTTCATCATACTCGAAAGGGGCGACGACTTGATCGGGTGCTTGTGGGATAGTGGGTAGAGTAAGTCGATGAGGGGAAGATGATAGTTGTGTGTGTATATGATTAGAATCCGAATGGTTGGTCTCGGAAAGATGAGTGTTGATACTATCTGGCCCTGTCGACGTTTTCGATCTGGTGGAAGAACCCGTTCTGGTCTCCCTCACACCGACTGACTCTTCCGAACCTGTATTTTGCTTTGGAGGGGACAGATTCGGTTTGAGATGTACAGAGGGTCTTCGTTGAGTCGTTGCGGTCTGAACAGAAGGCTGGGTCGATTGTGCCGAAGTAGAACCTGATCTATTACGTCCTTTAGTGATTGATACGTTTCTCGCTAGTCCAAAGTTACCCGCTCCACCAGTGACCAACATTCCTCCAGAGCCCCCAGGTTTCGTTGGACTGGGGATAGTATGTTCTCTGTCCTTACTAACACTGAGACGTTTTGTTGATGATCCCACATCCATACCTTTCATATTAAGAGCTCGCATCCTATCAGCTATACTCCCCCCAGTGGCGATATCTGGTCCTGATGGTTGACGTTGTGGAGGAGGAGGTGGGTGTAAACCGTTTGTGGAACTTTCCATGAGCTTAGTATTCCTTGGTTCCAATGTGAAAACTGACCTTTCGCCTCTTTCAACAGGACGCTGTTTCAAAATCTCTTTGATCTCTTTTGCTTTGGAAACAAAAGCATCGTATGTCTGAAAATCAGTCATTCCCTCCATATCCTCCAGCCTATTGTCTTCACAGCAATCCGCAATGCGTGACAGCCACTTTCACCATAGCCAGGGAGGAAGATATATGTAAGTGTATAGATTGAACTTACAGGTTTGAAATCTTTGATACGTTGTGCCCAGGAGGAATCTTCTGATTTTACTTTTGAATAATCAGGATGTAATCTAGCATGTGTATAACATGCCGCCGCTCTCGTATATGCCAAAAACATTTCCTCTTTCCTTCCTTTTCGTTCGGCTATAACGGCCAAATCAGCTTCATGTCTGGCTCTTTCGAACCAATCCTTTGGAGATCTATCTGTGGGTGGATCGAGGTCATTGGCCATAGCTGTGATATGAGTGAGAGGAAGGGAAGAGAGTGGTGGGGAAGGAAGGGCGCGGGACATGATGATTGTCTTGAGATCTTATGTTCAATGTGGTTGATTATGCTTCACCGTCTGTTCTCTGGTATAGTTGTAGTTAACATGTATCGAGCGATATGATAATAAGCGTGAGAGAGATTTAGTTGTGTTTTGATAGATGACCAAGAAAAAAGAGATGGAAAGAGGTGAGAAAGTGAGTTGAATCATCGCCGCTTCATCGACGTTTCCTCCTATCACACTCGATACATTTACTCATATTTGACCACTATATTCGCTCACTTTACTCTGCATGCTTAGAGTCACAATCTAACAGGTTTATCTGCTTGGAACCCCAATTATGCCAATAGGTTCTTATCCACATCCTCATGCAGCTCTTCAACAACTTCAAAATCGTATTTCAACCTATCTCCTTCGATCTTATCCCATCCGAGATCTTCCACTCAACATCCGACCAGTGAGTTCAATGCCTCCTCTACAATCTTACCTGTCTATTGTGTAGCCCCATTTTATGCTCACAGAAACTGGTCTCGTTTGCTATACGAGTCATTGGAACTAACCCATAGGCTATAGTCTTTTTGACAGCAACATGGCTTTTGTTATTAGGTATACTGGGTATGGCCCCATTACCAGAATTACCAGTCAATGATAAAGCTTTACATTTCTTTGGGGTAGGTCGTTCCCTTTTTTCATACCAAAAACACTCAACTACCTCCTTCAACCTGAATACTTCGTACATCCGACTCATCTTTTTTACAAATCGAAATTCTAGCTTCATCTCACGATGAAATTGGGTATCGACAATAATCAAGTTTTGAAGACTAAGTAAAGCTGATGACTTACTGACGTACAGCTCGGCTTTGCTACTTTTTTACTCTACTACGTTATCGAAGTACCCGAGTGAGTGTTCTCATTCAATAATCAACAATTAGCGAAAGTGAAGACAGCTCACGACACAGAGGTCCAGCGAGAAGAGTATGGTATATCCGTCGAGCGCCTCTTCTCTTGACTCTCATATTAAGTTTCTTCTTTGGGGGAATAGTGAGCGAGTTCGTTCAATCTTTATTACCTGTGAGTCAGTTTTCCATCCATCTTTGGTGAAGATATCATCACATCGCCTGTAAATAATCCCCCTACTCTCCTCTTCTCTCCTCTTCAGTGCAAATATTCCTACTCTTTCATTCATCGCCCTGCTTTCCTTTCTCCCCTCTATACGCAACGTAGAAATGTGACCCACTTGAACACTCATTGTGAGAAGAAGATCGTCTCTCAGGCTTAGATATACATAAAGAGAAGTTTTGCTAAATGTAACAGTGGAAACAATTCCAACTCGGTGATGTAATCGTAAATCTTTCTTCCCTTTTCCATATCTCTCATACCATCATCTCATGATTAATCTCTCTCTTGTCATAGTACAGTTATTATCTGCAAGAGGAGAAAGTAACTCTCAGGCAAATTTACTCGGATCAACTTTATTCCTTTACCTAGCTCATATACTACATCGACGTTCCCGTCGAAGATCAGAACGTCAAGCATTATACCAACCTTTAGATAGTTCGACCTACCGTGATGCTCAAGGTCGAGAACATACTTTCGATTCTTCTCTCCCTCATGTTGATACAAGTAGAGGTACGACAGTTTGGGATGAAGATGAATCGGATAATGATCCTCCTGGAGATATAGATCGTATATCTAATGAAAGTCAGGTGTTTGAGATTGGAGATGATGAGCCACGTTTACGAGAAGAAGTTTAAAGTGAAGTTTGGGATCTTGAAAGATCATGAAGAACGTAAAGTTGGTTTTAGATTGTATCACTCATCATCTCATTATTTGCATTGATGTCGGTTCTTGAAAGAAGTGATGATGAGCATCAACGATCCTCTTCACACGAGTACAATGCGAGTACAAGTACAGTACAACTACTTCTATCTCGTCATATAATCTCGTACATACATAGAAAGCCGCTGATTGCTTTCCTACTACTCACCCCTATTTCCTCCTCTGCTTGGACACAACGGCTGAATATTTCATAACGAAAGAACTGGAAGTTTTATCATCTCGCAGGTGTTTCCGGTATCATAAGTCCAACTTCCTCCCCTTCACTTTCTTCATCAGTCATAACCATCAACTCACCCAAACTCCCATCATCATCTTCATCCACCGACGTCAAACCAGATAGAGGAATATCAGATATTCTATTCCCATTCACTGGTGTTTCCACAACGAACGAAGTTCTATCTTTCCTCTCTGTCGAAGGTTCTTCTTGTATAGGTGTAGGGTTCCAATTACTAGGATGTTTTTTGATCATCCTGGGTTTCGAAGGTGTAGCAAATATAATCGTCTTATCTTTTTCTTTCTTCATCATTTCATCTCCCATCTTTTTCTCTTTACCTCCTTCAATGATCGGTTTTCTTCCTAGAAGTCCTAATCTACTTTGACTATCAACACTCTCCATCTTTCTCCTAACTATAGAACTAGTCCGTCTTATCATTTCTCTCCCTTTGAACATATCTTTCCCACTCGGCGCTCTGACTAGGGATTTTTTGTTCGTAAGAGGTTGATCTTTGAGATCAACGGATCGACTTCTGGATCGAGGATCATCAATCTTCTCAATTCTCTCTGATGCACGGGAGACAGAACGTTGGAGTTCTCTTGTTTCTCTAGGAGGAGATAGTCGGGAAGACGATTCGGATGGGGCTTTTGAAGATCCTCGATGAACAGGTCGAGGGATGGAAATACGGGTGGTGTTGGTTCCGGAATCTGAAGATGGAGGGGGAGGGGGAAATTTAGGTTTTCGTTTTTTGGTAAGTTGAGGAAGAAGTTTGGAGGGTATAGGAGTACCAAAGATTTTCAGATGAAAAGAAGAACATTGTTCAGGGAGTTGAGGTATGAATCTAAGATCAGATTGATGAATCATCAGATAACAAGAGAAAAACTCACGTAGGAAGTAAAATATCATTCCAGAAATTCTTCACCGTAATTTGAAATTTATTCTCTTTATCGGTGATCTTACCTTTAGTCGAGATGGGTTCTTCGGAAAGACCAATGCCTAACTCGGCAACTGCCAACCAAACACTGAGACGATCCATGAACACTTCGAGCAACATGTTTGGATCATCGGTAGACATATCAGAACGTGAAACATCACGATCTCTTTCTCTATCTTTATCTCTTTTCCTTTTCTTTTTGATGGGAGGGATATGATGTGGGATATAGAGTAGGAGCAGGATTATCTGTAATAAGGTTCTGAGGCTTCAATTTTACGTACAATTTGGGTAAAAGGTTACTCACTCTCTTCTTTCGAATTCTTCTCCTAGTTTCTTGGCTGAATAAGTAAGGTTGCCTTCTACACATGATCGGCTATTTAGACGGAGATTGATACAGCTTTCCATGATCTCCATTTCGTCTTTCTGTATTCCGCTGGATGCTCTCGGCTTAGACTCCGTTTGAAGACTTTCCGTATGATCGATGGTTGTGGTTTTGATATCGGAATCTTGTATACTTTCCACGCGGTTGATAGGTACGGCCCCAGCGAGGAAGGAGGGTAAGAGAGGAGCGAGCAATTTTCTATGTCGATATTCTATCTGACTCAGAGAGAGCAGCAACGGTCGTATCAAATCGACCAAAGGGTGTCGTTCTGGTGTCACGTCGGTGGTGTTGACTCTTAGGAGGTCATATACGAACCCAGTAAGAGGAGAGAGGATCTATTCCGTCAGCTCTTGGTGCCCTACTGTTGAGATGACACACCTCTGGTAAGTATAAAGTTTCGAGATAACGTCTTCGAACATAGATTTCCAAGCTTTCGTGAGGAGCAATACATGGTCCTCTGATTATCAGCTTCCAAAACCCGCTCGCAACTGAATCAATGACAGCATAAGATTTTTGAGGGGACTTCTAGAGACTGGTCGGAGAGAGAGGTTGTGAGATTGAGGTGTTCACTCACGCGTGCGGATTGACCCATGTGTGTCCCGTGGGTGCTTTGGGTGGTAGGTTGATAGGACAACTAAAGTCTATTGAAAGAGATAGAGATTTGCGTTGTATCTTACTGGGTCCAGCCTCGACAGACGTTTGTACTTGTGTCATGATTGGGATATGCATTATAACCACCAGCCGGTAGAAGAACAGTCGCGTAACGCGCAGATGTCCCACGCGCCTAACTAGCAAGATAGATTGGGGCCTCCGACACGCCTATCTGACCCATGACCAAATTCTTCTCTCCGGTTGGACAAAGGGCGCGTTTTCAAACCTTTCAACCACCGTTTCGGCCTTTCTTCTCACAACATCTCCGCCTTCTATCCTCGTGATCCTCCATCTATAAGACATATACACTAAGAGGGAGATAACTAGAAGTCATTATTGGATAAGATGAGTGATAAGCTCACTAGAGTAGCTATAGTCTCAGACGACAAGGTCAGTCGCCACTCCTTTTCTTTTCTTTCAGGGAATGACGCTGATGGGTATAGTGCAAACCCAAGAAATGGTGAGTTAGTCTTGTGGAATAGTACAACAAATCTCACGTTCAGTCGCCAGGAATGTAAACGTTCATGTCCCGTGGTGAAAATGGGCAAATTATGTATAGAGGTTAATCCTACGGATAAGAAAGCTTTCATCTCTGAGGATTTATGTATAGGATGTGGTATATGTGTCAAAAAGTGGGTTTCTTTCTTTGATCAATTCTACTCGTTCCCTGGAGAAGAAGGGGGCAGGAATGTTCATCCGTGTTGACGATAATGGTTGTGATTGGAATAGGCTCGAGAAGCTCATTTTCAGATGTCCTTTCGAAGCTATCCAAATTCTCAACCTTCCTACCAACCTCGAAACCCACGTGACACATCGTTACGCCGCCAACGCGTTCAAACTCCATCGTCTACCCACTCCTCGACCAGGTCAAGTCCTCGGATTGGTAGGTACAAACGGTATTGGAAAATCGACCGCATTGAAAATTCTCTCTGGCAAGCTTAAACCGAATTTGGGAAGATATGATGATCCACCTGAATGGGCTGAGATATTGAAATATTTCCGTGGATCAGAATTACAAAATTTCTTCACAAAAGTTCTTGAAGATAATATAAAAGCAGTCACGAAACCTCAATATGTTGATCAAATCCCAAGAAGTATAAAAGTACCAAATATGACCGTTGGTAAAATGTTTGATAGACAAACCGAACTTCCTAATCGAGATCAATTAGAGGTAGATTTAGAATTAAAAGGATTACAAGAAAGAGAAGTCAAACAATTATCTGGTGGAGAATTACAAAGATTCGCAATAGCTATCGCAAGTGTGAGAAATGCCGACATTTATATGTTTGACGAACCTTCTTCCTACCTCGATATCAGACAACGTTTAGCAGCTGCTAGAGTAATCAGAGGTTTAGTACAATCAACGAATTATGTCGTCGTTGTTGAACATGATTTAGCTACTTTGGATTATCTTTCAGATTTCATTTGTGTTTTATATGGTGTTCCAGGAACGTATGGTGTGGTAACTATGCCTTATTCAGTTAGAGAAGGTATCAACATTTTCTTAGATGGTATGATCCCAACGGAAAATTTACGATTTAGAGAAGAAAGTTTGACTTTTAAAATATCAGAAACGGCAGATGAAGTTCAAGTTCCGAAAACTAGAAGATATCAATATCCTAAAATGACGAAAACTTTAGGTGGTTTCAAATTACATGTTGATCCAGGAGATTTTTCAGATTCTGAAATCATCGTTTTGTTAGGAGAGAATGGAATGGGTAAAACTACTTTGGTTCAAATGTTAGGTGGGAAATTAGAACCTGATGATCCTAAAGATAAAGTTGAATTGAGAGTATCTATGAAACCTCAAACAAGTGAGGAATTTCTTTAAATGAATGAAGATTAAACACTAAGACAAGTCTCACCAAAGTTTCCAGGAACAGTTCGAATGCTATTGATTAAAAGAATAAAGAATATGTTTATGCGTCAGTCCCAACTTTTTCCATTCTCATGAAAATCGATGCTGATCGACGAAAGATCCTCAATTCAATAGTGATGTTCTCAAACCTATGCATTTGGAGAATATCATGGATCAGGATGTACAAACGTAAGTAATCAACATGACTTTATTTTGTCATTGATGATATTTTTCTCATATTTGTGAAAGATGAGAAAGGGTTGATAACTCATGGACAGATTATCAGGCGGTGAACTTCAAAGAGTTGCTATCTGTTTGGTACTGGGTGTACCGGCGGATGTTTTGCTCATTGATGAACCTTCGGCTTATCTCGATTCTGAACAACGTATTCATGCCGCAAAGGTGATCAAGAAATTCGTCATGAGTTCCAAGCAAACTGCTTTTATTGTCGAACACGACTTTGTGAGTTGTTTTGATATCTTCTCATGCCTCCCTCGTCTGTCTCAATGTAGTAGACAGGACATTTGACTGACTCGATAGATCATGGCTACTTATCTGGCTGATAGAGTCATAGTGTTTGATGGTAAACCCGCCGTAGAGTCATATGCTCGAACGTGAGTATTGCTTTAGTCATTCCTACATCACCTGGTTTCATCGTTCTCTGGTCCACATCCCGGCTTGCTGATTGTTTTGACATTGATTGGCCGTTACTTCTCTATTCAGACTGTGATTGGAAAGGTGCGCTCCTCACGAAACTGACGATCAGACCCGAGGGCTTGTTGACTGGAATGAACAAATTCCTCAAATCTTTAGATATTACTTTCCGTCGGGATCCTACAAACTAGTCAGTCTTCTCTCCTACTCACCTATATACTTCCGAACCTGCTCATAGTGAATTACTTATGTAGGAACTGCGCTGATAATCAGTCGACCACGGATTAACAAGATGGATTCTCTCAAGGATGCAGAGCAGAAACGTGAGTCTTCAAGATTTGTTTGTAATCAAAGACTGATCGATCAGAATCTGGATCTTACTTCTTTGTCGATACGGATTGAGCGTGCTCAGTTCCCTCATCTCATATTTGCACTTCATGTGTACCTCCAGTGTGTTTGAACCAAGGTGCTCATCGACCACTTGAGATAGCAGTGGTATGTAGGGCTCTCGGTACGATAGAATATACACACGGTTGACATCTTTGCATGGCATATGTGATTGGTCTGAGTATGAGTCTACGACGTACAACTGCATTGTGAAGCTGGGAGTCAAAAATCATCTCCAAAGCAGTTGACAGAGAAAACAAGAACGCACCGTGATTGTCGTTCTGTCAGACGAACTATACTTTCCAATGTCAATTGACCAGCCTTGTCAGCGGTGTATGACTGCGGCTCAACCCGCTCGGGTGGAGAGTACCGTCGGAAGGTAGAGAAGATAAAGTTTGGTTCCTACCCCGGAAGGATCTACGTGTGGCTTGTAGAATTCTGTAAAGTTTTCACCTGCCCTCCCCCGCCCCCCTCCCCGCTTCGTCCCCCTGACCATCTTGTTCAACCTCTCATTCAATGAGGAGTGAGGAGTGAGAGTGGAACAAATAACAAAGCACAAATGCTGGGTATTGTATCCGGTGTAAGGTGTACTGTGTTGTCATGTTTGCTGACCATGGCACAAGTGGAACGAGGACGGAGACGGAAGTAAATCGCGGCGCGCGGCGTAGAATCGGGGGCCGAGGGGGGGCCGCTTACGATTAGCGTGAAAGTCACGTGGTTGAATATTGCATCATTGAGGTGAATTCCCTTGGCATGTTTCTATGATTTTTAACCACATGCGGAAATAAAAAGGTACAACCAAGCGAAAGGTTTGTTTTTCAAGCAAAGCTGGGTACGACGTACGACGGATCCGACAAAGATATCTTTTCCGTCTTCTGACTCGTCCCAAGTCAACTGTCATCATCCTCTCATCTTTCTTTTCCTTCTTTCATCTCTCTTCTTCTTCTCTACCTGTTCCATAGCACTCACTCCGAGAAGCCCTCTTGGAGTCGCTACTTTGCTATCTTCATTGGCCAGTCAGTGATCAGTGTCCGAGTGGTTCGATCGCGGTGAACTAAGATCGAGAGCAAAGGGCATTCGTCATTCCCCCTTCCCCTCTTCTTCTACCTTACATAGATCGCCGTCGGTCACTAAAGTCTCATTCCTCCCTGACTCCGTGGTCATAAACAACACTCACTTCTTTCCCCCCCTTTTGCTCTCTTCTCTTCGTCTCTTATCCCTTTACTCTTTTTCTTCACTGGGTTTCTGATTTCCCTGTCGATCATCTGTCCAGACAATCATCAACACCATGTCCAAGGAAGCTTCGGACATTGTCTTAGGTGCTCCGTTGTCTCCTGGACATCAAACAGATGGCGTTGATCATATCGCCGCCAACCCTCCTTCCAATCAAATAATCCAGCCTGACCACCCTGCTCAACCCAACCACCCCGCGCCGGTGGTCGCTACAAACCAAGATGGACACCATAATCGTCAAGGCGATTCTTCCTCTGGTGGTACACTAGCAGATGACGATGCCGATGAAAAACGAGATACATTCCCTACCGGTCCATCTGGCAACATACCTAAACGTTCCGCTCATTCTTCCATGGATCACGTAGCCGAATTAGGTGATCATGGTCATGTTTCAGTTCGTCGAGGTAAAGAAGATTTCCATACTTTGGAAAGACGTCTTTCAACTATATCTCAACATTCCGGTGATCTTCATAGACATAACACTCGTCGTTCTTCTCTCTCCGGATTCGGAGGTGGACCTAAACGTGTTTTGACCGGTCAATCTCAAGCCGATATTGAAAAAGCTCGTGAAAATGAACCTGATTTCGATCTAGCAGAAGTACTTCGTTCAGGTCGTGAACAAAGTGATGCAGCTGGAATCAAACGTAAACGTGTTGGTGTAGTTTGGGAAGATCTTGAAGTTGTAGGTGGTGGTGGATTAAAAATCAACATTCGAAATTTCATAAACGCCATTATCGAACAATTCTTAATGCCCATCTTATCCATATTAGGTTTATTCGGTTATAAACCTTTCGCACCTAAACCCAAAACTATTTTACATAAAACTTCTGGTGTTCTTCAACCTGGTGAAATGTGTTTAGTTCTCGGTCGACCAAATGCTGGATGTACGACTTTTCTTAAAACCATTGCAAATCAAAGAGATGGTTATTTAGCTGTTAATGGAAATGTGGAATATGCAGGTGTAGGTTGGAAAGAAATGTTAAAACATTATGGTGGTGAAATTGTTTATAATCAAGAAGATGATGATCATCTACCGACTCTTACTGTATCTCAAACCATTAGATTCGCTTTATCTACCAAAACACCAAAAAAACGTATTCCGGGTTTATCAACTTCACAATTTAGGGAACAAGTTTTAGATATGTTTTTGACAATGCTCAATATTAGACATACTGCCAATACCGTTGTTGGAAACGCTTTTGTCAGAGGTGTTTCAGGTGGAGAAAGAAAACGTGTCTCTATTGCGGAAATGTTTTGTTCTCATGCTGCTTTAGCTTCTTGGGATAATTCAACAAGAGGTTTAGATGCTTCGACAGCATTGGATTATGCTAAATCTTTACGATTGCTCACGGATATCATGCAACAAACAACCTTTGTTTCGTTGTATCAAGCTGGAGAAGGGATTTATAATCAATTTGATAAAGTTTTGGTCATCGATGAAGGTCATGTGGTTTATTTCGGACCGGCAAAGGAAGCTAGGCCATATATGATGTCTTTGGGTTACAAGGTGGGTTATTTCCCTTCTTTCCTCTTTCCTCTTTCCATCTCCTGCCATCTCCTGCATTTCCTCGGTAATCCCAAACTGAAGTCTTTTTTACCGACTATTGTGCCACCCCACCCTCCCCTCGATCTCACACTGGCAATAGTTCGGAATTTGTTGTCTATATCTCCCTTCAAATCATCCCGATACAAAATTTTTGGAGTAAACCTCGCTGACATCCAGGACCTCCCTCGTCAAACCTCTGCCGACTATCTATCCGGATGTACAGACCCAAACGAACGTCAATTCGCCGATGGAAAAGACGCCGACTCGGTTCCTTCCACTCCAGAAGCCATGGCTGAAGCTTATCGTCAATCCGAAATATGTCGTCGTATGGTGGCCGAAAAGGAAGAATATAAATCTATCATGCAAAGTGACCAAACTGCCGCATTGGAATTCAAAGAAGCTGTAAAAGATCAAAAACATCCTGGAGTATCTAAGAAATCACCTTACACCGTTTCCTTCATCAAACAAGTTCTTATCATTACCAAACGTCAAACGACTCTTAAATTCCAAGACACTTTCGGAGTGAGCACGGGTATGTGTTATATCCCTATAGGAGAGGGGAGAACGCTGATGAAAAGGTTTGGCTACTGCTATCATTATCGCTTTGATTGTCGGTTCGGTTTATTTCAAATTACCTAAATCAGCTTCTGGAGCTTTTACTCGTGGTGGTTTGCTTTTCTTGGGACTTCTCTTCAATGTGAGTGATTTCTGATCTTCCTACGTATTTTCCCTCTCACCTACCCTTCTCACCTCATTGCTATTGCCATGGCTACACCCGACTCCTTCTTCTTCAAAAGCGATATCTATCTTTGACGCCCATCTCTCATCTCTTGACGCTCTGATTCAGATTAGCTGTCCAAGTGTTCTCATACTGAATTACTATTTACACTTCCGAATAAGTAGCTCAGAATATCATGGCTAACACACAGGCCCTCACATCATTCTCGGAACTTCCAAGTCAAATGATGGGTCGTCCCGTCCTCTACCGTCAAGTGGGATACAGATTCTACCGTCCAGCTGCCTTCGCAGTCGCTGCCGTGGCCGCTGATGTGCCTTACAACGCAGGACAAATCTTCCTCTTTTCGCTGATTTTGTATTTCATGGGTGGTTTGTATAGCTCTGGTGGCGCGTTCTTCACTTTCTATCTGTTCGTTTTCACTACGTTCATGGTCATGGCTGGGTTCTTTGTGAGTTTTCTTTTTTGGCTACGTCCACTACCATTGGCTAGAATCATTCCTGTACCACTTCGTCCTTCCATTCCACCCCAGGAGTGGAGAGATGTTAAGTCTCCCTCCGTCGTCTCATCTCCCCTCCGTGACTGGCTTCCCGTCATCACCCATACATTCGCACTCCAGCAATCTTGTCTTTGCATCTTTTTCCCAATAGATATCGAAGCCCTGCCAATCTGAGCCGACATGTGATGGAAACGCTAATCGTCCAGAGAACTCTCGGTGTGGCCACGAAAGACTACAACATCGCTGCTCGTCTTGCTTCCGTGCTTATTTCGCTCATGGTCACTTACACCGGTTACATGGTAAGTCTCACTTAAATTCAACAACAATTCTTCATGCTCATTGCCACATTCTTCTGTCATTGAGTCAACCCCCACCCTCACCCCACCCCACCCCACCATCTTTTTCAGATACTCCCCTTACGAGACTATGCTGTATGCGTCGAGGTCACAGCTCACTTCCAGATCCCTGTTTTCGCCATGAAACGATGGCTGTTCTGGATCTACTACTTGAACCCTTTGAGTTACGGCTACGAAGCTATCTTCGCCAACGAGTTCTCCCGTATCGATCTCACATGTGACGGTGCCTACATCCTCCCGCGCAACATCCCTTCGCTTGGCATAACGGGATTCTCGGACACCGTGGGACCCAATCAGTTGTGTTCCATTTCAGGTAGTACGGCTGGACAAGGCGTCGTCACTGGTACATCTTACATGAACGCTGCATTCCAGTATGAAAAGGCCCATATTTGGCGTAACGTGAGTTGATGTTTGCCTCTCCCCCTCACACTCGCAATCTCACCTTGACTTAGTATCCTGTTGGATATCTTGTGATGCGCGGGAGACACGCTGACGTGCAGTACGGTATCTTGATCGGGTTCTTCTGCTTCTTCATGATCTTACAAATGCTCTTCATCGAGTTGCTTCAACTTGGACAAAAGCACTTTGCCATTGTGGTATTCAAGAAAGAAGACAAAGAGACCAAAGTCTTGAACGAACGACTGGCCGGTAGACGCGACGCTTTCCGTCGTGGTGAACTCGAACAGGATCTTTCCGGTTTACAAATGGCTCCTAAACCATTTACTTGGGAGAACCTCGATTATTTCGTTCCTGTTCCCGGTGGTCAACGTCAACTACTCACCAAAGTATTCGGTTATGTCAAACCAGGTTCCCTCACCGCACTCATGGGTGCTTCCGGTGCAGGCAAGACTACTCTTCTCGACGTACTCGCACAACGTAAAAGTATTGGTGTCATCTCTGGTGAAATCCTCATGAACGGTCGCCCCGTCGATCGCGATTTCCAACGTGGTTGTGCGTACGCCGAACAGCTAGACGTACACGAATGGACCGCCACCGTCCGAGAAGCATTGCGGTTCTCGGCTTACCTTCGTCAACCTCAAAGCGTCCCGATCGAGGAGAAGAATGCCTATTGTGAAGATATCATCGAGTTGCTCGAACTTCAGGATCTTGCAGATGGTATGATCGGTTTCCCCGGGTTCGGTTTGAGTGTCGAAGCGCGCAAACGGGTGACCATCGGGGTTGAACTTGCTGCAAAGCCAGAGTTGTTGTTGTTCTTGGACGAACCGACTTCCGGTTTAGACGGTCAGAGCGCATACAACATTGTTCGTTTCTTGCGTAAACTCACTGCTGCCGGTCAAAAGATCTTGTGTACGATCCATCAACCGAACGCTTTGTTATTCCAATCGTTCGACCGTTTGTTGTTACTTCAACGTGGTGGAGAATGTGTCTACTTTGGTGATATCGGACCAGGTGAGTTCATCGAAGTTTAGATAGTCGAGGATGGAACTGACAATTGTAGACTCTCGAGTATTGATCGATTACCTCGAAGCAAACGGTGCTAAAGTACCCGAAGATGCCAATCCCGCGGAATTCATGCTCGAAGCTATCGGTGCTGGATCTCGTCGTCGTATCGGTGGTGACTGGCATGAAAAATGGGTTGCTTCACCTGAATTCGCTCAAGTCAAAGAAGAAATCACTCGTATAAAATCCGATGCTTTATCCAAAGAAGAAGATACCGGTGATCATCATACGGAATACGCAACATCATTCAGATTCCAACTCAAAACGGTATTATCACGTACAAACGTTGCACTTTGGAGAAACGCAGATTATCAATGGACACGTTTATTCGCTCATATAGCTATAGCTCTAGTCGTCACATTGACTTTCCTTCGATTAAACGATTCATTATTGGCTTTACAATACAGAGTATTCGCCGTTTTCTTCGCAACCATTTTACCCGCATTGGTTTTAGCACAAATCGAACCCCAATATATAATGTCACGTATGACATTCAATCGTGAAGCAAGTTCGAAAATGTATTCTTCGACGATATTCGCTGGAACTCAATTATTAGCTGAAATGCCTTATTCTTTATTATGCGCTACCGCTTTCTTTTTGTTATTATATTACGGAGTCGGATTCCCTTCCGCATCAACAAGAGCTGGATATTTCTTCCTCATGATTCTCTTGACGGAAGTTTATGCTGTTACTTTGGGTCAAGCTGTCGCAGCTTTATCACCTTCCATTTTAGTGGCAGCTTTGTTTAATCCTTTCTTGTTGGTTTTATTCGCTCTGTTTTGTGGTGTTACTGCTCCTTATGGAACTTTACCTGCTTTTTGGAGGAGATGGATGTATTGGTTGGATCCTTTCACTTGGCTTGTGAGGTGGGTTAGACTACGTTTTCTTTTCTTTGTCATTCCCCCCTTCATCGCCCACCCGCCCACCCACTTACTCCCAACCCTCCCCTATGTCTCTTCTTCATGTACGAATCCTTTCTCCCTTGCTCTCTTCTCTCTCTTTCTATCTCTTGGGGTCGTTAACGTTACCCTTGAATCTTCTCCCTCTTCAATTGTCCTCACCCTTCGATGTTGGTGGACACAATTATATAACCTTGAAAAACATACAGAGGTTGAGGTGGTATTCGTAGTCAAGTCCACCACTCACGCACAGCGGTCTGGTATCCACCTCTCTTCACGGCGTTCAAGTAGTTTGCAAAGATAAAGAATTCTCTCGTTTCCCTTCTCCATCAGGTCAAACTTGTGGTCAATACGCAGGAGCTTTCGCTTCTGCCGTAGGAGGTTACATTGCCAATCCCGATACTGAAGGAATTTGTGAATTTTGTCAATATTCAGTCGGAGATAGTTTTTATGCCAATTTGAATATAAAATATGATGATAGGTGGAGAAACTTTGGAATTTTCGTATGTCCATTTTATCCTTCTTTTCAGCCTTCATCTTTCTGTGTTCTTCTCACAACTCTCCTTTTGAACGTTCCTGCGTCTCATTCTAACCCTTCCCCCTTTCACCCTTCAATTTTATCCCTATTCTCGTCATCCTTGTCATGCCCTACATTGTGGAATCGGCTCTGGGATGTCGATCCACACCTATGATACCACACTTATTCCACCACCAACGAAATGACAACGACACTGACTCGTAGCTCTGTTACACCGTCTTCAACATTATTGTTCTCCTCACTGCTGCTCGTTTCCTCCGATGGCAAAAACGATGATTTATACTTATTAATTGATACAATTTCAGTTTCCTGCTTATGCAGTGTCTTGAGTGTACGGTGAAAATAATGGACAATGCATTCTATCGTACAACATTTGACTTGCATGTCCGGTTCCTCCTCGCACTCACTAACACTCCCCATTGTCCTGGTGATATGCCATACTTACAATTTGTGGATCCTAGAGCAAGCAGGGGTTCACAACTCATTGAGTAACGGTATGTTTCACACACGTCACGGATACTCAAGCTACGTATGAGGACAAACACCTTGAGGGAGGAGAGAAGAAAGGAACTATCACAAAACTTCAAAGTTGACACCTTGAGCCAGAGGTAAAGAATTGGAATAATTCACAGAAGCCTTCACATCAGCAAGACTCACGAAAACGTTGAATGAACATACAGATGACCAGCTAACATATTGTTTCCAAGCATCACCGCCGGATTCTCTACCCCATCCCTATATGTCAGCTCAAGTACCCAAAGACAAAGGTAGCTGACAGTGGATTTGTTTCTGTTTGTTAGCCAGGCCATGTGCGTATTGTGCAAGTTGCTTCGAAACATTGACTGTCATACATGGCAAACTCAGCTGAAGACGTGGGCACCGGGGCATTGTTGCCATAAGAAGGGTCATTGGAGACAATGGGTGTGTGAGAGATGGAAGTATGGAGATATGAAAGATCTAATAGAAATGATGAAGGACGTACCCTCCAAAAGCAGCAGAAATTTCAGCTCCAGAAGTACCCGTGTTGATCTGACATGAGCTGACTGTTCTCAAACCAGTATAATCTTATCCTCATCTATGCTCTTAGTCTCTTGCTCCGCCCCCCTCACTCGAACAGAATCTGTGGAGGCTTTGGTAGAATTAGGGGAATCATAGGATGAAACTCAAGGATGTTTTCGAGTGACAAGTAAAGTGGAGATTCATGAGAAAACTCACATTGACCAAACCACAATCACTTCCTTCTGGACCCAACCATCGACCCATACTTTGTAAATTATTCGTGAAAAGACTACTGGACAATCCCTGAGGTACAGAATTATTGATCCTATCTCTCAGCTCATATCATACAGTTTCATAAGCTGTAAACCCTACTCGATGGCTTCTTCCAACGTATCAAACTCGTTCACATATAGAATCGGTGCAAAAGTCCTATTCGTCAGTTATCATCACCTAGTCTCAACTCAGGATATATCGAGCGGTGAAAAGAGAAATGGAAATCGAGGAAATGACAAGACTGACTCTTGTGACCAACATGGATCATCTTTCTTGGGTCTGATCACCACTGGATAAACCCAGTTCCCACCCTTTCCTTCTTCCCACAGTCCCTCATGCATTCGACCACTCCGAGGAGTCAACATTTCCCCACCTCTGTCCAGTATACCGGACAGGGTACGTTCGTACATTTCGACAGAACCCGGAGTATGTAATGGTCCCACTAGAGTTTTAGGATCGAGAGGGTCACCTATGGTTAATGAATCATATAGCGGTAATAGGATCGATAAGAATTTCTGGGAGATCGAACGATGGAGGATGAGTCTACGTGTTGAAGTACATCTTTGTCCCCTGCTTGTCAGTCATGAGCACAGAAAGAGTGAAAAGTAAGAGATGAGAGAGACTGACGTCGTACCGACAGCTGCAAAGAGTACTGCTCGTAAAACTAATTGAAGGTCGGCATCGTCCATCACAACGACGGCTGATATCAGTGATTGAGAACTTTATCACAGAAACATACCGTTATTCCCTCCCAGCTCCAGTATGGACTAAGGTATCAGCTGAGCCTTTTAATTGACGGTGGAAAGGAAAAGCTGACTTTACCAAATCTTCCTTGGACCTCTTGGCCCACTTGACGGCCTACACTCTCGCTTCCTGTGAAACTCACTAATCTTTAGATCTATATCTCTGGGGAATGGAAATACTCACCAAGATCAACGAGAGGACTGGAGACAAGTTGTTTGCCAGTCTCTACTCCGCCCGTAATGAGCGAGATCGTTGCCCCGGGCAGTCCATTTGCTTCGATCACGGGTTCAAGAAGTTTTGTCACTGCCACAGAGGTCCTGATCATTAGTCCGAGTCTTCAGTCGCGTTAGACGTACAGAGGCGTGGTGATGGATGGTTTCCAGATTGTCGAGTTTCTGTAAGTCAGCTGATGTATTTGGCGGTGTTACTTAGCCAGAGCCAGGTAATTGGTCGTCAGACAGAACATACCCCGTAGCGAGAGCGATGGCCAAATTCCTGTCCGTCAGCTCATTGATACAAGGAGTACCCAAGGAAACAACTGACCAGCCCTGTTACAGATGAGCTTGTCGTAGTTTCAACAACCCCTTTGATTTGAGGGACGACTTACATATACTGCCACCTAATCATCAGTCGATTGATTGTTGATGATCACATCATGACTCACCGGAAAGTTGAAAGCTGAGATAATGCCCACTACTCCCAAAGGATTAGGTACTATCTTGTCAGCTCAAGCAACTGTAGATCTGCCAGCTCACTTTCGTAGATGACATGTTCTGGTCGTTCAGAAGAAAGCACTCGACCCGACATTGATCTGGACAATCCAGTAGCATAATCACACTGTTATCAATTTCTTTTTTCCTTTTTCTCCTTCAGTAGAATACTGACAATATCAACAAACTATACGTCAGCTCTGGTCTCTGATACCCAAACATAGCTTGCTCACCTCTTGTACTTCACCTCTACCTTCCGACTTGATTTTGCCCATTTCCAAACTGACCAAATCTCCTAGTTCTCCTACTTTATCGGCCAACACTTCCCTCATTTGTCGTATGACTTCTCCTCTTTTTGGTCCAGGCATCTTTCGTATGGCCAAAGAGGCTTCTTTGGTCCTGGCCAACGCATTCCGCGTTTCTACCTCGGTAGCCTGGAATCAGCGCAAAAGTGAGGTGTAAGACCTACGGTCGTGACACGCCCGAGGATCTCTCCTGTTGATGGACATCTAGAAATGACTTCGGGACCACTACCACGCCACTGGTTGTCGTATACCCCACGCAGGCGGGATCCGTCCACCGGGAGATTGAGTGCGGAGAGGACACGAGTGGCACGAGCTGAGAGGTGTCTTATGTGGAATTTGTGAGGTAGCCGTCCTCGGAGGATTGGGTAACTCCGAGTGGTTATCAACATGTTATGCGATTTCAAGGTAACAGTGTCAGTAGGATGACATGGGGGTGATACAGTGAATGAATAGTTATATAGGCAAGATGGACAAAGAAAGGAGCGAGTTGCAAAACACTTCGGTTATTTCGAAACCCGATCGAAAATCGGACATCGCCGCCAATCACTCGAGTAACTCTGCTCCCTCAAAAGTCAGTGAAACATCGTATGCATGATCATATTCCAGCCTGGAAGCAAGACTAGATCATCGAGGCTCGGTGAAAACAGCCTACATCTACATTCCAGCCAAGTCGAGGGAAGGAAGGAAAGGACGCAGAAAAGATCCGTCTTCTTTCGTGAATTGGGCGGGTGGCGAGATAGACGAAACGGACATTTACTTCCCTGTTACTCCATGCCCAAGCATGTCCCAACATTCAAACACCTCCTCTCGCGATCTTTCCTCGCTCCGGATAACAGGGAGAAGAAGAAAGAACCTTGCTTCAATGACCTCCTGGCCCAAGCTCGTCGAAATAGATCGGATGTACAGGAGATAACCCGAGATCGACCTGGTCATCTTGTCGACATCGACTTTGTCTCCCCTATTCCTATCGTTCCTGCGATCTTGGAAGGGGCACCATTACCGTGAGCTATCCCTTCATTGTTCTTTCCCACACCCTCACCTCCAAACTTCTCGTAGCCTTCCTGTGTCCCCCAACTTTGCTGGAAATACTCATAGATTTATATATCTTCCGTCAACAAGGAGGACGGATTGACGGAATGACAAGAAGTTGTGAAGTACGTCGGAGTAAGACGTCAAGACAACACTGTCAAGGAAGAATGAGACGATGTGGAGGTTAAGGTTGAGGCTAAGACAATGGTATGATGAAGTGATTAACGATCAGAGGCGAGATCACAAGAACCCAAATCATTGAAAGAAACCGTCTTGCACGTCGTACACCCGGACCCGCCGCACCAGCATGTTGGACACTCCCCTCTATCTCTCATCCCTCTTTACCCTCTTCCAAGACCTCTGTACAATTATCAAGCCATCAAATCCGATTATATTCATCTTTGATATCCCATCAACCTCCTTCTCGTCCGACCAACGGTACATCATCTCTGGTCCATTATTGTTTGATGACAGTTCTAAAGTATGTCGAAGACGAAACTCCTCTATACCAGCTCTCTTCCTCGACATCTGAAAAGAAAACAATAACAAGAGGAGAGATTATACGTTCTCAAATCTCATGGATGGATACTCATACGAAGATCCTTTTGATGGATATTTCCTCTGAATTAGAAGAAAAACATCCTTGGAGATTAAAGGATAAAACAATGAAACTTCTTTTACGTCCTCCTAATCATACTTCCCTGTCACTTGATGATGAACAAATCAACATTGTCGACGAGAGAGGAAAGTCAAGTAATCAACCGATCATATTAGATAACTCATGGACTCAATCTGTAGACACTGGCATTGGCATCGGCATCGAAAATGAGAGTGATTTGGAGAAAGAGGATAGTTGGGATGAAGAAGAAGATTCAACTTCAATAATCCATCATTTACCTCTTACTCTTCATCCTTCTCCTGAGAAATTCTTGAAACAATTAAATAACTTCCCTTATTTATCCCTTATATCATTGAATTTGACAGGTTCTACCCTTCCTACAAATTCAGATTCTTTGGTTGGGGTTTTACCTGCTGTATTACGTGAATTATGTTTGTCGGGAGTGAGGTATAGAGGTAAAGAAGATGATTGGTGGAGGGGGATAAAAGGGATGGGTGGGAAAATGGTTCTTTTGATTGTGAGTTTTCTTTCTCCTCCCCTTCTCTCTCTCCTTCCCCTATCTCTCCCTTCCGGTATTTTCTCTTCCTCATCTCTCCCTATCGTAAGTCTCCCTCGCCCCTCCGGTCCCTTCCTCCGGCCTGGATATATCTCTTTGGGTATTGTATTGTATTTGTGACATATCTGATAGACAGTTATTAGACTTATCGTTCCCTCCGTATCGAATAACAGATCAAATTGCCAAAGAAGTATTCCAACCGGCTCATACTCGATTTCCATCTCTGAAAGTACTAGGCTTACGGGGTCATATCTCTCAAGAGAATTCGAAACAGGATGAGATGAAGGATAAAACCGAAGAGAATCGGATGAGGAGAAGGAATGTAGAGAAGAGTCTAAGAGGGAATAGGAAAAGATGGGTGGATGTTATCTGGGATTGAAATGTCGTCGTATCTCTTACTTTTGCTACTTGTTGTTATGTGCTTGTCTTTCGAACATCTTGTAGCTCAACTTACTCTGATTACATGATACGTAACGTGCTCCTTGCTTCTTATTGCGGTAACAAACAATCCCCACTCTTACTCGAAGATCGAAGAAATGTCATTCATACATGAATGCTCGGTCCCAAAGATGAGAGTGATGAATTTATCCATTTGAAGAGAATATCATAAATGAACCAACCTCTAAGTTATCACATCAACCTTAAAAGTGATTTCAGTCGATCTTTTTCAGTGATTGTGAGGTTTCCAGTGATTGTGAGGAGTTGTAGAATTTAGAAACCCTTCAGAACAAAACAAAACAAAACGCATATCATGAATTTCATCTATTTTTACTCTGATCATCATCAACTTCACAACCACCAAAATCAGTTCTCCTCTCATTTCCATCCAGTTGATGATCTACCAATTCCTCAACTCCATTTTCTTCTCCATGTACATGTATCTTTACTTCCCTAACATCTTTTCGTCTATGTAAAACAGCTTCTCTGACTCTACTCTCCACGGCGTGAGATTGACGGACTGACATACTTGCCGGAACTGAAATCGTGAGGTCTAAATGTGTTTGACCTGGTCAATTAGCTAGAGCATTCTGTTTGGGTTTTGAAGGTAAACAAGATGATTAAAAATGCCCCATTGGATTCTTACGAATTGGTGGTTTGATAAATAACCAGAAGTGAGAAAAAGGAATAGGAGGGATGAAGAAGCAGATAACAAGAAAGGTAGGGATGAATATGAAAGTCAAGGAAGATTGATTTAGAGCGAAAGGTAAATGTATGATTTGATAAGAGGGAACATGAAAAAAACTCACCACCACTCCTAACACCTCTAACATTCCTAACACGTAATAAACTTTTCCCATCTACCAACTCCTCCACAATCCCCTCTATAGCTTTCTGAGTAGTCTGATCAACCCCTGCATCAACAATTTCCAACAATGCCGTTCGAGACATTACCAAACCTTGTTGAAGTATAAAGAATGATACTGCTAAACCACCTAAAGGATCTAAGAATTTGTATCCTCCAATGGAAGATCCAAGTATACTACCTAAAGCTACTAATGACGTTAAAGCGTCTGCTCGGTGACTGATCGTAAGTCAGTATTTATTCTAAAAAAATCTCCATCATTTCAAAAACCTTTCATAATTAATAATTTTTGAGTGTTTCATTCTTTTCCAAGAGGTTCACAGTTGATCAATTCAATTCTACGAGATTTCTTAGGTTTTGAAAGTTTCTTAGGTTTTGGAAGTTGAATATTTTTGAGACCTTTGTGGAGTTGATGAAAAAGAAGAAGAAAAACTCACTGTACTGCATTCGCTTTCAGAACTGGGGAATGTTCTTCAGCCGCAACTCTAGTAGTAAGACGATATAACCATTCTTTGACCAAAACACTTCCAGCTGCGAACCAAGCTGCATGTGGATTTAATGTCATTTCGTAATTCCCACCATGAGAGTGATCATGTGATCCATGTTCGTTGGAAAGAGAAGAAAGGTGTTCGTGAGCGTCAATTACTTGGTTCGATGCGGAGAGATGATCGTGAGGAATGGCGGAAGGTCCATGAGAATGAAATAATTCTAAAAGAGGTGAAGGGATACTTGGGAGTTTACCCCCAAGAGAATGGAGGAGAGTGTCTGGGGGAAGTGATTCGAGGTACGGTAAGAGGGTATGTAGTAAGAGCTATGAATTAGTTCTCTTCCATACAAAATGAACACCAAACATGGATTCTGTTGTCTGACAGACAAAGGGACTGGGTCGATACGGGGATTTGTAACGTAATCGTTAGATAGGGTGTGTCTCTCATTCATGTCACAGGCTTAGGGTCGGTGGGGGTTGACTCACAGAATATGAATGTAATCCAATTCCAATAGCTCCCCCGACTACTTTGTAAGCTCAGGAATATTACTATGTGGAATGAGCTCACTGAGAATAACGCTAACGGATAAAGTCCCGATAGTCTCGAATTTACTGTATCCCCAAGGAAACCTATCAGTCGGTGGTTTACGTGATATCCTCCAAGTAGCCAAGGTTACAAAGTCCTAAATGTCAGCAATTTGGTCAATTGAATCACTATTCTATCTTCGACTTGATCCAAGCATAACTACTTGTAACACTTTATCCTGGACCAAGGTGTTTCCAGAAGTCAAAAGCACTCTCCGCGATCATCTATGATTTTTTTGCCATCACGATACCACATAGTTCTTATAACCTTTGAAAGGCCTCTTCCCCATGCGCCAAATCAATCCTAATCTCAGAAAGAAAACAAGTCATGAGACATTCGTGATCCTCTAAGGGAACATAAAAGGGAAGTAAGAAGGATTAATGAGTAGAATAAACTCACCCCTAACAAATCAGATAAAGAATGTCCAGCTTCTGCTAATAAAGAAGCGGAGTTCATCCATAATCCAGCGATACCTTTCGAAACCGTCAATCCGACGTTTGTTCCGAGACCTGGGTGTTAGTCTTCCTTCCCTTTTCATTTTACACCTTCCCACATTCCATGCAAAACGAAGATGAACAGAAATGATTTTGGAAGGTCGGCTTCCAGTACTTGAGTGAAAAGGAAATGAACAGAGGTACTCCCGACACTTTATGTTAAGTCAGTCGAACAGTGTACTCCCGACACTTCTTGGAATGGAGATGAACAGAGGTACTGCCAACATTTCTGAACACCAAGAAAACCATAGAAGAGAGAAAAGAAAGGTTGACATACCTAGCAAAGTAATCTTTGTACCTCTATCTATCCTCCCACTGGATAAAGCACTGATCAACTGTTCCGCACCTTCTTTATGATCATGAGTATGAACGTGAAAAATACCATGATCGTGATCATGACTTTCTGAATGTTCATGTTCATGTTTGTGATCATTACTTTTATTTTCTAAATGTTCATCTTTATCCTCGTGATGCTCCTGATGTTTATGGATTAGATACGAATGATCAAGTGTATTTTCATCTTTCCTCAAACTTGAAGGATCTTTCATATCCTTAACGTCTTCTTTCTTCTTAGAGGATTTAGGAGAGTTCATAGATAAATATCGTCTATTCTTGTATATTGTATTTCCTTGAATATGCGAAATGACGGATGACAAAGATATAAGAATGGACTTCTTTCCAAAAATTGTATTGTTTCTCGTTGATTTCCTTGAAGATCCGATAGTTGTGAATCCAGTAGAATCAAGTGAGGGATTTGAGTTGAGATATCGATAAGGATGTGATGGAAGATGATTATGATCATGGAAAAATCGGACATATGGCGTTTTAGGTCTTAACATCGGATGTATTTTTGATGATTATAAATATGAATACCGGATTTGGTCGGAGGGCATACTAAGTATCTTACTATGGTTGCCTCTTAGTGTCTCTTGAGAGTAAGTGTCGTGTTGGTCAGATGGGTGTTTGGGGACTTGGGTGGTTTGGGAGTTTGACTGAAGATTTGGTTTCTTGATGATTGACTGGGGAGTGATTGTACACTTGAGTACTTTACTCGTACTACTGCGTACACCTACTGTAGAAAACTGCACTCTACGGTGAGGGGCGGATGATAGAAGGGAATTGTATACAAAGTATAGATTAGAGAAGACAAGTTCGTTTGGGTAGACTTTATCTAATCGTTCTCCAGTCAAATCGGGTCATTCGGGTTTACCGATGACGCAGCTTATATTTCATCCGGACCAACATATATACAACAATACATTCTCAACAAGATATATCACCATCCCCATGACTTCCACTCGACCAAGAGATATGAAGTCTAGATTACGTCGCTGATACCGACCAAGAAGCCTAGGTTTATAGACTAAAGTAGACGTCGGACTAATCCCGACCCATAGTCACTTCAACACCCACATTCACACCCATCAACACGCAATATGTCCCGATTAACACACAAGCCCATCGACGATCTATGAGGTATCCGTTTAAAGGGACGAAGATTGCCGTGGCTAGTAATACCAAGACTAGACCAGAGGCTGAGACCCAGAGTGTGGGAGAGAAATCAACTTTGACTGGGAGATGATAAGGGGTGGCGAGGATGGAATAAGTGCCGGAACCTCCTACGCCAAGTAACAGATTGAGCATCCTGTGGGTTAGTTTAGGTGATCTTTTGAGAAGATTCATATGATTGCAATTGAATGTATATCACTTGCTGAGTTTGTGATACCACAGAAGCGGGATGAAGGGGCACGAAGAGAGTTGGGGCATACAATGACGACAGGATGGAGGACAGGATAGAGGTAGAGAAAGAAGACACTCACGGTCCACCAAAACATGCCGCATAAGCCATGGCAGGCGCAAATTGAGCCACGGTAACATTGGCCACCAAATCCGCCAGACTGTTACCTACAGCGAAGACTGAGCGTCAGCCCAAGTTTCATCAATGGTGAAGGACTGACTCGTGAGACCTATGATGGCGTCGCTCAAACCTAGGATCTCACCAATGGCCTGGAAGTCAGCGAGTTCGAAGCAACTACACACCCTTTTGTTTCGCCGAGCCTAGGGATCGGTAATCGTTAGCAGAGAGGTGATGTTGCAAGTCTGACCCGAGGAGTCAAGGACGCGGGCTTCGATGGAAATCAAGACCTCAGGCTGGCTGTACAACGTGAAGGAGTGGCAGGGGCCGAAGGAAAGCATGAGAAAAAAGTCAAACACTCACCCCTAACACCCTCACCACCTCGTCAGCTATAGCAGCGATCCAGACCATCGAACAGATGAAGCCCGCAAAACATCTCACCAACCTCCATGGTCGTTGTGTTCCATCTGTAGCTAGTCGAAGGACGAGGATCGCTGCTAAGATCCCCGCTATGCCCACTCCGAGCAGTATGTATTTCATATATGACAGTCCATCTTTGCGTCAGCTAGGCTTGTACTGAGTATCATGTGAAGCTCAAGCCTCGCTTGAAGCTTCGATTCGAAGTATATAGCGTGTGACGACATAGGCTGATTTCGAGCGTCAAATATACGAGTTTAACGCATGAAGCTACAGTGAAGATGTTGACACCGCTTGACAGCAAAAGTGACAGACGAGAGCTGATAAAGGGACCAATGATAAAGGGTGATGCCAAAGAAAAAGACAGCCGTAAGAAAAGGAAAGATTGTGAGAGTGAAGAATATGTCGAACTCACGAAACATGACCAAAGTACAGAACAAAGGTCCCAAAACACATTGTAAAGCAGTCAAAACAGGTTGAAAATCTAACGCTTCCTCTTGTTCCTCTTCCTCCGTCTCTTCCTTTCCTCTTTCCCTTTGGTTCTCCAGATCTTCTGCCATTCTTCTTAACGCAGAATGAGATATTCTCCTCAATGGTGAATGTAATGGCGAAAAACCGTTATCGACCAGATGATGTAATTCTTCCCCAATATCAGGGGTGAGCATCCGATCCTCATATTCTTCCTCAAAGTCTTCATAATCTTCATGACCATCTTGATAGTCCTCACCATTCGTACGTTCTTCATTCAATGGCTCGTTCTCCCCCTCAGGTAAATTTACACCTCCCTCATCTTTGGAACCGTCGTCCACCACTGGAAGGGTGACGGTAAGTGCCAATATAGCAGGTACACATACGACAGCTAGGACCATGCCTAACACAGACTTGTGTCGGAAGGATTGCAAAGAAGGAAAGAGGACGCGAAGAATGATCCGTGTTCGTCGACGAAACCGGAAGGGGGATTCTTTGCCCATTGTGGTGGACGATCGCTCAGGAGATGGTACACCAGCAGCTCCGAATGGATCAGTCACAGATATGACAGGTATGTCATTGGTCGGTCGAAGGGAGTCATGTTGTGGAATCAACACTTTTGGTCGTTCAGGTTTTGTGGGGGAAGGAGTTCTGCTAGAAACAAATGTTGGACTAGTGGGTGTGGGAGGAAAACCACGTTGATCCGACCATGGGTTGGGTTCAGGAATTTGAGGATGTACCGTGACGTGTTCTCTAGGTTTAGGACGTGGAAAGATAGGATTGTGTGAAGGAACGATAGGGGTAGATTCTGTTCTGGATGGTCCTACTGGATTAGACATTCCAGGATGAAGGGATGACGCCCTCGGTCTATTTGGCCTTTCTGTACGACGATGTGTTCCGTCTGCTGAAGGTGTTCTGTGAAGACCGCTGGATAACGTTCGTCTATGGTTGTAAGCTCGTATAGGACCGAAATAGTCTTCCGAGCCATTCTGTTCTGTAGGACTTTCGGAAAAGTTCAACCCATTGGTTCGAGTCTGTGACTCTCTACGTAGAGAATTTACAACATCTCGGAACTCTATAGCTCCCAAGAGAGAGAATGTCGCTCGAGGTGTGTCCACAGCATGCTCATGTGGTTGATGTAAAGCGTGAAGGTGAGGGGAACGGATGATGGAAGGAGATCTTGATCTTCCTTCGGTGATTGATGTGGGTGGGAGAGCGGTGATGGATGGGTTACGTTCTAAGGTTGGGTTTATCACTTCTGGGGCATTATCAATGCGAGGAGATGGGAGTTGTAGACTGGGTGGACGAGGTGTTGTTTCGGTTTCCATTCCCTGCCAAAGATAACCTGATCCGTGTGGGGTTTTTCTATGCCGTCGTCGGATGAACCAATTACCAGTGACTATCACGCCTACATACGCGACATAGAGGAGGACCATACCGCCTGACTCCCAGACAGTGAGGGAGCCATCATGTAGGACGGTGATGAGCACGACCACAGCCAGGGTGAAGAATGTTACATCCCTTGCGAAGGCGTAACGGGGTACGTGGAAAGGTCGTATGAAAGCTATGGAGCCAACAACGATGGAGACGACTGACAAGTTAGCATGATACACATGAGCATGGAGTAAACTTGCTGAAGGTCGCTGCACCTATCAATTCACCAATGGCCAATCCAAACGTTCCGTTCTTCAATGCGGAAAATGTCGAGAAGACATCAGGACTTCCATTCCCGAAGGCCAGAAACGTCACACCGGCTGTACTTTCACTCAAGCCTAGATAAGTGGCAATAGTAGAAAGATTTGGACAGAAGAAGTCGGAGGCGGAGATACCGATGAAGGAGAACAAGAAGCAGAGAACGAGTGATAATGCGAGAAGTATGAAAGGTTTCGCAGCGACGGGAGCGGAGGAGTACCATTCTTCATATGGTATGTGGAGTAAAGATGACTATGCGTATCAGCTTTATGAGTTATGGAAATCAAGAGAGGAGGGTAACGAGAGACTGACCGAAGCATGGTCGGTACTTCTTCGGAGTAGGATTTGAGGTGAAGGGTCGAAGTCGTGTTTCAAAACTCGGACGGATCGTGTGATGACCAGCTGTAGGGTGAGAGTAGCAGCGAGCAGTAGCCACACTCTTCTTCTGAATGCAGAAGGCATGGTCAAGTTTCTGATTTAGCACAAGAATGAAGATATAACGAAATCAAGGAGATAGCAGAGAAGGGGTCATGACGTTGGCGACGACCGGCTCTGACTGTGAGTAAGTAGTAGTAGTGTCTCACAAAGGATCTAGGTCGCTTGTCGGTCGTTGATTCAATTGTGGTTGTGGCGAGACAACTCAGGCGTGGGAAGAGCATGGAAGTTGTCCCAAGGTATGTGTGTGATGACTTACACGAGGCAAGCAAAAGAAGGGTGAAGGAGTAAGTGAGTGATGGCCAAATAGAGAAAGAGATGGGGTGTCATGGGGAGGGTGGGGGGGGGAACATGGGGGAGGAGAGCGGAAGGAAGGTCCGTTCCTGGTGCAACGTCATCTCCACCCAACAATTTTCAAAACTTTTTCTTTCACTTTATCATCACCACCACAATGACATCAACTCAACCCAAAGCTGGCCCTTCTAGCTCCCGGAACTCTAAGAGGACCAAAGTCAAACCAGCTTTGGTCAAGAACAACGTTGCTCGTCGTCAAAAAGCTGAGCAAGAGCTCAATGAACTTCAAGCTAGAGTTGACAATTTCGTCCGTTCTCTCCATCTTCTTCAAATTGTGTCTGGACTGACATCCAGGACTCTGATCACGAAATCACCCAATTCTCTCAACTTCCCATATCCTCAAAGACCCTCAAAGGTCAGCGTTCTTTTCATATGACACGTGTGTGAGCTGACGAGTAGGTCTCAAAAGTAGTCACTTCATAACCCCAACCCCTATTCAAGCTCTTGCCATACCACCTTCACTGGCCAGAAGGGATGTACTCGGATCAGCTTCCACAGGTTCTGGAAAAACCCTCGCTTTTCTCGTCCCGATGTTGGAAAGACTATATCTTCTCAAATGGGGTCCGTTGGATGGTCTAGGTGCCGTCGTCATCTCCCCTACGAGAGAATTAGCAGTACAAACTTTCAACCAATTAAGAGATGTTGGTAAATACCATAATTTCTCTGCGGGTTTAGTCATCGGTGGGAAACCTTTAAAAGAGGAGAGAGATAGATTGAGTAGGATGAACATCTTGATCGCTACTCCGGGGAGGTTATTGCAGCATTTAGATAGTACAGTGGGGTTCGAATCAGCCGGTGTCAAGGTGTTAAGTGAGTCTTTTCTTTCTTTCCCTTTTTTCACTCTCTGTCATGTACTACTATACCTGTCTCAGAGATGCTTGGGGGGGTGGGGGGGAGAGAAATTCCACACGAGACTAGGATTGAGCTGGGCTGACTTATAGTCCTCGATGAAGCTGATCGTCTTTTGGATCTCGGATTCCTACCTGCACTTCGAGCGATTGTCTCACATTTCTCCCCTGGAGGTCCGAATGCCCAAAACGACAGACAAACCCTCTTGTTTTCCGCCACTCAGAGCCAGGACTTGGCAGCTTTGGCCAAGCTGTCTTTACATGAACCGTTATACATCAATTGCAACAAACCGGGAGAAGAAGGCGTTGTTCCGGCAGGTTTAGAGCAGTATTACGCTGTAGTCGGCTTGGAGAAGAAATTGGACGTTTTGTGGGGTTTTGTGAAGAGTCATTTGAAAATGAAAGGTGTGGTATTTGTTACCAGTGGCAAACAGGTGAGTCGATCTCTCCTTCTCTCTTGCCCCATCCTGTTAACAGTAAACGCCGATTCAATTCATACAAACAAAAGAAAAATCAAATTTGGTGACTTCCTGTGGGCAAGGCATATAACAGGACCGTCCGTTTCAAACATCTGACAAAAAAATTGGCCGGAGACAGTGCGGAAAGAAGAGGTTCGAAGCTGATCATCAGGTTCGATTCATATTCGAAACCTTCCGTCGACTTCACCCCGGTTTACCCGTCTTGCATCTTCACGGTAAACAAAAACAAGCCACACGGTTGACCATCTTCCAACGGTTCTCTTCCTCTAAATCAGCCCTTTTGATATGTACAGACGTTGCCGCAAGAGGTCTAGACTTTCCATCGGTCGATTGGGTGGTACAATTGGATTGTCCGGAAGACGTTGATACGTATATTCATCGCGTTGGTCGGACAGCACGGTATCAAAGTCAAGGGAAAGCCCTTTTGTTTTTATGTCCAAGTGAGGAAGAGGGAATGTTGCAGAGATGGAAAGATAAGGGTTTGGAAGTGAAGAAGATCAAGATAAAACAAAGTAAAGTGGGAAGTTTACATCAACAGATGCAAAATTTTGCTTTCAAAGAACCGGAGATCAAATATCTTGGACAGAGGGTGAGTCCGTCCTCCGTTTGCTTTCCTGACTTCGCTGTTCCTTCCTCTTCGTCCCCACACCCAAGTCTCTCTTGCCTCTTCTGTTTTCCAAATTCTCGTCTCCCTCGACCTTTCTCTTGTCCCACGTCATATCTAGTCGGTTGTGAATTGTGTCGTGAAGCCCTGGTTTGGAAGTCGAGTTGTGTGACTGGTGGCAGACGTCACGAGATCCCTAGCTCAGAGCAGCTAACGTACCAGGCCTTCATCTCATACATGCGCTCAGTACATTTACAAAAAGACAAGACGATATTTAAACTCTCCGAACTCCCAGCAGAAGAGTTTGCAGCTAGTATGGGTCTACCCGGAGCTCCTCAGATCAAATTGTTCGAGACCAGCAAGGCCAACAAATCGAGGGGAGGAGTGAAACAGCCAGAGGTAGAAGTGGATGAGGCTGCTTTGGTGGGTAGTTCTGATGAGTCTGAGAAGGATCAAGATGTGCAATCGGATGAGGACTCGGATGAGAATCAGGACTCTCTCCCCGGCAAGCCAACGGATGATGATGATGAAGAAGAATCTGAAGAATCTGACGGAGTGGGGATGACCAGTGATGAAGAAGACTCAGATAACTCACGTGAACCTGGAGACAGTGGTGATTCCTCTGATGAGGTAGACGTTGCATCAGAAGAAGATGAAGATCATGAGAATGTCGCGGCACAATCTAAAGTCAGTGGTCCATCACTCGTTTGACAATTTATCTGACCAACAGAAATCCGTTCGGACGAAATACGATCGAATGTTTGAGAGGAAAAACCAATCTATCCTCACTCCCCATTACAATTCCCTCATTCGACATTCTTCTTCAGCTTCAGAATCTGAAGAAGAAGTGTTCACATTGACAAGGAGGGATCATGATTTGCCAGAATTCGGTTCGACATCTCTTGATCCTTCCCCAAATGACTCTTCTACAAATCTTGATCCCACATTGTCCAAAACTTTCGATCCCAAATCTCACAATATGCCAAAAGATTCCTCGGAGGAGAAAGGAGTCCCAAAAAGTGAAGAGAATGAAGGCGGGTCGACAAGTGGAAAAAGTAGAAAACCTTTGATATCTTCAGAAGATCTATCAAAGAGAAAGTTGAAAGCCGGCGGGAGTAAAAAAGGTTTATTGAAAATTCGTTCTGGACCTGATAAAGTCATTTTTGACGAAAGCGGTCACCCGACGACATTCTACGAAGCTGGTAAAGAGGCAGAAGATATCGCCAGGGATTCGAAATTAAGAGAAAAGTATTTGGATGAAGAGAAGGAAAGAATGAGAAAAGCCCATGAGATTGACAGGGAAGTAGCTAGGGATAAAAAGAGAGAGAGGAAGAGGAAGAGGAAAGAGAAGGAGAAAGAGGTGAGTAAAGGGTTTTTTTTCCTTTCCTATCTCCCCCCTCCCCCTCAACCACCCCCTTCCCCTCTTTTTATTCAGAAATGGGCATTCCAGTTCAAGGTTTTTCCTTGACTTCATCATTTCTATATTCCAGTTCAATTTGGTTTCTGATCCTTTTTCGGCACTGGATTGTCATTTTCTCTTTTTTCGTCAGGTTCTCCAATTCAATTTTTGTAGCACACCTTTTTGGTAGATGATCCGTCTGTCAATGATGATTTATCACCCATCCATCCGTTCATCTTCCTTTTTGTGCCACTTTGGACTGGTTACGGTTTGAGAATTTTGTTAATGACAGATCATGGCCATGTCTAAAGGACCGATGATTGGTGAGATGTACGATTCCGATTCACATTCCGTCCACTCAGCAGAAAACCAATCATACCAAGGTAAATCATTATCGATCCAAGATTCGGAGGAAGAATCGTCAGAGAGGAATAACAAAGTTTCTAAAAAGAGAAAACAAGATATGAGGTCGACTCTTGAAGATGAAGAAGAATTAGCTAGACGGTTATTACAGACTGGTCGATGATATAAAATCGGGATCTAATAACTCAAGACTATGCATTCCGTATAGCTGAAAACACTATGAAAAACGACGAAAATGATGATGACAGACAAAAGAAAAACATGGATAGTGTTGATACATGTCAAAGATAAATTCGATACACCTTTTTTCATTTCTTCCCTCAATTGATAACTCTCTCTCTCTCCTTCTTTTCACTAACACATGCAATATCATTTGAAAGCCTGACCAAACTGTCTCCCTCATGTATCCTCTCTTTGTACCTAAAGGTCCCCCCCTCCCTTCTTTATTTTATCTCCCACTATTTCTTGGGAAAGCAAAACTACAATCCTATCTCTCCCAATCCCAATACTTTTTTTTTCTCTAAACTAATTCTAACCCTCCAACACCCTCCTCGATCACTTTACCAACATCATCACTTTCATATCTATCCCCAGATAATGAAAAATGGTTCAAAGGTGTCATAACGTAACTTGAGCTTCTAGATCCATGATCACTTTCTAATCCTGGAGTAGATGATATACCCAATAATACCCGGTTTGAATGATTTAATTCTTTCAATGGGAATCGTTCGTTTGATCGATGATTGGAATGACGATTTTCAATACCGTGATATGACTTGTTTTGGGTTGGTTGAATTGATGATGCTGCGTCTATGTCGGATTGAAGATATTGGGTAGGGTCAAGGGTTGGATAAGGATCTTGAGTGGGAAGTCCGATGTGGTATTGAGTGGGAAAACCGGCTTGGTATTGAGTGGGGAGTCCGATTTGGTATTGAGTGGGAAGTCCAATTTGGTATTGAATGGGATAAGAAGGATGTTGGTTTGGTTTTGATAATATGTGAGGAAATTGAATTGTAGATGTATGAGCATTGTAGGTGGGTGTATGTGTTTGAGGTTGAGGTTGGTATGGGTTTATAGATGGACGAGAGGAAGAGAATCCTCCGTGTTGTTGATGTGGTTCATGATGATGAGGGGGAAGAGAGTGGTGAAAAGGAGGATGAAACATGGGTCGTAAGTGTTGATCGTGTTGAGTGGGAGAATGGTCTTGAGTTACAGTGATAATTGGTAAAGAAGTTGATGAAGTGATATGTTGATTTTCTTCCATATCATTAATCGTATCATCTTCATAATCCACAATCGTCCTATTTGCCCTTCTTGCAATCATCGACACATCCTCACTTTCCACCATCAACCAATTCCCACTTCTGCCACCTCTCATCTGAACACTTTCTCTTCTCTCCAGTCCTTCTCTACTCTCATTTCCTTCTTCTCGTACATTCACATCATTATCCATCGATGAAAAACCTAAATCAAGAACGTCCATGAACGACACGGGATGAAGATCAAAATCCAAATTCAACTCTGGAACATCTTCAATTCTCCCTCTTTGAACCAAAGGACAAGTTTTAGATGATCTAGGTCGTGGTCGAACCATTTGCATATCTTCCGAACTTTTATTACCTTCTGTACCTATCGAACTCACCGTTCTTTGTAAAGATGGAGCTAACATCTCTCCTTGACTTCTTCCACCAGCAATGGGATTAGGATTGAGATTTGGATTGTTGGATGAAGAAAGATTATAGTTGGGAATATGATTGTACGAACTTGAGATAAATCCTGTATCCATCATGGTGCATGTTTTATTTTGTGGGGAAAAGTTTGGACGACGATAATTTCCTTTAGGCCTACCTAGAGAAGTGAGGGTTCTTTCTAATGGAGGAGCTATAATGTTATTTTTATCTTCTGATAAATATCTAGAAGAAGTTGAAGCTAATGCGTATGTTGTTGTAGAGGCATCACCACAGAAAGAATGACTACGTTTAGGAATTGGTCTAGATGGTATGAGTGAGGAAGATTGGTCTCGATATGATATCGGTCTCATGGGTTCAGAAATGGGGATGGTTAGAAGAGTTGATTGCGTTTTACTCCCCGATCCGTGGGGATAAGGATAAGGATTAGGTCGGGTTGGACGTGGACTACGTTCACGTTTGATATAATGTGATGGATTAGATGAATTTTCAGAGAGGAAAGAAAGTTGAGAATGGTTTACAGGTGATGGAGAATGTATTTCGAACATGTCGGAACGTAGCGTGTAAAGAATAGGGAGGGTTGAGGATGTTTGAAGTTGTAGAATTGCGGATGTTGTCTTTCAGTAAGGAGTATGTCGTTTGAGCTGTTTTCAGACCAAGTTTGAATCAAAGTTGATATCCCAATATCCTAAGATTGTCAGAGAATTTTGTGTTTTGTGAGATGAAGGTGATTCTGATATCAGATCTACTTTCATTTTTGTATAGAACAGTGAAGATTACAAGTCGAGAACGATTGAGAGTTATTCACTTCAACAACTCTCGTTACCGATGTCTTATGGCTAAGTCACGGCTGCTAGTACGGCTGCTGAGCCCGTGGGTCGTGGGTCGTACATCGTACATCGTAGATCGTAGATGGGAAGAGAGAAACGGTAATATGAGAATTCAACTTGATGGGGGAAATTAAAATAAATCCTCACTCACCCGTTCAAGAAAACTTTCCTTTTCACCATCCATCTATCTATCTATTGATCCAATAGTGGACGAGTAAAGAACAAGTGGTGTTCAGATTTTATCTGATACATTTACATACTTGACCCATTATGAACAACGCATGCTTCACGCGACCTACAGCACCACAGTTGACGACTAACTTACACGGGTTCCTTGAAATCCGGATGTTTTAAATGTGAAAGATTCAAAGTTTGAAAATCAGAGAATCGGAAAGATACCGTTGTTCGATGAAATATGAGTATACTGTATACTGTACGATGTTGAGGGAGAGGGAAAGGATCGTGACGATACTGCAGAGTACTAGACTTGATTGTCAACGCGTGACCTTATCTCTTTGATAAAGTGATATAGATGTCACTACCGTCGGAAGATGTATCATTCCCTGGTCTAATAGTCAGGAGTGAAGCAAGGTTTTTGATTTTTGATTTTTTTTACTTTTCAAGACGCGTCTTTACACCGAGGTATCGCCGAGGATAGTGACTACACTAGTAGTAGAGTACTCGAGGCCATCGTGAGCCGATATCCCGTGACCATGAGTAGATCGCCAAGACAAATTGAAGTGTGTAAATTGCACTTTAACTTTCATCTCCTCTCCGGATTTACCGGCACACGGTACACGGTAAACCTTCCGGTTTTTGCGGGATGTCACCTCGGCATGTGACCAAGTTGCTCAAGCCTTTTTCGATCCCCGTCTTTTGGGTATACATCAGACATTACTCTTCACGGGATCGGGGGATCAGAGGGCCCGGCTGGCGGAAGAACCAAGCAGGCCTCATGTACATTCGAGTAGCGTGAAATGTACACCGTGCACAAGAGCGATTGTAAGAGAATAAACGAACAAACACTTATATCCATTCATGCATCCGGATCGATGACACGTAAAACATCCCCAATCTTAGCTTGTAACTCCATATGTCCACCTAGAACTCCACTCAGATTTACATCTTCAACACCTGGTTGGTTCACTGGACCCAATCCTGCAACTTTGATACCTGATGATAATGTCGTAGCACGGGATAACACCTCGTGTAATCTATTCATCAGCGATACTTCTATAACTCAAGTACCATTTGTTTTTTACTCCGATCGGGAAGTAGGCGGAAGGGATGAGAATACTCAGTACCAGCTGACTAGATGTATTACAGGACAATACCGGTTCTTGATATGTCTTACAACGATTCAGGGGAGGATAAAAGGAAGAGAATTGAATGACTGACCTGACTACACCAGCTAAAACTAGATCACTCTCACTCCAAGCATTCACCAATCTTCTCGCTGTCACTCCCCTACACTTTGCCCATTCCTCCGCCGTGGGAGCAGAAGGGAGAGAGATCAAAAAAGCACTTTCGACATAATTTGGAACAATACCGTTTGATCCAGTCGGATGAGACAACGATGCGAGATGAAGAAGAGCAGTTTGGACTGTTAAAGCTCCTAATGAAGAACCGATCTGTCAATGTCAGCTTACAACTGGGAGAAAACGATTGGGATAGCTGACCAGGATAACGGGACGTTGACCTTGCACACGTTTCTCCAAAACTTCTCCGAGTAAAGTACCGGCTTTACGAGCTCGGTCGACAGCGTGCATCCATGTATTATCGAGGGACATAGTTGCCATGGAGTAGACCGTACTAAATGTCAGCTCTCACAACCATGCCCCACGTCATCTGTGATACCAGTCACTCCGTAGTATAGTGGAATGCACCGAGTGGACGTGGTGTTATTGGGATCTCGGGCGTAGCAGTAGTGAGGAATAAAATGAACATAAAGAGAGACATACAGAGGTAAGCTGACAGCCGCGAAATAAGCATTGAGAACAGTTCGTTTGATGATCTCCGACTTGATCTTAGCCTTTAACTTGCTTTCGACTACTCGATCAGTTATGCCCTAGTGTCAGGATTTCATGGCTTACTCCACAGATCGATGTCTCTGGTAAATAAGCTCGTCAGCGAGAGAGGAAAACATAAAACTCACCGTCCAGTTTTGAGCATGGTCGACGTTTCATACCTCAACAAATAAACGTCTCTACCGTCTTTCAGGCCCGCCAAAGTATCTGACTTTCCTTTTTCCCTCAAATCACCCCCAGCCTCTATCCGAACGTCCTCTCGAGTCTTCTCTGCAATAGTCCCCGTCGCTTGTTTCCCTTCCCCGATGGAGATCGGCATGTTTTCCGTAGGTTTCTCTCGAGCATCATACATCTGCATTGCCCCAGATTCGGAGGAACAGACGGCACGCCAAGCTGTGATAGCTTCTGTCCGAGACACTGTGAGAAGACCAGGCACGACGATGATAGCTGTCAAACTCGGCGGTTTTTTCACTTGCGTCAATGTTTTCTCTTCGACTGGATGGTCCAATGATGGTCTGATACTTTCCGTTGACGTCCTAGTGGCATCAGGTTTTGGAGAAGAAGCTGAATTGAGTGAGAGTCTCAAGAGTCGATCTTCCAGTTTTTGTCTACCCTCTTCGACGGCCTGTTCAGCGGTAGCATGATCGTCTTTGTTCTCCTCCTGCACTGGATCCGGAATTCGTGACGTATGTCCGGTGATTGTCTTGTCCTTCGTTACTTTCACAATCGAATCTTTACTTTCTTCTTTCTTCCTTGCAGCTCGTTGTTTTGCTTTTTCCTTAGTTTCGTTCAGATCATCCATCTCTTCTTTAGTAACCTTAGTTCCATCTCCAATCTCCACAAAAGAGAATTCTTCCACACCTTTCCATCTCTCCCTCACTCGTCTACCGGCCAAGCCTCCACCTCCAACACCGAACAATGTACCCAGAACAACTGGAGCAGCTGCACCTCCTAAGAGACTACCAATTCCTAGAGGAGCAAGGAGGGAGGCGATAGCAGGTGCAGCGAGTCCTCCAGTCACGCCGATGAGGACACCACCAGCTATGACACCTGCTCCCGTTGCTGAATGTGAGCTCAATTCCTTCATGTCCTTTCAGCCTCTCCTTCTCTCCGTATCATGAAACAATCGGTCTAAATGTTCCAAGAGCAACTATTCCGCCGGTGGGAGGATATTGGGTTAGAAGATGTTGAGATGAACAATGAACAATGATCAGTGTGTTATGGAACTTACCTAAATGTCTACCTAATGACCCACCCCAACCTTGCGACCTAGCCTGACGAACCTGTTCCACCTTCTCTTTCTGCGCTTTCTCCTCTTCAGCGGCTTTCAAAGCGTTAAAGAGTGTCGTACAAAGATTCTTTTCCGCTTTCGAAAGCAACTTCCCACCTTCCAAGCCAAGTCTTGTCAATGTGAGATGATTCAAAGCTCTCGCCAATGGTGTATATCTCAAACTCTCTTCTTTCTGAGCTTTCGCAGAATCAGCCTCCACGGCCAAAGAAGCTTCGACCAAGATACCTGCGACTCGTTGTTTCTCCTCGGCAGACCAGTCGGAACATTGGTCCGATACGGAGTGTACAGAATCTGGAGTGACAGTAGGAGGGAGTTGGGATGATTGTATCTCAAGAGATTTCAGAACGGACTGCAGCCAAGAGGCAGAATGAGTAGAGTGCCAGGATTCTGAGCCTGCTGCGGGAGGATGAGGAGGGTGGAGAGTGGAGCAGAGAGCAGAGAGGGAGACGAGAAGTCGAATAGGCGATGGTAGGGGTTGAGAGGGGTTGGGGAGTGGTTGAGCAGTCATCCTCGTGTATTGAGTACGTTCACACGATTGAATATACGAGTGAAGTGGATAAAAAAGAAGTGGAGAGAGACAGAGGAGAGGAATGGAAAGGAGTCGGGTAAGTAGGTACTGGGTGGTGTGGTGACGTCAGAGCTTGACCACCGGCTGGTACATACCTTGGTACTGTGACTTACTCAAAACATTAAAACCCTGCCTATTCCCAGCCTTCCGTGTATGTAATCGCCATATGTCTTTGATATGAGAGTCATACCCAGTCTCCCTCACTCTCCAAACGATTGCTCCCTGCTTGACCGTAATGGAAAGGTTTGTGTGAGAGAGAGCCGATGTTTGATTCCAGTGAGTAAGTGGGGGAGGTGTGAATGCGGGGCCCAACAAATACAATTGAAACATCAAATTTGGCTATTGGTCTCGATCAAATGTTGGATCCCTCCCTACTCTTCCTCCTTATGATCAACTATGGTCTTTTTACAAGCTGAAGCAGGTCCTTCATCTCTTACAAAATCCAAAGTAGTCTTACCCGACTCTTCCGATTCTTCCGACGATGCTTCCCCCGTACCAACTCCAATCATGTCAAAGAAACGCAAGCGTAAAATGATCAACGGTTCGTTGAAACATGATGAAGAGATCAAACGTAAGAGGAGAGATCTAGCTATCAATCTACTAGAGACTAGAAAACGCTTACCTTTTTATAGAGGTGAGTATCATCATCAAACATTTTCACACTTCCAGATAAGACCAATTACCGTACAGAGAGTATGAGAATACAAAGCATCAAAAGGGAACTAACGTAAAGGTAGGGAAGCGATTTTGAAAGAGATCATAGATCATGATACTACCATAGTAAGCTATCCAAGAACAGTCAGAGGAAGAGCTTATATGAAAGATATTAGGTGAAACAGGTTGTGGAAAATCTACCCAATTACCTCAACTTTTACGGACACATCAAATTTCTCTTGATCATTATCATCCTATCGAAAACGGAGAATTTGTCTCTAGGTTCAAACGTGGACCTAGGATCGCCATTACCCAACCGAGGAGATTACCAACTATAGCTCTGGCCAATCGGGTGGCAGCTGAGATGGGGTCGGTGGTTGGGGGAGAAGTGGGTTATAGTGTGAGGTTTGAAGAGGCTGTTACGGGAAGTACTAGGGTTAGATATATGACAGAAGGGGTTTTGATGCGGTGTGTATGAGTCTTCCCTCTCTTTAATCTCCAAAGTCTCCTTCATATCTTCTCTCAACTCTCTTAGTCGATCGTTCCTCGTTTCCAATTTATGACCCGTCTCTTTTCGGGCTCTCACTACAACTGTGAAAATTTTACGAATTGCGAATTGACCGTAGTGAACTTGCTGGGACTCCCCGATCAATGAAGCCTCAGGATCAAAGCCCTAAACCTGCCAACGACTCGATCAAGGTCAATGGAGAAAGCAATGGCCATGATGAGAAGACTACGGAGGAAGATGAGGAAGGACCAAACTTACTTTTGAAATACGACATCATTATCATTGACGAAGCACATGAACGAACTCTCAACACCGACTTTCTCTGTGGAGCTCTGAAACGAATACAACGTTTACGAAAATCACTTTCCTCTACCCATCCTGAGTCCAATGGGACGATCACAAATGGTAATTCTGAAATACTCCCAAAGAACAATAGAGGACGAATCAGACCCCTCAAACTGATCATCATGTCAGCCACTCTGGATCCTACAAAATTTCAGAATTTCTTCGAAACGTCAGTTTTCGTTATAATTCACTAGTTTAGCTGATATCACAGTGGTCGCAACGCACTAATGGTCAAAGGAAGAGTGTACGAGGTGGACACCCGTCATGTTCTTCAACCAGTAGATGACTTTATTGAATCTGCCGCTAGACAAGTTCTACAAGTTCATTGTACGCCAAAATGTGAGGGAGATATTCTGGTTTTCATGCCTGGTAAGTGATCCCGTCTACGGTCTACTCCAGCTCATGAATAGGTGCGGAGGAGATTGAGAATTGTGTAGAGCTGCTCAGAAGGGTATCAAAGGAGCTTCCACCTGGACAGATGAAAGTACGTTCATGTGTCTCCACTGAAAGATGGGTTCATGTTGACCGGCAGATGCAGATATTGCCACTTTACAGTGCTCTTCCTCCATTAGCTCAAGCTAAAATCTTCGCTCCGCCAAACAAAGATGTTAGAAGAGTGATAGTAGCTACCAACATCGCTGAAACATCAATGACTATACCCGGCGTGACGGTGGTCATCGATACCGGATACAAAAAAGAGAAAGAATATATATTTCGGAATTCAGGTTGTGGGTTCACACTTTTCTTATCGCCTGTGAAGTCTCTTTATATTTCGTGTTCGGGGAGGAAAATGTGACTGCGCTGATGAAAAGCTATCGAACATCTCAAGAAAAAAGAGATCAGTAAAGCCGCTGCTTGGCAAAGAACAGGAAGAGCGGGTAGAGAAAGAGCAGGACAATGTTATAGGTTATTCACTCAAGAAGTATTCTCCAAATTACCCGAATTTGATCAACCGGAAATACAAAGATGTAATTTAGCTTCGGCGGTGTTACAGTTGGTAGCTATGAAATTAGATCCTTTTACTTTTGAGTATATTGATAATCCTGGTAGAGAACCTAGTGAGTCATCGCTCCATCGCCCAATCCTCATCTTTCCAAATGTTCTCATACTCTCGTGTCGAGTCAAAACAGTGGTGAATATTCGAGTCATCCTCTTCTCGAAAATCATCTGCCATCGATTACCTGAACATCTCACTCGGAGTATAGTTGAACGATGTTGCAGAGGTCGACACTTACTGATTAAATAGTCACCGCTGCTTTCCAAACTCTCGCAGGATTAGGAGCTCTCTCAGGACCGAAAACCATAACTCCTCTAGGTCTTGAGATGCTCCATTATCCACTTGACCCAGAACACTCTCGAATCCTCCTTGCATCAATCTCCTTAGGATGTACTTCAGAAATCATCGACATACTCTCGCTTCTGGTTTCAGGACCAATATGGATAGACAGGGCGAACGACCGTGAAATAGCCGCTGGGGCAAGGACGAAGTTTGTTCATCGGGATGGAGATCATATAACGTCGTTGAACGTCTTTAGAGCGTATCTCGCCTTGAAGGAACAAAGACAGAGTGGGACACAATCGATCTCCCGGGAAAAGGAGCCAAATGGGCAGACGAAGGGCAATGGGGTAGAGAAAGGGAAGCAGGAAACCACCAGTTTACCAAAATGGTGCAAAGATAATTTTGTTAATGGTAAAACCCTCACTGCTGCTGTCAAAGTTCGTGATCAGCTGAGAGAATTGGTAAGGAGAGAAGGACATGATCCTGATGTTACTTGTGGTGGAGAGACGGAAAAGGTAGGAAAGGCGTTGATAAGGGGTTTGTTCATGAATACTGCGGTTATACAACCTGATGGGAGTTATCGTCAAACGGCAGGTAGCTTGGTGAGTTTTTTTTTCATGTTCATTTCGTCCGTTTCTTTCTCCAGTTTCAACCCTTTCTTGCCTCACGGTCCATTGTGACCGGCATCTTGCTTACTACTCGCGTATCTTCATCTTTCCCCCTCTTCATTGCGCTTCTCGGCATTTATCTTCAGTGAGACTGGGAGCGCCGTCTTACGCTCTGCTTTAGTTGTGTGGGAGATTCCGGAGATATACAATAATGAGCTACACTTACTGATACACAGCCGGTCAAGATACATCCTTCGTCAGTGTTGATGAGTAAGAAAGTACCTGCGATAGTGTATGACGAATTGGTATGTTTTCTTCCTCGATGTTCTCACATTCGAAATCCATTCCCCCCCCCCTTCCGATCGTATCGACCTATCCCTCGTCATCGATTCTTCTCATCTTGTACCCACGCGATCGCAATGGATAAAATCATCCCCACTTATGCGATCAAATATCATGCTCGATCTTCCCCATTCAACTCGGGCATCATTCCCTATCATCCTTCTATCACCTCCTTCTCCCACTTTACAATCATCATCACTCCATCACTCTATCGATCTCCTGCACCTCCGATCTGAACGTTTTAAGGACCCACGATGTGAAAAACCGCTAATATCAGACCATCACATCTTCCATTTACGCCCGTAACGTATCTTGCATCGACCAAAGTTGGTTACTCGAAATCCCATGGTTTCAACAAGCTGGAAATGTTCGTGCTCCTCCTGAAAAATCATCTTTATAATATATCATTCTACCATATCGTTACTTGCTTTGCATTCTTTTAATCTTGGAAGTTATTCCTGTAATTCTACTCATGGGTGTCTTGAAACTCACCAAAACGATCGGTCCGATCGGCCGAACTCCATCAGTCGGCCGGTACTCCGATCGTTTTTCGGAAATGACCGACAAGACCAAGTCCTCGGGAAAATCCGATGGCTTCCCTCCCTCCACCTTCCCTCCCCCTGAACATACAAACTTCTTTTACGTCGATTCTTACTTGCTCACACGACACGACCCCTCCGACTTGTTTTACATGTTCTCTCTCTGCACTCCGATCCCATATCATCGTCTTCTGTGAGGACTCCTAGGACGAATATAGTCGAGTGATTTGGTATACTGTAACAAGGTACAAATTCGATTTTTGGGGATTGTACCGAAAATGTCGGCCTCTGGTGAATCTTCAAAACGTTCACATCAACAAGGATTACATGGGATATTACATCATCATGATTCAAGAGAAAACCCGGATAGGTCAGATATACTACACTCTCACGAAGGGATACATAGACGACATGAAGAGGAAGTAGAAGTGGAACCTGTTATACAAGAAATTGACTTGAGTGACGTAAAGGAAGATAAAGAGGAGAAAGAAGAAAAGGAGTTGAAGATGGAAGATGATATCGAAAAACAAAAAGAAGAGAGAGTATTAGATATATATGATAGGTTTACACCTAGAAAAAAGAAAATGATTGTTGCTATTGTTTCTTATTCAGCTTTTCTTGCTCGTAAGTTTTTCGCACCCCTTCCATTCCTCCCTCCTCTTCCTCCCCCTCCCTGCCCCACCCCTGATCGTATACATCCGAGTCTTCTTTCGTTTTGACACGACATCACTTCACCTAGTTACCCTCACTAATGCTGTCATCTAGAATGGAAGTTGGAGGAATAAGAAAGGCCAATGACTAATGATCAGCCTTCACATCATCCGTCTTTCTTCCTTCCATCCCTCAAATGGCATCGGATCTAAAAACGACAGCCACTGTCATTAACTACACCGTTGCTATTTTCATCGCTACAATCGGTATCGCTCCTGTGGTATGGTCTCCCCTCGCGGGGTTTTACGGTCGGAAACCTATTTATCTGGCCGCTATGCCATTGATGATCGCCGCTTCTATCGGTGTGGGAAGAAGTAGGAATATAGCGGATATCATAGGAACTAGAATATTACAAGGGATAGGTAGTTCTTGTGTTTTAGCTGTGGGTGCGGGTACTATTGGAGATATATTTAGACCTACGGAAAGGGCGAATGCTATGGGATGGTTTTATATGGGGGTTGGTTATATTCTTCTCCTCTACCTTTCGAGCCTTCTCATGATACGCACACGTTCGATCATGACCCCTGACCCTGCGTTCTTTACATTCTCCTTGGTATCTGGTCTCTCACCATATGGAATACTCGATGCTGAAGGTTCTTGTTTTGGTCGTTTTTCGCTGTCAGTGGCGCGACATGATGATATAGACCAAGCGCTGTTTTTGATGTCTTCTGGTTACACGGGACGACAGGGTTGGATGGTAGCTGATAAACAGGCACTTTGTGGACCATCTCTCAGTCCAGTTCTGGGAGGTATCTTAACGGAGTATACTCGTCCAGGTTGGCGTTTAGTCCAGTGAGTGTCCCATCATTTCCATCTTCATCACCTATACAAGAAACTTCGAAAGACAGATCATCTCTGAAACATTTCATACTCATTTCTTCCACAACTATCAACCGGCGGTATGCATCTCGAAGATTACTGATCACAAGATATATCCTAGCTGGAGCCGGCGCCATTTCTTTCTTCCTCACTCTCTTCTTCCTCCCTGAAACATCCCATCCACCATTACCTCACGACACCATGCGCGCCAAGACCGGAAAGAAATTCGTAATCTACTGGTTCAACCCTTTGACCAGTTTAGGTCTTTTCCGATGGCCAAATATAGTCGCTGCTGTATGTTTTCCTCTTTCTTCTCCAATCGTCGCTGATCAAGATAGACTTTCGTTTCGAGTTGCGTTCTTCTTGATACTTATGTCTTGAACGTGAGTTTCCCGTTCTCATCGTTGATCTGGCTGATGATGCAGGTTCCACTGAGTGAGTCACAATGAATATTGTTGAGTGTTTGCTGATACGGAATTCTTTGATAGCTACTGTTTTCGTGAGTGACTTTATGCTTCCTCAGGAATGATAGTGGGATAGGGTTGATTAGTAGAAAGAACAATATCATATTGATAATGTTGCCGTTTCAGGTTGTTTTTATCTCGTCATGGGAGGTGGGAATTGGATAGGGGCACGTTTTGCCGGTCGTGAGTGTTTTCCTCTCTATTATCACTATCTTCAAAAAATTTGTTCCTCATGACAATCTTATCTTCTTTCCAATACATCTTAATCTCCTCATCCTATCATACCCCCCTTCCAACTCTTCCTCCATATGTTCTTACGTTGCATTATATACCTCAAAAAGTAACGAACACGATAGCAGGGAATGACATGACCTTTCCGAGATGCCTGAAAAAGACATAAACAGAAGAACTCACACATTAACCTTTAGCCTACGCAGACAAACAACTTCGAAAATATATAGCTAAACGTGGTTATCGTCGAGCTGAAGATCGTTTGCCTATCATAGTGATTGGAACAGGTCTTCTGATGCCTGTAACTTTGCGTAAGTATCCCTCTTCCTATTTTCTTAAGACACACCGCTGATAGTTGAGTGATATATGGTTGGTTGGTACAAACTCGGTACGTTTTACGTGAATGCTTCTTCTCTTATTTCTTGCACATCGTGAAGTTCTGTGTGAAAAGGTGGATTGCGATTGATGATAGACTGACACAGTAGAAAAGGAGGATTAGCTCCTAGTTTGATAATGCTTTTCATCAATGGATTTGGGCAGATGTGTGCATTGACTCCTATTAATACTTAGTGAGTCAAAAGAATCGATAGGAAGGGTCGAGAGTTGATGGAAGTGCTATTGATGCTATGCAAACGAGGAGTGCGGAGGTGATTGCTGTGAATAATTGTGGGTTGTCTTCTTCTCTCCTTCTCCCCTTCTCCCCTTCTCCCCTTCTCTCCTTCTCACGCTGTATTGCTACTCACCCCACCACCTCGTGGTCCCTCTGTCCTTGTTCCCTCTCCTCCTCCTAAGGATGTCGATCGTCGCTCTGTGCTGGTCAGCTCATGACAATCACTCAGGACGTGATCATTCATGTTTGAAACAGCTTGAACGTGAGGACATAATGTTGATTCTTGTAGGCGTACGATATCTCTTTGCTGCAGGAGCATCAGCTGTACTCCTCCCTATAGCCAACGCCATCGGATGGGGATGGACCATGACTATCACCTCTGTTATATGTGTGAGTAATTACTCTCATCCTCTCATCCTTGCTTGTCCCCCTTGTTCCAGATCCATGACCTCTTCCATCTATGGAGTACCACGAAGCGAGGAATTATTCCATGATCACAACCTGTTTTCCCTCACATATCCGCTGCAGCCTGTTGAGTGCTGGCTCCTTGGACCTTTCGAAGACGCTAATCAACTGACGCACAGTGGATGGCATGTGGTATGATCCTTCTCATGCTGAAATACGGTACCGCATGGCGAGAAAAAGCGAATGCGAAATATGGTATCCAACCTCGAGATGGCGAAAGACCTAATCCTTATTGGCCGATCGAATCAGTCGAATCGGTGGATAAAGTTCATTCTGTCGATTTCGTCGATTCTACTTCTGAAAAGATGGACGTGGAGAAAGAATCTGAAAGTGATCAACATCATGATGAACAACATGAAGAACCTAGTAGGTTATTACCACGTGTTGAAATGAAGAATCCTAGATCAGGAAGGGATAGAGATACGAGGGTTGAAATGCCTGCTGTGGAAGAGGTTTTGAGAAGGACTGTTAGTTTGAGTGGAGCTTCTGTTCATGGTGGTTAGTTTTGATAAATGGATGGGTTGTATATCATTTACATATTTAGATGGATAGATGAGTTTCTCACTGTTGTTAGTGACTAGTATCATGTTCTCGTCCAATGGGATCAGAAAACATTCCAACGAATGTCAGCACAAATTACGTCGCCGTCGTCTAAGTCAAACTTACCCTCAACTTTCATCCCTGTATTCTCCAAACTCTTCAAATACAAAGATCAAGTGACGTCAGAAACGTCTCAAAAGTCTAGCCGTATGAGTAAAGTGAAAGAGGAAATCACCAACCGACAGAAAAGATGCATGTGAAAGGTACATATCTCGAAGATGTGACCGCTCATAGGTGACCCCGCCTCATAGTGAATAAACTCCGCGTGGTTGTTTTAATCAAGCTTTCTTGTTGTGTTCGTTCGAGGCATGTTGTCTGGCCCCGAACTTGGTAGTAAGCTACACCCTTTTCAAGAAGAAAAGAGGAACCAGCCAAGTTTGGGGAATTGTGCGTGCCGTAGAGAAAGAGAGAAAAGTTTCGATGCGGGGTTTTGGACGAGGGGGAGGGAATGAATATTTCATCACGAGTTTTGGGTATTTTCTCCCAAATCACACTTGGAGGTTGCTTCCGCCCAAATTCCCCCTTCCTCTCTCTAGCAGTCTGCAAATACTCTGTGACAGCTCCGATTCACGAAACGGTCCAAAAGGGTTGATACTCCATGGGCGGGGAGAGTTAGGAATCTGGAGAAGAATTAGGACGGAAAATTAACAGGCAGCTATTCACCTACCCCCCTCCCCGCCAAACTCACCCCCCCAACCACCATGTCAACGTTTCCCCAACTCCTTCGTCGATCTTCATTCATAACCTACGACCCATTAATCTCCCGAGTTTACACCTCAACCCCTTCTTCCATTTCTAAATATTCCGATTTCGGTCTCAAACATCCACTTCCTCTTAACCCGCGTCGAGGTGGTCCTCGTCATATACGTATCAATTCTCTCGATGCTGGACCAGTGATGAAAACAGATTATCGTTCCGCCGAACCTGAAGTCAGGTTCATTTCAGCTTGGGGACGTGCTGGTATACCTTGGAGAGGAAACGAAAATGGTCCATCCACATATCCTACTGAACCTGAAGACATTATGGCTCCTGAGACAAAATACTTTTTCTCAGAAAGTGAGAAACGTTGGGTAGCAGATTTAGATAAAATGACAAAAGAACAATTTGAGGTTTATCTTGATCGTCTAAGAAATGATAAGAAAAGGTTTAGAGAATGGATGTTGAACAGATTGGAATTTGAGAAAAAGTTTTATCCTAATTTGAAAACTCAGGAATTGGAAGAAGATAGGACGGTGGTCAGTTTAGCTATGATGGGTTTAAGTAATGATTCTGATTCTAATCAATTTCAATCGGATTTAGTTTCTGATACTTTATCTTCATCTTCGTCAACCTCTTCTTCTCTTTCGTCTTCCTCTCTTTCAACGCAAACATACAACACTTCACCTCAATCTACTTCGAGTATGACTGCTGGAGAAGATACAATCACTCTACCATCTATCTTACCAGCTCCTCACGATAAATACGGTTTACAATATTCTTACACCCCACTACTCAGTTCCAAAATCCTACCTAACCTCGCTCATCCCGGTAGAGCATTACATCCACGTAAAATCAGAAATAAAAGGGAAGATCCAAAATATTCCATGGGTATTCAACGACCTTGGACAATCAGTTTGGGAGGTATAACAGTCAGTAACGAAACATCTCAACAACGAACCATACGATCAAGTCGTACTCAAGATCCTATACTTGAAACCGATTATACTCGTTCAGATACAAATAGAGGAATATACGATTTCAACGTCACTTCAGCAAGTATAAAAGCTCCTCCAATGGTGGTTGGATTGGAAGATCCTCGTAAAGGGAAATATGGTTCACCTAAAGCTTCGGAAGCTTGGTCTAAAGAATGGGGATTAAATTCTTTTGATGGTATAACCGCTAGGAGTTTAAGACCGCTCGATACGGTCAGATTCGATATCAAAGTGGAGAGAGCGGATGAGGAAGGTAAATTGAAAACAAGGGGGGAATTAGGATCTATGGAATGGGTAGGATGGGAGGAGGAAGTGCCGGAGAGCAGGGACTGGTTAGCAGGGAGAAGGATCAATTGGAAAGATTCGGAAGAGAATAGGAGACAAGCTTTGTTGGAGAGGAAAAAGAGAGGTGTGGAGGAGAAAGCTAGGTTGGAAAATGTTTTGAAGAGGGTCAATCTGCAGGGTTTGAGAGATGCTTGAGTGGGGGTTAGAGTATGTGGGGACGTTGGGACATAAGGAGTTTGTTGGTGGGGTACGAGTATGGGCAAGGGTGTGGATCAAAGGATTGTGTGAGAATTAAGAGGACTTTTCATTCTCGCTCTATTCTTCCAATGCATTATTCTCTGAACATCGTTATATGTAAAACACCAGAGCTTTGAATTAGCAACAAGGTCTGATAAAGAAAATCACGTGAAAGCAACAAATTGACTCGTCTCCTCCGCCTTTTCCGGCAAAGCACCACCACATCTCTTGTCCTATAAACTCACCCCCAAGTTAGTCTACTCAAGTTACTTGATCTCACTGGTACTCTCTCGCTCTGTATATATGTACCCAATGACGTCTTTCACAGATACAGTCAAATACTGTTTCCCTTCCCCTTCTCCTGTCTACTCAACCAATACCGATCCTGTCATACGATATGACCCCGAGTCAGAGGAAGATCAAATATCGCGGGGAACGGAGAAGTTTTCAATCAAGGTGATGGTGAAGAGTTATATTGTAGATTGGTTACTTGTTGTGGTTTTATGGTGAGTTATCATCTCCTTCACCTCATCTCGTCTCATCTCTTTCCCTTCTTCCTCTCATTCCATCCCCCAGTCGCTCTCACTCCTCTACTTGTTCCTCGTGGCCATAAAGTCTTACTCAAGGATCTCAAACCTACTTGATCGTACTCCTATAATGGTCGAGAATGGTGACAGTTAATCACTCTCCATTCACTCGTATTTTGACTTGCAAAATAGAATGGGAAAGTACTACCGAACGGATGAGGGGCTAAACCAATAGGGGAATACTTTTCATCCTTGAACATGCCCCAGGACATAAACGAGAATTCTCACTTAATGATATATCTATTCAACATACTTTTGCGGAACATGAACGTGTACCACCTTTGTAAGTTCCCTACTTTCTTTTTTCCTGTAACCTCCCCAACTGTCCATGTAGCTCCATCTAGACCTCAATTTCTGTCCAAATTACCGACAAAACGATCATCATTTGGTTTCTCAGAAACACCATATGAGAGTTACTCTCGATTCAGAGAAGAACTGACTAATAGTTTATTGGCCATATTCTCAGTTGGTATACCTCTGGTAGTGTTGATACCGATAAGTTTATTCGTCTCGAAGACACGGTGGGATATACATAATGCTTTAATAGGTGAGATTATCCCTTTACCGCCCTTTTGTTTGTCCCTACACTTGTCCCGCTATCTCCTCGTTCGTGGGAGTCGTTTGATATCTTGACCTGTCATCCATCCCCTCCCCCCGTGACCCGTCATCGTTCAGTGCATCACGTTTGTGTTATGTGTGCTGGCGGTTCATTCGTGTCATGATCGTGGCTAGGTAGTGAGGTTTATATGGTGATGCTCGTGCTTCCTTTGCGGAGTATTTCAGAGCGGTCTGGAGTTATTGGCTGGTTTGAGCCAACTTCCTTCTGACTTGTGTGTGACTTGATTACTTAGTGCATCGTTCAAGTGCCTCCGGTGGTCTCACCCACGAGACCCGTAAGGTTCGTTTCGTTCTGCCCTAGGTGAACTTGTGGTTCGTTCGGGGAGTTCACTGTAGAGGGTTTCACTCGTTCGAGGGGTATCAATGCAAGAATCGTGGTTTGTTCGCGGGACTACTTTGTAACCCTCCGTGTATCGTTCGAGTGGGCTTTGCGGTTCGTTCAAGTATGCTTTGTGGTTCATTTGGGTATAGTTCGTGGTTTGGTTCGAGTGGTGTCCGTGGTTCGTTCGATTGTTGCCCGCGGTTCGTTCGAGTGGGTTCCGTGGTTCGTTCGGACACACTCCATGAGTTGTTCGAGTGGCCTTCATGGTTCGTTCGGGTGTGGGCTCTGTGGTTCGTTCAAGTGAATACCGTGGTTCGTTCGAGCATTCGCCGTGATTCGTTCAATATGGCTTTGTGGTTCGTTCGAGTGATGTTAGTGGTTCGTTCGAGTGGGTGCCGTGATTCATTCAAGCAGGCTCCGTGGTTCGTGCAACAAAGCTTCTTGCTTAGTTCAAGACGGCTTTGAGGTTCATTCAATCACTGTTTTGTCGCAAGTCAAACCGTCCATGACATCGCAGCTGACATTACAGGATTATTCATGTCATACACCATGACTGGTGTAGTGACTCAAGTCATCAAGGTCAATCCTCCTCTTTTGGGTCTCCATAATAGCTGACCTCTAGATGAGCGTCGGTCGACCCAGACCTGATTTGATCAATCGTTGTGAACCCGCTCCAGGAGCTATTGACCATCCAGTGTATGGACTTTCAACAGTGGAAATATGCACCAGTGTTCATATCGCTAGATTGAACGATGGATTCAAGGTCTGTCATCTCATTTTCTTCATCCTCTTCCTCGCCACTGTACTTTCTTCCCAACAGAGTACATGTATCCTTGACAGACCTTTGCTTCATCTTCATCCTTCAATGCTGGAAACTGATGCTTTAGAGCTTTCCAAGTGGCCATAGTTCTCGTAAGTGACTCAACTCTGTTTGTTCATCAACTGATCAACAGTCTCCTTTGCAGGTCTTGGTTTCCTCGCTTTATACCTAGCGGGGAAAATGCATTTATGGGACAGACGAGGTCATCGTGTGAGCTGGGCTATGCCTTCGGAGGACTCAAAGCTGATTGTAGAACCGCGCCTGGTTCGCTTTGTCTCCTTTACTCGGAGGAGCGATGGTAGCTATTTCTCGTACTGAGGATAACCGACGTGAGTGTAGCAGAAATCTATGGATTGTAGTTGATATAGAGACCACTGGCAAGACGTATTAGTTGGTTCCGCTTTAGGATTATTCATCGCTTGGGTGACGTATAGGACTTATTATCGTGAGTCTCCTCATCTTCTCAACCCATCTCCTCCACCCCCCCCCTCCCCACCCAGATGTTCTCATGCGGCATATTGGAAAAGAGAAAGAAAACGAATAGTCTATCATGGGATTCCAGGTTGGACATGGTATGAATTACGACGACCAAATTGACAAATACAGCGTCTCTTCGTCATCCACAATGTCATCTACCCCTTCTGCCCGGAACACAAGAAGGAGATAAAGTAGATGAAGAACGAGCTTTACCCCGAGTACGTTTAATATCTCCTGACGATGTCGCTTCCCCTCGACCAAGTGAGGAAGAAGTGGCATGGCGTCATGAAGGTTCATGAGTTTTCATCGCTCTGCTCTCTATATTAGTGTACTCTAGTCTCCTGAGATCGTATGTCTTAGATGGAAGTTACACAATGGGCAAAACGTCTAATCATATGCATTTCCTCAAGATACATACAAATCATAGAGTACATTTGATTCATGACCTCGTCATATTTGACGTATGAGAACAAGCGATACTTCCCTTGGTACATCTCACACAACTCGTACCCGGCGGTCCCTTCGTACATTTGACCTTCCGACTCCTGCAAGTTGAGCATGCTACGATTGGTCGGTTCCTCCTCTTCTTCACTCCTGCCGAGGAAGCAGACAAAGCTTGACTACGTCTTTTGGAAGGAGCATAATCAGAAGTCATTTCGGATCTTGATCCAGTCATGGTCGAAGGAGAGGGTGCTTCACTTCTCACTGCTGAAGTGGGTGATAGAAACATTGAGTTGTATGCTGTTTCAGCAGTTGGTGACATGATTTGATTATTCGTATCAACGATGGAATTAACTGAAGTGGCTTCCATCTCAAAGACATTTTTCGGTGTTGAGGGTTGTATTTGAGAATTGAAAGAACTCAAGTCGTAATCCAACTTTTGTCCTTCTTCAAGGTAAACTTGAGAATTATTCGTTTCATTTCCATCCTGGAGAGAAAATTTCTCATCCCATTGAGTGGGATACATTGAATTTCCTACATTTCTTATCAACTTCGTCTCCTTGAATAATCAAGAAATCGTTAAATACTCACGTAGATTGGTGATCTGATCTTTAACTTCTTGACTCAATTGTATCATTCCCCCAATTCTCGCAGCTTGACGAGGGTTATCAATAAGGAAACCAAGCATAGAATTCTGCAAAACATCCATATTGCCCGATATCTCATCCAAAGGTGTCTTCTGACTCCATGTGGTAGAATAACCAGGAGGTGGTTCGTTCAACTTTGATAATTGTTCTTTCTCCATTTCGTCCAGAGCAGCTTGAAGTTCCATTTCGTCATATAGATCGAGAGAAAAAGCGGAATTATCATTTTGTTGATATTGGTCCGGAGATTTATCGTTCAATTGAAATCCGATGGGTTCATATGACATTTGCGTATCAGATGGATCCAAGTCACGAGAAGATACGTCTGGGAATGGTTGTGGTTGAGGATCGTAGATGGCCGAAGCGGGGGAGCTAGGTGGGAGATGAGGTATGATGATTCCTGGGTTTCGCGATTCGTCGGGTTCGGCATCGTAGAGATTGTAAGATGTTTGTTGGGGAGTAGCGAAGAGACTTTGATCGTATGATGTATCAGGATGACTGGTCAGATCTGGCTCAAACTGGAAAGATGGAGCCTGCATATTAGCGGAGATATGAAAATGTGGAGAAGACTTACAGATCCTTGAGTGTACGCTTGCGTAGCCATACTGATCGATAAATCGTGTATTCTTGCTGAAATCTGCAAGTCAAAACGAAGAGGTTGAAGAGGCGGAGGGCAAGTCCTGGTAGAGATTAGTTGAAAAGAAATAGGTGAGAACAGAGTGAGTCAAAGAAGTCATGAAACATCAGTTGCTGAATCGAGATCAACGTGTCATGTCTGACCAATATCAAAGGTGGTCTGCTCCGGAGGAAGGGGGATAACGGCGACGAGACATAAAGGAGGAACAGGATAACATCTGTCCTCTGATGATTCATCCATGTGTCATCGTATATGGGCAGTTTTAACTACCACTCGTCAAATCGACGAGTTTCCTTTACATCAATCCACGTCGCTCGGTTTATCGCCTCGTCTCTCTCGTTGGGCTCGTTGGATCGGGGCGTCTTCAAAGAGGTTTCTCGTATTCTCAGTGATCATGCGCATAACTTCCTTCTCTTCGACCGACAATGAGCCACGAGGCAGAAAAAAGTTCGACGATTGTCGGTGTATGGACCTTCCAATGTCCTCGAGTAGTGAATGAAGGTATATAATCTTATCAAAGGGTGAGATCGTATACTCGATCCGCAACCTGATAGTGTCCTGTGAATCGTATTCCCCGTTAGGAATCGTGGACAACATAGTGATGGGTATGGAAGAATCGTATTTTGCAACCTGTGCTGCAATCCCATCGCATGCTAACTGAACGACTCCGTGAGGCGGCCATTCAGGCCGGCTAGCACCCGCCCAAGTGGTCGAGTTGAGCAATATTGCCTTCCATAGATTTTCGATATGACTCTCGCTGCGACTTAGCAATGTCATGATCACGCGTGTACTCTGCCAACTCACTCGACCTTCCCGATGGCATGTACTAGGCATGTGGCGAGGGGCTGGAAGACCAATCCCTCATTTTCGGTCTCTGAGAGGATCAATGGCCCCTTGCCTGCAATCGAGAAGACAAGCGACTCCTGCATCAGTACTTTCTGAGAAGTGAGCTGCCCATGAGCCGTCATCAATCACAAGATGTAATGATCAGTCAAGAGAACTCACATTTAAAATGCCCACCCGCAACTGCTTGTGATACTCGATAGAACTCGCAAACCTATGACCAGCAATCCAGTACCCGATAATTGGTTCCTTAGGGTATGATATTTCTCGCATGTCGATTCTCATATCCAACGTTTCGTCGAGCATGATACTGCCTGTCCGCTTGCTTGTCCGCATGCCTGTCCCAGTGCCCGCTCCCCTGCCTGTTCTGGCCCCTTCCACAAGCTCTATCTCCATTTCTACCCCCCTAGCAGTCACCCTACCTTGCAAATTAGGATCTACCAGCAACTTATTTGTTAAGAGAAGGCAGGCGTCGGACATGAATTCTGACTGCAGCCCTGTCCACTCCGTCCACCCCGCTTGATTGCGCTGACGGGTGGAGAATCGGGGCTCTTCGACTAACATGGGACGAAAATTTGTTAAGATCACACTTTCCAGATACGGCGCCAATGCAGTCGCCACAGATGCCGTGGGTTGGGCCTTTCGGTCTCGGTCAAATAAGTCATGCCACCAAGTGACATCGGGTGGGTATGGAACAGGAATTTCAAGACAGGGCGCTCCTTTGGAAAAACATACACTCAGTCAAACCACTGTGGACGTGCGGCCTTTGGCCTGCGTCTATAATCAACTAGTCTCTTGGGCAAGGGGAAAGATGCTCACTGCGATAATGATAGGCGTTTCGGTCACCCTTGGCGTGGAATCAGACGAGGAGCTCATGTGTTAACAACGGTTGTGGACCAGTTTAAATAAGCGACGATTGGAGCAAGTCGTGTGTGTGTGTGTGGGGGGGGGGGGGGGGGAAGGGGGGGGGGATCGGTTCAAAGTATATAAGTGTGCAGGCGGGCCTTCCAAGGTGTAAGTTAAGTAAGCGGTGTTTGAAATGATGGCTTGCCCGCGCGGGCGTGGTTGCCTCTTTGGGCTATGGAGGCGGCAAAGCGATGATCGAGGCTTGAATAGCGAACGCCACGTCTTACCCTTTGTGGGTTTACGGACTAAGAGGTATGGGGCATAGCTTGCAGGTTCTTGGACGTCTTTCCCTTGTCGTGAATCCGTTGCTTTGTGTCGGAGTGTCGAAGTCTCGACAGAGGAAGTGATGGCGATGCAGAGTGGGTTGTTCAAGAGGATGTGGCGGAATGCTCGAGATGATTCGGACCAAGAGTGATCCCGTCGTGTATTCTGTTGCCGCCTTCGCCTCAGTCCACGTCGATTGGCTCCCCCGCATCGACCGGAGATCTCTCTGGAAACGCTGCTAGAGCACATCGGCCGAGACGCCCCTTTAGTGTCTCGAGTGTGTCGCCGCTCGATAGCATGTCTGGAGTGCGCCAAATACTGATATTCGGCTCCGTCAGGTATTTCCCAAGGTACTGGACCAAATCCGTGGCCATCGGACAGAAGACGTTGTGACTGGCTGCGCCAATTCGAAATGTGATGATTACTCTCTTGTCCGTCTCGGAAGCAGATGAGGATGGAGGGATCGTCTTCTGCATGGTCAGTTCGTAATCTGCCTTGTGATCAGCGATATGACCGTGCATGCCTTCTATTGCTTGGTCCAAATCCGACCTCGTCATTGTCCCATAAAATCCTCGGATGGCCTTTGAGATCGAAAGTGATTTTGTGAGCGATTTTGTGCTGGGATTTGAGAACATATGCGTACTAACAGTGTCGGACTCACCCAAGAGCATCCACAACATCCTGAAGGTAGGATTCAAGGGTTTTCATGGACAGTTGACCATCTATAGTTCGAGATAGAACCATCGCTCCTGCGTCTGCGGACGAAAACACCACAGACTTGTGTTCGGGCGAATCTTCACAAGAAAAAGAGATCTGGTCATCAACATACCAGCAGCGGTCGTCTACCTGACGATGTGAAAACGAGTATGGAGAATAACTCACATTCAGCTCTCTGATTCGGAGTTCATCTTCTTTGTCCGCTTTCGCCAATACTCGTCGACCAGAAATCCAATGGGCAGTGTCTGGGGAAACTAATGGAAGTACTACTTTGAACTGAATCAGTACCTGGCTTGCACCTCTCACGACTTTGAAATGTGTGACGTGTGAGTTTTCAGCCAAGGCTGTTGATCCCATTGAGGAAATTATGCCACTCAAGTCATATTCCTCCGTAATTCGCGTCCATCCTGAGTGACCCACTGACTGAGCATAGAGGGAAGTCAATGATTGATCAACGTCATTTCTCCATATCGGACTATCGATTTCGGGTAGAGTCCTGAACATTCGTTTGAGATCGCCGGTGGGGGGATTCCAGGACAAACATACGTGTGTCGGGTTGGCAAATTGATCCTGCACCCATGGCGGGCACATATCATACGGGACATGAAGCAATGACCATCCGTCAGAGGCCAGTACAGTCACGGTTCGCAAGTCATCGTCGGAAATTTTCCCACGATAAGTGATCTAATGATAAGCAAGACACCATAAGAATGTAGAGGAGACTTACCAGGACGAGTACTGACGCTGGGGGCGCGACTTGTGAGGGGGAGCTAGGATTCGTACTGGCCATTCTTGAGTGCAGTGTTGAGATATTGTCTTGTGGGAGAAAGTGAGAAGATTAGTGATATAATCAGATAGATTGCTGGGGGCTTTTAAGGCTTGGGTGTGAGGATAGCTGTGACCGAGATGAATGGACTGTCCTCTTTCCGGTTGCCTTTTTGGTAAGTGTTTGATAGAGTAAGCCGAGAGCTCGCTTCGCACCGAAGGCCTACGATGGATGACGAATCCGTGGGTATTTCCTGAGAGCCTGCCCCTCCCATACCCATCTCCCTACCCGTCTACGGTCCGTCCCTCCTTGGATGAAGTCCATACCTTGCTTTGAGTAGTGGATGGTGAGAGTTGAGATAATCAAGCTAGACAAGACAGAGATGGAAATGTGGTCATTGGCACGAGTGTGGCGAATTGCTCTTGTGGCACTTTCCGGTTGCAAGGCAAATTCTCCGAAGCTCATGCCACATGCCACTCCCAATTCGAAACTGTTATCAAACGAGAAAGGCAGTTCTATGTATTGTAATAACTATGTGAGACCGCATGAGTCCGATACTCCAATTGTATGTAGTGTGGTCAGAGCTCACTTGGAAGAATCATGTTAATGGAGCGTATAATATCAACAACTCCAAGTTTGCCAAGCCCGATCCGCAAGACCAACATCATGTCGAAACAGAGGATGCACATTGACAAATGTGCCTTCTCAACATCCTTTCTCGTGCGTTCAACTAGATTCAATCTACTAAGCGAGAGCTCAAGTCAGCTGTATCTATGCAAGTGTCTCCCATACCCCAACCATGACATCATCGAACTTCGCTTGATTGATGGTATTCCATCGTGATACTCTTACCCGGTCCGGTAAGGATGGCTTGTGTGTCACAGTCTAATGGGTATATAACCTATTTGATGTCTTCCCTCACTTTCACTTTCCTCGATTCATCTCACTTCAATAAGCATCTTAATCAATACAGTATGACAAGCGGTACAAACCCCTCCACCTCCTCGTCGCCCGACACTAAAGGGAAAATTTCTCTGCCCCTCCGTGAAGAGGGACATTCCTCGGACGACTCAACAAGCTCCACGAGTACCATCACCAATCACCGTGCCCACAAGAACCTAGTCGTTTCCCATGAAGCAAGTGAGACCCAAAGCTCGAGGAAAGAAGAAGACAAAGAGGGTACCTCACGCAGGGCTCAACTTTACTCCTCCGTCCGTAAGAGAGAGACCCAGGAGCTACGTGAACACTTCATCGTTGCAAGAGAAGAACGATTGGCGTGGCTCGATTCCAACGAGCCTCAAAGTAGCCATGAGAGCTCACAAGAGACAATGACAAACAAGCTTACTCAATTTGATAGACACATCAATGATCTTTTGAGTCAATACGAAGATATCACCAATAATGGTGTTGTCGATCAAGCAGCTTACAAACAAATGAAAGAACAATTGAGCAAGATTACCCTCTCTTACGGCTCCATGCTTCAAGAAATTCCGGTCGCCGACATAGATGACGGGGTGAGCCGATCGATCCAGGTTCTTAGTCTTATCGACCGAGAGGAATACGCCGGAATCTCAGTTTTCGAGAAGTCGACAATCCTATGGAAGACAACAGGACGTACCAGGCTGGAGACGGCTCTGAAGGAGGCAGATGAGGAATGGATTCAAGAGCGTATCTTGAATACTAAGTCTTGGTTCACATCCCACTCTTCTCGCTTGCCGGCAGGAGAAGACGCGGTACGGGTGACTGGGGATAGACTTTACAGTACTTCCATCAAAGATAAGGAATGATGATAATCGATATATGACTTGACCTGTGGTGGTTATCCTTATGATGAGATCTTACTCATATGATTGATGTATGAAACACCCGTCTGCTCATTCAGTTCTTCTTACGCTTGCTGCACTGCTTACATCATGCGCCGGTTGAAACATATCTCCCAAGGTCATGATTGGGGAGATGGGGACATGGACGCGAAGCATTCGTCCACCTTAAAAGGAAGGAGTGACCAAATTGTGATGGGACTTCGCTTGCGATATCGTGGACCGATTCTCAATCGAAAGGGAGAAACACATGAAGTCGCTAACGAGATCACTCCATTGTATACATCTTACCCTCGCTTATGGCGGATGCCTCTCCCCCATCCACCTATAAATTAGCCCTGTGGGTGTTGTTTTGCAAACACCACTCACTATCTACACCTTCTTTCCAAAGATTGCTTCCTACAACATGTCTGATGACAACAATAACGCTCAACCCATGCCATCATGGGTCCCCGAGGATGCGGTGGGTTGGTATCATCATCCGATTGAGTATGTTGAGTCCAGAGCTCCACCTACAAGCTTGACTTACGCCTATGGCCAAAATACAGCTGCAGCTGCACATACAACTGTAACTGGACATTCCGAATATGACATGGGTGAGGGAGAAGAAGAGTTGGAGCAGGAGGAAGATGAGATGGAAGCGGGAAGTGATGAGATGGAGGATGATGAGAAGAGTGACAATACTGAAGAATTTGAACAAGCGTTTAAAGCATATTCCACCCTTCGTGGGCGAGAGGTTGAGCAACTACGGTCTCATCTTGATAATGCTAAACAAGAGAGAAGCGCTCTCATCAATGAACTCCCATGGGGTATCTTACCTCCCGAAGTAAGAGAACCAACGTTAAACACTGTGAAGGAGACTTATGAAGACATTGAGGAGCTGTTGGGAACGTATGAAAGTCAGGTGAACGGAGGACTCGACAGAGGTCGACAATACCGTCGAGCTAATCGAACATTGGATCAAATCAAGGAAATGTATGAAGATGTTTTCCAGGGAGTTCGACTTGAAGATACGGATAACAAGATCCAGGAGTCACTTCGATGTTTGCACCTCCTTGATCTAGAAGAGACTTTAGGTCAAGCTTCAGTCGAAGATGCGACGTCCGAGGGAATAAGGATGAGATGCGGAATTCTGGAAACAGCGTTTGAACACCAGGATATAGGGACATTCATGATGGAGTTAACTGGGACCAATGCTTGGGATCAATTCTCTGGTGAGCCTTTGCCAGAAACGGGGGAAGGTAACAGGGATCAATGGTGGCAGATCATGGAGTCTGTCGAGCAGCACAGGAGGACACAGATGGACACACAATAATGGAGTACATAGCTGGTTCCGTTTCCATTCACATATCTGCAATGGAGAATGCAAAGTTTTCTCATGTGTGAAGGAAAATTAGAGCTGAATGTTTATCCAAAAGCACCCATTTAAAATCATGCAGTGTGATGTGTGTTTGTAAAATACTTTTCATTAATTACATGTAGGCAGCGCACGGATATCGAAACTCGTCGTAACTTCTCCATCGGGGATCACGAGATGGGCTGGCTCCTTCCTTCCTCACTAGCGCAAGTGCCGTACAGAACGCTAGACATCTGTTCAGTTGTATGTCGAGCTCAAGTTTCAAAAGAAAGCGAATGATGGTGGGGTGAAGAAGGGAGGAAGCATTGTATCAGTGTAAGTGTGAAACCATTCAAACATGTTTCCCGTGATGTTGTGTGTCAACCAAGATCAAGGGAAGCAGAATTGCTTTCTCTATGAAACAACATATTCCATTCTCATAATCCAACTAGTGTCCTCTGGTCTTACAATCCATCTGACTGGTCAGATATATGTCAATGATATAAATTTGGTTTTCTCCTCTTCCATTTCATCTCAATCATCTGATCTACTTTGCAATCAACCTTCAACATTACAAGCATAATGTCAACCATCAACTTTCCAACGAGAGAATCCTGGTCACTGACCAACACTCACAATGACAACAAAACGGACATCACACCTTATGATCACCAAGACGTTGTTCTATCCCCTACCCACACTCACCAATCTGAGGACAACACGACAGAGGAAGATCGAACCAACACCAAGGATACTCTTGCTCCACTTCGGAAGAAAGAAGTGGATAATCTCAAGAGATATCTCGAACAATCTCTTAGAGATACCACCACTAACATCGAGTCTCTCCCTTCAGAACTTACATCCGATGACTTGCAACTAGACGCTCGAGAAGAATATGATGAAGCTCATGAACGTATGAAGAACGTCTTGAACCAATATGAAGATTCTGTTGCAAATGGATTACATATCAAGACCAACTACAAGGAAGCAAGTCAAGCTTTGACAAAAGTCAAAAAAATGTTTGAAGTTTGATTCATAGGGACAGGTCATCATGATGGTCAAGAGGAGGTGTGGAATTCTCTGGATGTGTTACATGAATTTGATGATGAAGAATTGAAGGAGACAAAATGGAGGAAGAATGATGAGGTTTTGGAATTGGAGGAAGAAGCAGCAGAATTGGTGTACCGTCCGTTGATGGCAACCACAGTGATTGACTCTCTTCAAAGGGAGTTTGGATATCAATGAGGAAATATCTTCAAAGGGGTTTGGATATCAATGAGGAAATATCCGTTACATATTCTAGCACGGGTTCAAAAGATGTTCAATTCGTCAGATGACTAATAGATTGATGACGCCCCGCTTCGAAGATGTCGGAGAAGAAGGAAGCGAATCCTGACACGGTTCCCAGATCAAAGGAATTAGGATCTCAAACGTGAAATACAGCTTCTGACACGTCACATGTTTCTCAGTATGCGTCATTTTTTCAACTCCGAAATGTCCATATCTCCAACGATCAATCCATCTTCACCTCTCAATTCCCTTCCATTTCGAGCCGACCCTATCACCCTACCAACCCGTCAACCATCATACCGCCCTATCGAACACCTCAATCTGATTATATCAGCCTGTCACTCATCACACCAACCAAATACTTCGCTTTCTTTCCTGCAAGTAAAAAGACAAGAGAAAAACTAAGATGGAAACTTGTCCCACAAATTCCTTCAACATGACTGAACAAGTTTCCCCTAAGCCGACTCAATTGACAGGTTCTACATCTGAACAATCAGTATATAACCCTGTGAACCAAAGTAAGATAACACGTACTTATGCAGCTCTCCGTACTAGACTCATCTCTCGTCTCTCCGCAACGCTTGATCATTCCTTCGTCCCCGCCACGATCAACTCAATTCCTGAACAATCCCCCGTATCCGCTCCAGGGAGCATTTTTGAAGGGGAAGAGACTGGTTTGTGGTCCACTCATCAGCAACTGAAGTCAGTATTGACAAAGTTTCAAGAATGTGCAGCAGAAGGATTGGATAGCGGTATCAAATACAGACAGTCGATAGATTTCCTCGATGATTTTCTACAGGGTTTCCTTGCCGTTTCACAGGTATCGAAATCTTTCCCCAAGGATAATTCCATTTACCCTAACGAGAATATTGGTGTAAATCAGACTATGGGAAATGCTATGACCGATGATGATGATGATTGGGATTTCGGTGGAGTTGATGTTGATGAGGAGGATTCGAAGCTCGGAGGAGCAGACGTTGACGGAAAGGATACAAGCGTTTCGGAAGTGGACGTTAACAGACAGAAAGCAAATGAGGAAGAGGTAGAGGAAGAAGAGACCGAAAAAGATATAGTGATACGTACAATTAAAGAGCTCGTCATCCTTTGCCAATCTGAAACTTTAGGTAAACCTATAGATGATTTCGTTACCGAACATCACTTGGTTTCACAGTTGGAAGCGATAGAGAACGCTGTGATACAAGGAGAAAAAGCGACGGGAATGGTGATGAATCAATTGACAGGGAGTATGGCTTGGAATCTTACTGATTCGGAATCGGAATCGAGGTGAGTTTTCTTTTCTTTTATGTTTTCGATGTCTGATTTTAAGCTCTAATTCAGTTTCAACCATCTCGGTTCAGATGAATGTCAAAGATAATTGTGATGTAAAAGGATTTCGGGAGGTGAATGAGAGTGTAGGAGGTCGGTTGAAGAGGTCCAGGGAAAGTGATGAAGTTGATTCTGCTGTTGTAAATGCCGACTTTGAGAAGCTTCAGATTTCGGATTTCGATCACGGAATCGCATTTGGTATGACGGGAAAGACCGGGACGGATATTAGGAAGAGGTTTCGCATGAAATAAGGTGTTGTGTGTGACGATATCCAACTGGGAAAGATTGATACGGTTCGTGTGATGTTTGGTTGTTGGTCATTGGTTCGTTATGATACTATGTGAGTACAGTACGGGTACAGTTGAGAACATGTTAGAACTCAGTAATGGCACAAAAGACAAAAAGATGCATGATAACTGTTTTACCCTTCGAGAGCAAAACACAGCTAAGACATAGTACGATCTCGAACCGCACAAGAAAAAAAAAACATGGTAGTATGACAGACAAACCCGATGTCCCTAATAAAGACCCAGTCTTACTCTCCACCAGTGGAGAAGACAAAAGTCGGTGGAGAAAAAAGAAAGAATAATGTATGATGAAACGATGCCGAATTTGTTGATTGTGATTTTCCTCCTCATGACCCGAGACTTCCACTTCCACTTCCTTCTCCTTCTCATTCACGTTCGCTTTCTTTACCCACTCCTGGTCGACACTCAAACTCAAAAAATAATCGCTAGGATTATTCATGCAATCAAACACGTCGATTTTTTTTTGTCTCGTTCGATAGTTCTTGATATGACCGATGGGCAGATCGATTGAATCATTTACTTCGACCGTGACTTGAAAATCGACCCGCTCTTCTATGTGAACCCCAACTTCTTCTCGCACTCTCAGCTCCTGCTCTCTGACTAACTTTCACAAACCTCTCCTCCCTCTTCTTCAAATTTGCATTACCACCAGCAGCGTTCACATACGTCTGATAGATATCCGAGTTTTGTGTGGGCGTTCCGAAATTTGACCACGCGTTCATTATCGAGTTGTAGTCATCGTTCGACACGTCGACAGGATTGGCAGGGAAAATGTACACACTCCAACCTCCCATGTTGACACTTTTGTAACTCCAGAAGCTCCAACTAACGCGGTTGTTATTCAATTGATCGAGCATGTAGGGGAGCGTATCCTCGTGAGCCATAAACTCGCCGATATAAGTGGGGATCTGATATCCGTTCCACGTGTCAATATCTCCCTGAGCGCCCGACCACGCCGCCTGATTTGCCCCTACGTCGTCTGTCATCATCAGGTACTCGTGCATACTGTACACGACTTGCGTCCAACCGTATGTCGAGGGATCCGTCGAGATCGACTCCATGATAATGATTCGATTCGCGTCGACGGAACGGATAGCATTGTAAAGATCTTGCTGCAGTTTATCACCTGCTGAACCTGTGGGCTCGTTGATCGCGTCGTAAGCTGCAATGGCGGTTTCTCCCATCCAATGAGCGGCGACTTTTTTCCAGATCTCGCCAGCTGCGTCGCGTGAACTCTGTCCACCATCCGAGTCTTCAGAAATGAGGGAATAGTCGTCCTTCTGCGAGTCCCAGATGTGAAAGGTAGGGATACAGTAGATACCTCTCTTTTTGCCTTGCGCGATAGCCCAGTCCATCTTGGTGAATGCGTCATCTCGCCATGAGCCGTTGGCCCATTGGACTGTTCGGTACGAAAACGGCATGCGCATGACGTTGAAGCCCATGGCTGCAATATTGTCAAAGTCGCTTTCGACCATGTAATTGTCTTGCCACGTTTCGATGAGGGCGGCTGTGGCGTCGACACCGAATCGGTTTTCCAACGTATCCTGAGCGAATCGATCACCGCTTCCAGAATTGTCATTGATACCACACATCCAATCCTCGAGTACGAGCCAGCCGCCAATGTTAACACCTCGGAGGACGACCTCATTACCACTCGGGTCCACAATCTTCGTCCCAGACGTTTGTAGGATGCCCGAGTTGCTCACAGAGCCACTGGAGGAGGATGTCGATGAGGACGAGGCAGAGGAAGAGGTAAACGTGGCGCTGGCAGTCGCTGATGCCCAAGACGCAGAGGTGGAAGAGCCCCATGAATCACTAGACCCGCCAGTGTTCCACGAGTCGGAGGCTGACGAGGATGACGTATGATTGTTTCCACCTCCGTTGCCCCATAGCTCGCCTCCAATGACAGAAGTAGTGTCGGAAGCGGAGTCGGCAGTTGCACTGGCTGTGGGAGTGGCGAGGAGATCCGTGGCGTTGACGGCGTCGGCAATGAATGAAGGGGAGGCGGTGGAAGATGATGCAGTGGAGGCGGTAGCCGTAGGTCCAGACGCTGCGATAATCAGCAGGTTACCAGAAAGGCGGGTGAACTCTCAGTCTCCTGGCCTTTCCAAAGAATCGATCATCGTGTGAAAGATCTGACCGGCAAGGCTTTGAAGGGATTGGCTCGGATCGACAAAGGTAGAACAAGGATACGGTCGGAAAGGATTTTTGTCCATGAAAATTCACAAGAATAAACTTACGCGACGCAGTCACACACTCATCATCATCGCCCACTTCCTCGATCTCAGTGAAGACCCACTCCTGGTTGCTGTTTCCATCGTAGCATTGCCAGACCTGCAAGACGGTGCCATCTGAGCCGTCACCGTCCGTGAGATCCATGCACAAATTTTGACCATCCCATTTGATGTTTTCGCCGCTGAGATCCCATTGTTGATTTGGGTTCCACGAGTAACATCCCCAAACTTGCAGTTTGTTGCCGCTCCAGGCACCACCATCTGTCAGATCGAGACACATGTTGGTGGCCGTGTTGACGAGAGAGCCAGCACTATATGTCCACGCGACGAGATCGTCGTTGCAGTTTGTGAGGACGAGTTGAGCTCCTTCTGATGAGCTGGAAGGGGCGACGCAAAGGTCAGTGAAGGGGGCGGGCGAGATGGCATAGGACGTGACATTTTGAGCGATGACGGGAAGTACGGAGAAGGATAGGGAGAGAGAAAGGGCTGCAAGGGTTGCAAAGATAGACATTGCGAGTTCCAGACGTCGCGTTGAAAAAGAGCGTGAGAGTTTAAGAAGTCAGAGAGATATGAGATTGGAGGGCTGGGAAGGGGTTTGAGAGCGGAGAGAGTGACGGAGAGGGTGACAAAGAGGATGAAAGAGGGGAATGTCGGAAATGAAGAATGAGGTTGAGGGTGAATAAGAAACAGAAGTTTACAATGAACAGGGGGGGAGGGTGGGAAAGGGGGTGTGAGTGGAGGTGATGATAGGTTAAAGGCGGGAGAGAAGAGAGCTGTGTGGAGAGAGAGAGAAAGAGAGAAAAGATACAAAGGTGTCAAAGAAGAACAAGACGATCAAACGTCTATTCATCAAAATACGACCATGTTCTCGTACTCCCTTCAGCCTTTCCCCCTCGATCCCTCAGCTGCGGTGCAGGCCCCAACTTGGCGCACCGTGCACCGTGCACCATGGAGCAATAGAATCACAGATGCACCCGCATGGCCGACAGTGTCAAAGCCCTGTCCACCCTCAAAGCCATCTCTCTCTCTTTTCAAAAGGAAGTTTTTCCTTGTCAAAACCTGAAACGCCAACTTTGCATCACGGAACGCGTCGTGACGCGTGGCATGTCATCCGTCCCTGAAAGTAAAAAAGCTCATGCCGCTCTGTCCACCCCTCGGCCCTGGGCCCTCGGGTCCCGCGCCTGTCATATCGACCAGCCAATGATCGTCAGAGGCACGGTCCGCTTGCGCCATTCCATCAGTTGAGCCATCTCATCGCACTTTCTGCCTTTCCCTCTTGGTGTCAGGATGGCTCACCGCGATGGGTCTCGGCTTGAAGGAGAGCCACTTCGGCGTATGCATCGCCAACGAAGGAAATGACATTCCAGCAACAAGAAACCCTCAACTTCGCTCGTCCATGTCACTCAAGGCAATTTGAACATGCGCGGCATGTCGATCAATCGACTTTCCCTTTTGATCATTGACGTACAAAGAAGAAGCTAGTGAGGAGGGGTAGTGTTTCAGATGCTCAAAAGGGGTCTGTGCTTCTGCCCCCAAGGCCCAGGTGTCAGGTGCGAGGTGTGAACATTTGTTGGGTGGCCATGGGTGGGTGGCCGGGTGGTCTGGGTGGCAAACGAGAGAAATATCAATAGGTAGATGCTCACTCAACTCGTCTGTATGGACATGGTCGTAATGCATTCACTGATGCTCTACTCATCCTAGGTTGTATTCCCCATTCATTCTCTGGTGGTCTTCTGGCGTAGGTTCAATAGGAAAGAAAGTAGACCAAGGTCAACCTAACCATAGCTCTTACCGCTTCCCGCACATCCATCCAGCCTCGAGATTGAGGTCCTTTGATACGTCGTTCTTATCCTAATCCACCCTCTTCAACCCTCCTTGGGGGACCTTCCTCGCAAACCGCCATCTATCTGCACTTCCGTCAGATCCGTATCCCACTCTGCCAGCTCCTCGATCTTTGCCAGCAAGTCGACCTCCCGCGACCGAAGCAAGACTGTGCTAGCATTGCACGATCGCTTCGACTTGTATAAACGCTGTTTGCTAGTCGCTAGCTCGGCCTCTTTGGGATTCTGAAGAAGGCCCCAGGTTTTGACTCTTCCTCATTAACGACATCAATAACTCCCTTCCTCTCCCCCCCCCTCCTCAAACTTCGGTGGGCTTCTCACAACGGCTGTCGTCCGTCTCCATCGGTACTGCCTTACTTTTCGACAAAAGAGGATCAAGTCGTCCTCCTCGACATCGCCTGCACAAGAGGTTGGCGGTGGCGTCGCTCGGGCCTTCTCTGAAGTTGAACATACCCAACGTAAGAACCTAGTCTACCTTATACCTGCAATTTAATCTGGAGTGGTGAGGAAGCATTCCAGGATGCCAGATCCATTCGGATCATTCCGCTGGATATGTGAGTTATCTCATTATCCTCTCATCTTCCCATATCCCAAAGCTCCCCAGCCTCTGAGCAGTGAGGTAGGGTTGAACGGAGAGATGAATCGAGCTAATCCAATAGGTCAGCATGCTCCCTTACCTCAATGCAACCTTTTCTTCTCTCAATTATACAACAGCGACAATGGCTTTACCACCCTCTTTCCTTCCACATCCGCCTTTTTCAATCAATATCATGTTGTGAGTTTTCATCCTCGTTTCACATATCAACCACAATGCGGTCCGGGATCGGGTACTGAGCAAAGGACACAGAGCTGATGATAAACAGACTGGTACAGCCACATCTGGGGACAATAATCTAGTCCTCGCACGAGGAGACGCAGGGACGGGCGTGGGGGCGAATTGCGAAATCGCTCACGTGGGGCATAGGGGCAGTATAGGTGATGTCGGTACGTATTGAAATGACCCTTGTCGCAATGTCTCAGTGAAGAACAGCTGATGTTTAGCGTTGATCGTACTCTCCGCCCTGAGTGTTCTTGTGGCGGTCGGTCTCACATACGCTGCTAGTCGTAGAAAGGCGGCTGTGGGAAGGATGGAACTGCGTTTGTTATTGATTGTAAGTCATGCCATCTAGGACGATATCAGAACATGTCCGGGATGATGCTGACACGCAGGTTTTTGGTCTTCATTCGGTTTTTCAACTTCTGACTATGTCTTCAATATTTGAGCAAGGTAAGTTCAGCTGTCCTGCTGTCGGGGTTAAGTTGACGAGTGAGGTTCAACGGCATTATCAATCCTCTCTAGCATACATCTGGGATTTGTCGCCGTCTTCTTTTGGCTTCTTCTTGGCAACGCCTTGATAGCTACCCAAGTGGTTGAGTATGTCAACTTTCTTCAGAGTCGCACCGAAGGTCTGATGATATAGGGATGGTACCCCGGCAGCTCTTGTTCCCCTGATGATCATAGCGATACTTTTCTTCGCTCCCACTTTATATATATCCCTCGATACGGCACTATCGTGGACATCAGCTTTCCAGCTATCTTCTAGTCATTTCGATGAACTCAAGTCGATCGGGCTGTTCATCTTGACTCTCATATGGCCAGCCGTGTGAGTACTGATCCCTCCCCTCCCCCTATTCTCAGAGGTGCTTGAGGGGAGTTACTAACATATCAGGGCCGCTGTTGGTTATCTGATTATTATGCTTGTGATAGTCCTGAAAGTGCTGAATGAGGTCAAACCAGCTTGTAAGTCTGTTCTGAAGTATACTCCATCGATAGACGCTCATATCAGTGTTTTACATACTAGCTTTCATGTTCTTTGCAGGAGGACAAGTCATCTTCTTCCTCGCCTCTCAACCACTGTGTAATGTGAGTTTCCATATCTTTTCACTCCAATTTTTTCACACTTACTCTCTACACTCATCTTACTGCTCCACCGGCAAAAGTCTTTATATGATGTTCATACATGTGATCATGCTGACATTCAGTCCTCCAATGGAAAGATAAACGGCGCTTTCCTCTCTACCCTTCTCAATACGGCTTCAATAGGTTCCATTTATTATGCTTGGATGGTGAGTACACCTTTTGATCAAAAGCTCATTCAGCTGACTTTTAGACTATTACAGAGGATGATTGGGGTGACGAACTTGGTTATTAACGACTATATGACATGTCATGTAAACATCTTGATGTCTCTTCATTCATCTCTTATAAGTATACTGAAGACATGAATGTCAGTTGTCAAATGATACTACGGCGAGATCTCAGATATATGTTAGAAAGTACTCGTGTCATTCCAGCTGAACACTCCATTCGCATATTCCCATGCTTCATATTCTTCCTGTGTCATCTGACTTAGACGTTTAGAGTCAGATGATAAATTTATCTGAATGTTCAAATGTCCCGTCTGCTCCGTTATTTCGTCCGTTTCACTATGACGTATATCCGTCGTTTCTCCTCCTCCTTCTTTCACGGCGTCGTTCATACGAGTCCTATCATTCAAGTCTTGTTCGTCTATTACAGGTGTTTCACGCACTGAAGACCGAGAAGACAAAAAGGATGAATATTCAGAACTGTCATCCGTATCTTCCATGTCCTTCATCTCTCTCTGATATCCATATGGGGATGTACAGGTATTGGTGTTTGGGGGGCTTGAATAAGGTCATCAGCTCGAAACTTTTGCTCGCTTGTTCGTTCGTTCGTAGTTGTCATGCATTCATAGTGTTCATTCAACAGGTTATGAGCCTGAACTGCTTCTCTTGGATCTAGAGTATCTCTACTACATCCAGAAAGCAGTCAAACCGACCATCCAACCGACTCAGCTTGCTGGGTTCCGTTTTTTCGTCAACTAGCCTCTGCGCTCGAGTCTTTGCTTCTTGCTCACTTGACCCTGCTCGCTCGATTGCAGGAAGAAGGTCAAAGGGGATATACACCGGTACGCCTGAAGGGAGAGCGGCGAGCCTAAACAGCCGCTCTACACGAGAGTTTCTTGTTGTTTGTCTGTCCAGCTTACATACATTGAATTTTGCTCGGTCGACACCCCACACCTCGAACAATGTCTGAACACGTCTCAAAATCGTTCGATGCAGTACCCAAGCTGCTGGGCAAGGAGAACTTTGTCCAGTGGAAGCAGAGAATCACCATTGCCTTTGCGCTCACTCGTTCGGCCTCCTTCATTGTCGAGACTGCACATCCTCCTCACAACCTCACCTCGACCGATGCGACCGAACTCAAAGCAAACTCGGATTGGATCGAACGAGACCATCAGATTGCAGCTGGGATCCTCTCAACCTGCTCAGAGGATATCATCAAGTCGCACATCCACCTGATTGATGCCGTCTTTCCTCGCTCATACAAGATTTACTGTGCGCTTACCTCGCTCTATGGAACCTCGGGTGCGCAGTACTCGTTCGCTCTGGGGAGAGTCTTCTTGGACTCGAAGTGTGAGGATGGAGGAGATGTGGAAGGCTGGGTGAACCAGACAATCGGTCGATATCGAGAACTCAAGACGCTCGACTTCGATCTCGATCAGCTCTGTGTCAATGTCCTCCTCAATGGTCTGCCTGAGCGATTTGGGTCCTACCTGGATCAGGTCTGGACATCAAGCGAGAACCCAACAATCGAGAATGTCAGGCTTGCCATCCTCCGGATCAATGCCGGGCAGCTCGCTCGCGCAAACGAGTCGACCGCCCTCTCCACTCAAGTGTCCTCTCTTTCCCTCAACTCCTCAAGCGATCTCCACGCCTTCTATGCTTCGCTCAGACGTTCGGGGAAGAAGCCAAGCAAGGAGCATCCCTGCGCTCGATGTGGTTCGATTGTTCACTGGGTAGTGGACTGTCCAGAGAAGGAGCAAGTTGGAGAGCGAAGAGGACGGTCGAAGAAAGGACGAAGGGGTCATCTGAACAAGGCACAGGAGCAGGAGCAGAAGGATGAAGTTGCTGCCTTCGCATCTCATGGCTTCACCTCGTTCGAGCATGCACTCGTCACTCATCCCTCGCTTGCTCCTGCCCCCAAGGTCTGGATACTAGACTCTGGAGCTTCGCAGTCAATGACGGGCGATCGATCGATGCTGGACAAAATCACCTCGCTCGACTCGGAGGTGTCTGTCACCACAGCTGGGGGATCATCTCTCAAGTCTCACTCGTTCGGCACCGCTCGATTTGTCAATCACCTGGGCGAACGAGTTGTCATGGACAGAGTCCTCTTCGTTCCAGGCCTTGCCTTCAATCTGGTCTCGGTCGGACAGCTTGCTCTGAAAGGTGCTCAAGTTTCGTTCGACAGTACCACCTGCACGATCTCCAAGAACAACTTGGTCGCCGCAATCGCTCGCTTGGTCAACAAGAGTTGGATCCTGGATGTGAAGATGGGTGCTCACTCGCTTCATGCGCTCGACCAAGGTCTTCGCTCGTTGCCTGCAACGATCACTCCGGCTGAGCGAGGCCTTCCTCCTGCTCCTATCAAGGCCTCTACCGCCAAAGCCTCGTTTGAGATCTGGCATCGAAGGCTCGCTCACCTTGGCTCAAGTTCGATGAAGCGACTCTTTGGTGGACTCAGCACTGGGGCCTCGCTTGATCGCAAGCATCCTCTGGATCTAGAACACACTTGTGAGGGCTGTGTGATGGGCAAGATTGTACGACCACCTTTTCCTCACAGTGGGAGCAGAGCTGAGAATGTTCTAGACCTCGTTCACACCGATCTGTGCGACATCGATCGACCATCCGAGGGAGGCGCTCGATATGTGATGGTACTGGTGGACGATCGATCGAGATATCACTGGGTTGCCTTCTTAAAGAAGAAATCAGATGCATTTGGTGCGTTCAAGGACTGGCTGCCTCAAGTTGAACGACTTACAGAGCGCAAGCTGAAGGTTCTTCGCTCGGACAATGGAGGAGAGTTCACCTCGAGCGAGTTTGAGTCATACCTTAAGTCGCTCGGCATCAAGCATCAGACAACTCTCCCTTACACTTCTCAGCAGAACGGTGTAGCCGAGCGTGCGAACCGAACACTGGTGGAAAGGACTATCTCTCTTCTCCATTCCGAACGCCTCCCAGTCTCGCTCTGGGCACAAGTCATGGACACTGTGGTCTACTTGAAGAATCGCTCGCCCTCGGCCTCGCTCAAGAATGAGACACCGTTCGAAGTCATTCATGGGAGGAAACCATACCTGGGACATCTCAGAGTGATTGGTTCGACCGCATGGGCACTCGTGCCAAAACAGAAGCGAGTGAAGAAGATGGCAGAGCGAGCGGTCATCTGTTGCATGTTGGGGTATTCAGAGACACAGAAGGCCTATAGGTTATGGGATCCCAAGTCACGAACGATCGTCCTCACGCGCGATGCAATCTTCGATGAGACGCTGCCGCATAGCTCGGCTGCTCGACCCTTTGTTTCATCACAAGACCTTGACCTCATTCGCTCGAGGCAAGCACAGCCAGTCCCACCAGCTCAACCGATTGAGCAGGACTTTGTGGAAGCGGTGGGAGAACCTCTGGCAGAGGATCAGCCCAACCTCAAGCAAGAACCCGAGCAAGAGAACGAGGTCGAGCAGGAGATGGTTCGCGAGATGAATAACCGACCTCGAGGTCAAGCAAGACGTCATGACTGGTGGGAGTATGAGGCTGTAGTGGGAGATGAGAATGAACGAATGTTACAGCCTGCCCCTCCCAATCCAGCTCTTCCGCACACCCGCTCAGGTCGTTCGATCCGACCGCCCGTTCGATTTGCTCTTCACACTTCGGCTGAGGACTATGAGGACGAACTTGATGACTTCCTTGGTCGACCGGGCGAGAAGGACTGCCATCCCTCGGATGCTCGACTTGCTCTTTGGCCAACTACTCTGAGTCAAGCTGCACTTGCCGCTCATGCGCTCGAACCAGAACCCAGGAACTGGAAGCAGGCAATGAGCTCAATTGATGCCAAACAGTGGGAGGCAGCAGCCAATGATGAGATGTGTTCGCTCGTCAAAGCCGGTGTGTTTGAGAAGGTTCCTCGCTCGGCTGCTCAAGGCAAACTGGTCTCCTCCAAATGGGTCTTCAAGCTCAAGCTCAAACAGGATGGCTCAATCGAACGGTACAAGGCTCGAGTAGTCGCTCGAGGTTTCAGTCAGGTTGAAGGCATTGACTACTCGGAGACGTTCGCCCCGGTCGCAAAATTCCAGTCTATTCGCTGCATACTTGCTCTCACTGCAATGCTCGACCTCGAACTCCATCAGATGGATGTGAACACAGCATTCCTATATGCCCCCCTCTCAGAAGAAGTGTTCATGGACCCACCGGAAGGGATCTCGCTCGACCAATCAACAGTGTGGCGATTGAAGCGAGCGCTCTATGGGCTCAAGCAATCACCTCGAGCATGGTACTTTGTGCTTGATCAAGTCCTGCTCAAGCTTGACTTTGTTCGACTCAAGACCGATCATTCAATCTATGTCAGACAAGACGATCGAGGTCTCATGATAGTGGGAGTCTATGTGGATGATCTTACCATTGCTGCCAGCAAGCTTGCGACACTTGAGGAATTCAAGGGTGCGATGTCGAACGAGTTCGAGATGAAGGATCTTGGGGAGCTCCATTTTATTCTGGGACTTGAGGTCACACGCAATCGTTCGACTAGGCAGCTGCATCTGGGCCAGCAGAGATACACAAACTCAATACTTCAACGCTTCTCGTTTGATGAGTGCAGAGAAACCAAGACCCCGCTGCCACCTAAGCAGGTCCTTCTTCCTCGCTCGAACAATGAGGCTGGGACGGATCGAGCTCGATACCTGTCCGCCCTCGGCTCGCTCATGTACACCATGCTTGGAACTCGACCGGATATTGCGTTCGCTGTTGGGCTGCTCGGTCGCTTTGCCAACAATCCATCAGCTGCTCATTGGACAGCAGTGACCCATGTCTTCCGGTACCTCGCTCATTCACGCAACCTTGGCATCACATATGGAACACCCAACCGCTCGCTCGAAGGATACAGTGATGCTGAGTTTGGAACGAGCGATCCATCAAAGCGGAGATGCACCAGTGGCTATGTGTTCACCTTGTGGGGTGGGGCTGTCAGTTGGCAATCAAAGAGGCAGCCTTCGGTTGCTCTAGCAACAGGAGATGCGGAATACATCGGACTCGCTCAAGCCGCTCGAGAGCTCGTCTGGCTCAGGCAACTGCTTGCTGAGCTTGGTTTACCTCAGACTCAGCCAACTGTGCTCTATGGTGACAACAAGGCATCGCTTGCGCTTGCTCTAAATCCCATTGGCCATTCTCGATCGAAGCAGATCGATATTCGCTACCACTTTGTTCGAGAACTTGTTGAACGAGGTGTCATCCAGCCTTTGTACACTTCAACAGCCAGTATGATAGCAGATGGACTCACCAAACCAATCGGCCCTACGGACCTCGAACGCTCGCTTGTGAAACTGGGCCTCCAATATTTTGAGCGCACGGAGCAATCCCTGGCCAGCATCTTAGGGTTGAGGGGTATCAAACATCTTCACTCGAACGACAAACATCCTCACTCAAGCGATGAACACCCTCACTCGAACGAGTCTGAGCGCGTCACTGCCACTCAGGCAGCCATGAGACGCGACTGGGTGATTTCCCAGAGGTCTGACATCCTTGATGACCTCAAGGCTGGTTGTGACTTGCTGGCCTAGCCCACTCGTTTCCCTTCCCTTCTTCAAGAGTGGGAGTGTTTGGGGGGCTTGAATAAGGTCATCAGCTCGAAACTTTTGCTCGCTTGTTCGTTCGTTCGTAGTTGTCATGCATTCATAGTGTTCATTCAACAATTGGGCATTCCAGCGGGTTTGGGATTGAGAGTGTCAGCGAGAAGATGTGAAGGTTGACGATTACACGGCCATCTTTCTTTAGGTAACTTTCTGAACCATTCTTGTTCTGTCTCCACCCGATGATTTTCTCCATGAGAGTTCTTAGAAAACTCAGAAATATGATTGTATGAGTTGATGGAATCAGCTGGAAAATCATCATCATCATCGGAATCATCTATTGCCTCTTCATCCGGTTCTTCCGTTATCGCTTGTGATTGGTGATATTGATCACGGAAACCTAAAGTGGAAGGGTGTTCATTGATTTGGTGATGGGTTTGATCTCTAACAGGAAAAGTCGGAATATCCCTACGAGGGAATAAAGAAGGTCGGGAAGTTCTTTGATCGACCCGACCTGGCAGAACGGTCGAAAGGGGGACCAGAACACGTTTACCAGTAGGATCTGTACATTCTATGAATCCTCGTGAACGTAGTACGTCATGGTATGTTCTTACTCGACTTGAGGATGCAGAAGTGTTTGGATTCATAGGTGATGAAAGGGTAGTTGATAGATTCCAAAGTTGCTGGTAGTCAGATTGTCAAGTTCGTTTTGCTGAGTTAAACGTTTGCGAATGGAAGATGGGATGAAAATTACTCAGGTTCTTTCACTCACTTTTTCTATTCTGACAAATAGACACTTGGAGGGGAGATGAAGATTAATTCAAAGGTGTGTTGTGCTGAGTTATTTGATCTGATTAGACAAGAGATAGAGTAAGTTTGGTCGAAAGATGTGTAAATCGAGCTTCAATAAGTATGATTGGAGTAAGAAATGAAGATATAGTAGATATGTATGATCGAATAATATGATAAGAGAGCTGAGAGCTGAGAAATTACAGATGAGAGCTGACCTTCAAGTCCTTTTTCATCTTCATCAATGATGAGACGATCTCAGGGTGTCGTGGAGGGAGGGGAAGGATGAAAAGCGGAAGATGAAATTTGAAACGAAGCGGTGAAATAACAAATGACAGATGACAGAATAAGAAGGGATGTCGGATAGGAGATTAGAAGTCATGTTTCATGCTTCAAGTGAGAGAGAAAGGAGATCGAAACAGTGCTTGTCCGTATCGTCGTAACCAAGGTCACCGTCAATCACGGATCATGGAAGGATGTCAACGAATCAACGATCAATCAGGTCGCATCAACATATGGTAAGTGACCGTCATACTACCAAACCGTACTATACACATTTTTTAGGTTGATACCGTGAAAATCTGAAAAAAGCTCTGGACACCTGTTGGGTCTGAGATCAAAGAGAAAATGTGTTTCTTTGAAGTCCTTCACAATCACTCTTGGACAGCACTTTGAAGTTGATCTACTCACTGTCAGGAACCTCTTCTAAGTCGAATGCCTCGCTACCGCTGTCAAGAGGGGAGGAGAGAACCAATGAACCATCTTTGACTCTATCAGTGTCATTAGGGTCCAAAGGGGGACAATATTCTGACTGTTGAGAGGTCGTATCAGGATAGGCATCGTCTAGGAAGATAGATGATGAAGATGACGGATCGTGTCCTAGCGAGTAGGGCCAACCGGGTGAGCAAGGGCTAAAGAGAGAAGATCCATCTGAACCATCCTCATATTCATCGCCTTCTTCTGCAATAACAGACAGAGGTGGAGTAGGATTTTGAGTTGTCTGACTCCTATTGTTGCCGTTGGTTCCATTCTCCCTGCAGCATACGTTCTCGCCGAAATCGGGATCGTCATTGAATAACGATCCAGATAGAAGGTCGTTCAGCCCTTTCCACCGGTCGTTCTTTCCAATTACCACAACTCCACTGTCATACCGATGAAAGTTCGCATCCAACGCAACGCCCGTGGATACACGCGGAGCAGATTCATCCGACTCGTTTCCACTTGACATATTTGAAGGGTTTCACGTTGCCTGGCGAGTAAAAGTTAGAAATGAATGTCAAGAAGAGATTTGTGGAGGATGGGATGTTCCCTGAGTTTATGGCTTTATAAGCTTCTCATGGAGGTTAAGAAGCTATGATAGCTTCTTTCATGCCAAGATTACTTGTCAACCCCCAGAGAAGCTTTCCCCCATAATCCCACTTTCTCACGATCCCACATTCCCGCGATCTCACAATCTCATGGTCTCAAGAATCCAAGAATCCAAGAATTTATGGTCTCATGATCCCACGTTCACACGTTCACACATTCACACCTCTCCACTAGTCTAACCCCATCCGGTTAGACTTATAGAAGTGAGAAGATACATGGTTAAAACGTGGGAGAATCTTTTACCTTCTAGAGGCGGTGTTAGACCGACATAACGGGGTTTAGACGATGAATGTCCGATCCGTGCGCCAAACCAGGATAGACCCAACATGGAACCGGTCGCTTAGATGGATGTGCGCCGCCCGGTGTCTATCCATGAGGGTCCCCAGTAGGTCTCGGTCGAGCATTACAATAGGGTCTAGAGCCTAGATACAACTCCAACCCTGCCATCCATGTATGTAATTTATGCTTCCTCTACGGGAGTGGTCCTGATACACCCATTGTTTGCGTATAATCAGATGAGAATACAGAGGGGGAAGAGTACTACCTGTCTCTATACTTATCATATTCACTGGTAAGCAGAAAATCAGAGACAAATAAATACAATTCAAAGGACAATAAGACAAAGTAGTAGAGTGATGGAACAGGGACTGCGATATTATCATCGACGTTTCGGCCCTCACGGGCTGATCTCATCGGCAAACTACCTCATTCATCATACTTCCAAGCTATCAAATCCCTAGAGGTGCACCCAATCCTTCCCGTCTGTCCCACCTTCTGACCCGTCTGTCCCACCTTCTGACAATTCTTCACTTTTGACTCTCCTGTTGAAGCCTGATGAGGACCGCAATTCGGGGGGTACATCAAACTCTGTTGTTGAAGTCCACGGAGAGCCGGCAAGACGACGGGAAGATTCACCCTCCATAAATCCGTTCAGATTACGGTGATACAGAAGTGCAAACCACTCCATCCGCTGTCTACTTTCTTCTGCAAGTATCCTCAGATTATCTTCCCCCATGGCGGTAAAACTTTTTGGAATGCTGGATGAGCTTCTCATATCAGTCCCATCACCTTTGACCGAAGCACACATTGATTGACCATTCAATGTAATTTCCGGATGAGAAACATGAGTATCAGGAAAGTTTGCTGGAGTATTCTGGTGATCTTCAACAGGCTCTAGATTGTAGTTGCTGGCCAATACAGATGGTGAGGGGAATGTGAGAGAACATACTCCTTGAAGCAAAGTGGGGTCAGAGACACAATCAGAATCACCCGGACACGCCTTCACATTGGTGGGAGACCCAGTTAGCCTATCCCTTGCTGGTCTCCGAGCCAATCTTGGTGATTGTTGATAACGGTGCCAACGGTCAGGCTTATCAGTGCGGTGGGGCCCGATGTCAGATTCTACAACGTTTTCGGACGGATCCATCCACTGTTTTGACATTCTTGCCAATGTCTGTCAAATATCACAATCCCGAATAAAAAGGTTGTTTGCTGGTTATGTAGAGCTTCTACTAGATTCTAAATATCTTATGAGGGTGAGAGTTGCTGAGTCTCAAAAAGAGAGGAACAAAGGAGGGAATTTCATCCTGTTACGTTAGTGGCAGGTTGATCTGAGACGTCATCGCCACTCGTATAGGAGGAGCACGGAAGTCAGCGTCTCGAAGGGGTAATTCCGAACGCTTTTCTCAAAGAATTTGCATACTCTACTCTTACGACGATTCGATAGGTTTTGAGGGACATCAGCTTGCTTGACAACGTTAACCCTAAGGTCTGTTTCTCGGAGACGGTCCTTCCGGAATCAGTGATGGTGTTTCAAGCTAGTCAGCGTTACCCCTTTTGGATTGCATATTCGCCTCCACCACTCCACATAACTCATCGATATACTACTCGAACTGTATAAAAGTAGGTACATTGTGTACGGCTTCCGCCTCATGTGAGTGCATAGGTCATAAAGTGGAGCACTATAATAATTCCACGGTCGTGGTGAGTCCCACTTTCACACCTTTCGGCGCCGATCACCCCGCCTTTGTGAGATCCTACTGGGAGCTAGTACGGGTCGAGCTTGTGACGAGGGGGTGTTAATGTTCAATTCCGTTCCATCCCCCAAGACTACCAGACAGCCGGATCCTAAGTTGAATCGATATGTTCCTGAGTTGTCTGGAGAAGAAGATCTCCGCTGAACAACAGGTTCACGGCTCACCTGGTCTCGGGTGCTCTCATATCGCTCGAAACTGCTTATGGTCGTGGAAGCATGAATCTTCTCTGGTGCTGACCGCTTGTCACCCTCTGACTTGAACAACGTTGGATCCTCCTGTGAAGCATGCGAAATCTGCGGACGATCTTCCCCAGTGGGTCCGTCGGACAATTGACTGGACACAGATACGGACGACCCATCAGATATATCTCCCTCTGGGCCTTCTCTTTTCGTGCCCTTTGAATTGCATGCGTCTTCATGCAGTCCGTTATGACTGTCTAGAGCCGTACCGAATCCAGAAGCTGGACTGATGACCGTGCTGGCGGAGTGGAAGGGGGTTGAATCCATAGTATTCTGTACTGTTCGCTGCGGGTGAGTGATGAGAACAATCTCCTCTTTCAACTCATGAACGTTTATACCCAGCCCAGCGCCGAGTGGCGAGGAAGCATAATGGATGAGATCGACTGGCGGGATGAAAGGATCGTTGGTGCGGCCGGAGCATGTTTTCGTTTCAGTTCTTTCCATGACACGACTTCTTCGGGCTTCATACGCTGACAGAGCTAGATCCTTGGGAACTTCTCTCCCGAATGACTTGGGTATGACGAGTTGAACCAAGTAGCTTTGTTATACCACGTTGAACAACCCTGGCAGGGTGTCCCGTCATATTGGAACGGCCAACAATGACGACACTGATGGTTTCCCTCCACTGTACGGATGGCGATTCGTATTTTGCAAGGAAGGCAGCGAACGGTGAGTGTCTCCTCCACTCCATGTGTCACCTGCATACCCCACAACGGAAGAGAGGACCTCCACTTCTCTCCTTTTTCGAGCGAGCCGAGATACACATGCCCTAGCGAGGTCTGACCCCTATAGTACCTTTGTGTTTCGTCGCGTTATCGGTCCACATTTCGCTTAATGCGTGGCTTGAACGACCCCCGAAGGTCACAGGATTGGGCATTCTTCAATAAATATGACGCTATCGCCCCGTCCGCCCCAACTTCGATCGAAGTACCAATCACACGCTCGTCTTTGGGCCCAATTGAACTGTTAATCGCTTCTGATGAGTGGCACGACACAGACAAACTCCGGTCAGTATTCACGGGAAGAGTTAGTCTGACGTGCTAACGGACAGGGATATCAAGAGTCCGGAGACTCCCTCCAAATCCCCAAGTACCAACTTTGGCCTTAAACCACTCCAATCAGCAACCAGGTATCCTTTATCTTCCCCCTAATTACCTCCTCAGTACACTTCTTGAGGCAGATGGAAATTCCGGACAATCATCTGTGTTGGAAGCGGCTCATATCTTCCTCCGACCCGCGGAAGACACCAGCATACTCGAAGCCTGCATCTCTTCTATTCCCACGTCTGTGTCCTACAATCGTCGCTATGGAGGTATCCCACATTCGAATCTCGGCAGTCAGTTCGATCTGGCTTTGCGTATCGGCGACGTTCAACACGGCACGTACACATCCCATGTTCTTCCTAGTGGATATACTTGGGGTGTAGTTGAACTGCCCTATGGAGATACCATCAGAGATTGGGCAGAGTACGAGGATGACGCTACTCTCAAAAGTACCCTCTTCAGCATGGGTCGCAGAGATGAAGGAGACCTTCATGCCAGAAATACGTTGGCGGAGCTTTTTGGTCCTGAAGGGGTTGAGGTAGAATTCTGGCCGCTTCGACCAGATGAGACGGAAGAAGAGGTATTGAGTGGACTTGACCAGCGTCCTCATAAGAAGCTGTTGAATATGTCTGGCGTGTTGGAGGTAACAGTGAATCTGATAAGTGGTTACGCAACCAGTGCTACTGATGTTGAAGCTCAATTGGAGGATTCCCATATCTCTGGAGGAAGCTCGTAGATTACTACACTCAGCCTCCCATTAGGTGATTAGTGACTACATACATAAGTTCAATGAATTCGTGACTACCACCTTCCTTTCTGACCCACTTCCTGCCGCCTGAGGCCTTCGTTTCTTCAGCTCGCGCAATGAAATTCCCCTTTCGACATCATCACCGTGAACCATCTACGTCTTCCCTCGCCGGATCCCTTGACCTTCCATCTCCCCCAGTAACGTTGAAGCTGTCCTGCCTCATTCCTGATCGTTGGCCTCGACATACGAATGACGTCAATTCTAAGTGAAACGCAGATCATGGGAGGTGCGAACGGAAGAAAAATAGTCACTGACATGTAGTGTCTGATGTTGTCGACTCGGCCATGACCACAATGTGTCGATCCCCTTGTCATTCGCGATGTACTTGGCTTCGAGAACAAAGGACCATCGAATTTGGGGTGACTCGGAGATATCATGGAAGATCCATCGGGCGGGGGGATGGGTCATTTCGTAAGCGACAAGATTCCTTTCTCACGCCAACTGTGTCACGCACACCGGGATGATGTCGCTTAATGATACACCCTCCAGATAAAATTCCCCGCCTGGGCCGCTGGGGTAATTCTTCTTATCACACGATATTCGCTTAGTGGTTAATTTCCAACCTTTTACCGGTCAACAATGTATCAGGTATATAAGAAAAGCGGACAAAACAATCTTCCCATCAGATTTATCCATCTTGCAGACGCTACAAACAGGTTTCAATGTTCAGCAGTTCTCCTTCTTCCAAAAAACGAACGCAGTTGACGGGGAAACGAAGGTCACAGGGCGGAACGAGCGGCTCAGGTGAGCTATACTCTTATGTACCCTCATGTGTCAGTAGCTGAATTCCAGGCTCGAGCGGTTCCGCCCTTCCTTCACATCCTCGAATACCGACACTCTCTCTGACGGACGACTGGAACATCGGTACTCTCTATCTTCCACCGAAATACCTCCTCGCTTCGCTAGTAGCAGGAGATGCGATTGCTCAAAGATCTGGTCATACACCAGTTTTAACAACAGACCACATCTTCTTTAAGCCAACTCCAGAGGACGGAGTCCTCCAAGCGGAAGTTGCATCCCAACTCTGGTCGGCCTCCTATGATCCAACCTATGTAGGCTCAAAGCATTCCGAATTTGTTGGTAAATTCGAAGTTCGTCTACGTCTCGGTACCGAAGCTGAACCTACCATGAGAAATTACTCCCTACCTTCTGGGTATTCAAGAGGTGTGGTCCGCTTACCGGGTGGAGCTAGCCTTCGAATCTGGGGAGAAACCATTCCCGAAGGGACTTTGAAGAGGACAACACTTACCGTCCAATCAACTAATGATGGTAGACTAGTTAATCTACAAACATTGACCGAACTTGTTGATAGTGGTGGAGTTGAGGTAGACTTCTGGCCTGTGATGCCTGGGGAGAAAGAAGTTGAAGTTTTAAGTACTTTGGACGAGCGTCCTTTCAAGTCTACCATTCGCATGGCCGGTCTAGTGAGAACGAGTGTGGGATTACAGCCGGGATACAAAACAGGATCTGAGATTGTCGATAAGATCTTGGACGAAGTGCGGGATATGGGAGCAGATGTTTGAACTGCAACCTGAACCTTATGTCAGAACCTTGGCAGAGAGAGAGAGAGAGAGCATAGAACACTGGATTCCATGTGATGCATGACTCAAGAGACATCTCTGACCTGAATGTTCTTGTGATGTGCCCTTACTGTATGAGTAGAGTGAGTACTGTGTCACATTTGACACCCATCCCCCTTTCTGTCGGTTCACCCGCCTGTTTTGAGGCATTGAGATGCCATGTCCTGTATGTTTTTTGCTTTGAACGGTGTTCATCTATAGTCAAACTGCATACATCATGCCTTCAGAATTGCCCTCTTGCCTCAACTCATACTGACCCTAGGAGGTCGGTCCGCGCATTTTACTCGAAACGCCACAAACGGTAAAGTGCCACTTTCGTCAACACTATCCTCACTCTTCCCAAACCGATGCCTTCGTACTGTTCACCGTCAATGTCATCAAGGTAACTAGCATTCGATAACTCTTCTTGTCCTATTCCTACTTTGTCTCATGTCTATTCATGTACCTGTACCTCCCCCTAAATCATCTCCCTTACCCAAGAAATCGCACCAAATTTCAGCCGGTCCAGATCCTGCAGAGGCAAGAGCTACCAAACGAGCTCGTACCGATTTGAAGGAAGATGGGAAACAGATGAATGAAGGGGCAAAATGGTTGTTAGGTAAGATAGAAGAGATGGAACGTGCTTATCAGGTGAGTTGAGTCTAAGTGATGGAAAAATTCGGACTGATGGATCAGAAAACAATAATGGCCACTACGTTGATTATGCGGTACAGAACTTCTTGTCTTCGAATGTACGTTCGATATAGAGGGTAAGGATTGTACTGATGAACAGAGGAGTAAATTCGGAGAATATACCTGTTCATCTTGTGAAACGGTTGAGATCGTCTTGGTCAACTTATGAATCTCTTAGAAGACATGTAGAGTCATATATGGTTCGTCCTCAGTCACCCTCCAACATTTACACATGTCATATTTTCTTCCGTATCGAATACTGGATGAAGTATTGAGGATTCAAAGAGATATTAGAGGAAATATATTGATGAATACAGTCTGGAAATAATCAATCTTCATTATCTAAACTTGCCCCTATCCCGCTTACTGGTCCATCTTTATCCCTTCTTAGAACAGGTACAACAACTATCAACGCCGCTTCTCCTGTTCCTTTATCTCAAGTAGCATCCAATGCATTCGATCCAACCAAACCTCAGACCCCACCACTCCCGGCACCAACTTCACAACTTCTTCCTGTTTCTCAACCTCAACATACTCTAGATCTTACTTCTTCGACTCTAGATATACTCTCACAACCCTCTTCTTATCCTCTCGATACAGACACTATCGATTTTTCTGATGGACAACTATACATTGGATCCGATAATGATCCTCCAATAGATTTATCAAATATAGCTCTGAGCGAGTTGAGCGCTTTCATGAATGGCGGAGCTTTTGGTGATATACCAGCGGAACCGACAGACGTGGTATCTGTTGATATGATTTCAAATATTGGTGGAAATGGAGAACAACAAGAAGGGGTAGTAAATCAGACGAACGATCTACTAGCTTTGTTGGATAGCAGAGGAGATGAAGGAATGATAGATCCTTTGATATCTGCTTTACCTACTGGTGATCCTCAAGCGGATCAACAACAACATTCAATAGATCTTTCAATTCCACAATCTGGTGCGAATGATGGGCATGGAACACAAATGGACATTTCCGCACTAATGGGTCTTTTCGATAGTGAAATTTCTAATCAACAAACAGAAATACCTCAAGTTCCTACCGATGGACAAGGTGCCACGGTGGAAGAAGATCCGGAGATCGTTCTACTTCCCGGACCACCTGGAGTTCATATACCAGAGGAACAAATACAACCGGTCGAGATGGAGGGAGATTATCTAGCAGGTATCGATATGGACGATCTACCAGGTGTCGATGGTGAAGAATTTAGATCTTTGTTGGATAATGCTTTCAATTGAATCTTGAGGTCCTGCTTGAGTCGTACTTACCTATTTGTCATAATGCTTTTACTTGTTTTATCATTGTCGGTAATGTATCTTGGCGGGGGTATTGCTATGCATACATCAAAAATATATCATGATGGATCAGATGTTTGTTTCTCTAGTCGTGTAGAAGCGCCCAATCATTACATCCCCACATCATCCCACGCTCTCACATTTGGATCCTCATCCCCTTCGACTTCGTATGGAGCTTCTGTATTGGCTCTACATAAGCTGTCCATGAGCACTCTAAAATTGTATATATTTGGGAAAAACTCACGAACACTTTCGTTTGACACCATCACGATTGGAGAAATCTGCAAAGTGGACTTGAGCATGGTAGATGTTATAAGTAAGCATGGCGGATTCTGCGTGTGAGCCTCAGGTTGATGCTTCAGCCCGCTCGTGCTCGTATCAGTAGAGATGAACGAGGCTGATGATATGGTGAATTTTGTGTCGGAAGATGAAGGAAAGGAGGTAAGACGCACCTATGCGAGGGTCGACAGAAACGATGAGGATGAAAGTATTCCTGGTCAAGGGTTCGAGTACGACTGTGCAGTCATCGAATTTACTCTCAAATGATGAGAAGGTTTCTCCTATCCGTCTGAAAGCATTAGCTATGACAGGATCACATTCCGAATGAATCGCACGCCAATCTTCACACAAACTCGGGCGAGATTTAAGATATGATGATCAGACGAGCGGAGACTTTTGACGGAACTGTGGATGGATTGTATCAAATAGGACAAGGCTTCTGATAATGGAGGGCAGTAACTGAGATACTTAGATCTGGCTGGGAATGATGTCACAGGTACGGTCGGCAAATCAAAGGTCAGAGTCAGGTGAAAAATCAAGGTGATGTGACAGGAGATGCCTAAAGAAACTCACTGGCACGTTTTTCTAAACCCTTTGATAATCTCTGAAATCTTCTCGAACCTTTGAGGATCCAAAGCTTTTGCCCCGCTCTTCACTTCATTATCATCCATTTGTGAAGGATCAGAGTCCAATGGAGATCCGGACTTAGCAATGACCAAAAAAGTCTCAGCTTCGAACATCACCGCCTCGGCAGCGAGACAAAGATCACGCATGAAGGTGAGATGTGAGGTGATGAGGCCTATATTGGGGATAAGTGTATGAATGACGGATGACCAGGCCTAAAGTTTAGTATCATCATTCTTCCTGTGTATCGCTATAAATATCCTCTCAGACTAATCTACCGATGTGGGAGAAATGAATGCAAGGAGAGAGAAAGGGAAAGAAAAAGAGGGAATGCCAAAGAATAACACTACTGACTCACTTTATATAATGACTCATCCCATATACTAGTAGGAAAACACCTCAACATCCCTCTAGCTTTACCTTTCACCCTCTCATCCACACTCACAACATCACCACGTCTCTCATCATATTTCTTTCTCTTTGGATCTTCCTTATCCGCCAAATCCATTTTATTAATCAACACCCATACCCCCGCGTCGGGTGAATATTCTCTAAGGGCAGAAATGATACCTTCGAAATATCTCATATCCGTTTCCCATTCAGTGGAGGTGATGTCGAATACATAGATGAGAACTGCGACATTGGAAAAGATTGTATCTTTCTGAGCGGCGAGGTAATTGTCGACGAAGGCGTTTTGACCTCCACAATCCCACAGGTTCTAATCTTAGCGATTGACTCATAACCGACTGTCATTTCTCATATCTGAGCTTCCCTTCGTTCAGACTGCTTGGCAGGTTGACCAATAATATCTGACTGGCACTTTTTAAGAAAGCGAGCACGATTCCTGCATCAGACAAAGATATTGAGGGGTAAGATATTGAGGGGTAGCAGCTAAGGAAACAAACTCACGAGGACCAAAGACCCAAGAAATCTCACTGCTGACTGTTCCACATCTATTGTCGCTCCTAAACGTTTTGTATCCTTTGCGCTGTAATTGGAGAAGATGACCGATCGCATAGAAGTTTTACCACTTCCTACAATGGTGAGCTTTCCTTATTTTTACTGTACCTGATTTCTCACCCGACTTTCCCATGAGCAACACCTGCGATCAGCTGTATCCTTAGGTATTTTTCTGACTCACCTTCTTTCTTGCCGCTACAGACATGATGTCTATCTCCTAGATCCTAGAGGAATCAGCTCGTACGTCTCATACGCCGGTCCATGCGGTCCACGTAGATCTCTAAATGACTGGTGGGTCTTGTTGGTGAGCAGCGAGTAAGTTATGTAGAGGAATTCAAACATCGAGCAGCGCTACAGCGTACAGCGAGAGGGAAGCTCGCTTAAAGAGATCACGTGACTTTGGTCGTCGTCCGTGCCTGCAGGTCCTTTCTTTCCCGATCGCGACCCCATCTTTCACCTGCTGACAATTCCATTCGAATACCTATCACCTCTTCATACCGCACACAGGTACTACACACACACAGTATCAGCAAGTTCAAAATGACACGAACAAGACAATCATCCAATTCGAAATCTATCAAGTCATCTCCACGTTCTATCAAATCCACCAGATCCCGACCCACCCCGAATAAGGTCACTCCCAAGACCAAGGCGCGTCCATCTCCGGCCAAATCGACATTGACAAAACCGATATCCGCCTCCAGGTCCAGTAGAATGAAATCATCTAAAAAGTCTCAGAAACCATCTGCGGAACTTGATTCAGCTACGGGAATGACGGAGACGGAAGATGACACATCTTCTGAAGAAGGAGACGATTTCGAGCCGGATAGTCAAGAAGATTCCGTCGTTGAAGAGAGCGAAGCGGAGAGTGTAGATAGTGAATATCTCGATGAAACTCCTACGAGAAAGAGAAAATTCGTTCTTACTAGTGGGAGTGGTGTGAAGAAAGGGAAAAGTAATGGATCTGCACAAAAGCAGTCGGGCAAGATGAACGGGGATGAAGAAGGAGGAAAGCCGGGGAAGGGAAAAGTAGGGATTGAGGGATATGAAGATGAAGATGATGATGAGTACGATGTGGATTTGGAAGAAGGTCAAGAAATTGCAGGAAGGATTTACTCGGCTCCTACTACCGGTCAAGGTGAGTTATGTCCTCATTCATCCTCTCTAAGCTTTTCCAGGCTCAAGTGAAGGATGCTGAAAAGGAAAAAAGGGTAATGGAGATAGGACTGGGGTTGTAATAGAAGATCAGGTTCTCTTTGATAGATGCTGAAAATACAGTACCGCCAGGAAGAATATCAACAAACACTTTAAATTTCCTCAAGAATCTGCAAATACCAGAAAGAAATGATAGAGAGTGGTTCCGAGCCCATGAACCTAGTTTCCGACAAGCTGAAAAGGTATGTATAGAATATGAATGCCACTTCTCCTTCCCTCGTTATACTCATTTGAGACGAATGAGGGACTTTTGGAATGATAACACCCGTTGATGCATAGGAATGGCAAGCTTTTGTCGGAAAGATACAGGGAAAGTTTCAGAATGCCGACGGTGAAGTTCCTATCTTACCACCGAAAGATATCATCGTATGTTTTTCTTTCTTAAAACTCAAAGTCTCTCACAAGTCCCCCGGTCCATCATTATGAGAATTTCCCCACAATTCTTCCTATTCGTCTGTTTCCTTCCTTGTACCTAACTTCCCTCCCAGCTTTCCCCGATCCATCCAGACCTTTCTGCTGGCCTTCGCCCCATTATGGAAAAGTAATATGGTGAAATCATCGCCAAGCTACAAAGTGGATATTGTTACTATACAAAAAAAATGAAGGTTGATTAATCATCAGCACCGAATATATAGAGATGTCAGATTTTCATCCGATAAAACACCTTACAAGAAATCTTTCTCACTCACCACTTCCCGTGGTGGTAGAAAAGGAGTTTGGGCAAAATATCATCTTTCAATATCACCTAACGATCGATCCATCTTAGCGGCTGGTATCTGGTGTCCTGACAAGAATGAAATAATGACATTTCGATCAAATGTTGAAAGACGTTCAGAAGAATTCAGGAATGTAATTGGTGATCCTACTTTTGTGAAATTCTTTGGTGAACCTAAAGTTGGTAAAGATGGAGAAAGGAGGAATGTTTTTGGACATGAAGATATGTTAAAGGTAAAACCGAAAGGTTATGAAAAAGATCATAAAGATATTGATTTGTTGAAATTGAGAAGTGTGGCTGTTGTACATAAGTAAGTAACACGCGTATTAGTTTCATCGATAGAGGTAGGTGTATGCTGATCGATGTAGATTTACGGATGAACAAGTTTTAGCGGATGATTTTGGTGATGAAGTTGAGAGGGTGGTAAGTGTTATGGAACCTTTTGTACACAAGTGAGTGTGTGTGTTATATCATTGGCAGACCTTGTGATTATAGGTGAAGGAAAAAAGTTCAAGCTGATTGGATAGATTAAATGATTTCATCACTTTACCATGAAAAGGAGGTTTTGATCATTACTGGGTAGTTGTCATTCTTGATCTCTTAATCCCATCTTCTTGACTGCGTTGATCTTATTAAAGTGCTTTGCACTACGAGTATTGGATGCATAACGCTGTAGCTTTGCACTACGAGGACTGAATGTAACATGCTGTAGCATCTATAATCTTCGCAACTTTTGGAGGTTGATACCTCGGCGTCCAAGGTCCAAGTGAAGTATCCTGAATGTCAGCTCATACTTGCGGGTTTGGTTGTATGACAGTAGTCTTACCGAGTAATAATCCATCGGATAATCCCCTTTACCCTCTTCTCTCTTTTCATCATCCCACTTCAATCCACCCCATCCCCTTATACGTCCCAAAGCTACGCTCGCTTCGTAGGGACTGAGCAAAGGTCTTGAGAAAGCATATCCCCAATCGATCGATAATCTCGGACAAGAAGTTTGAACAAATGTTGTGATTTCTTCCTCTGATAGCAAGGCTAGTTTCTGTGGAGATAATTCTGATAAGAGGAGCATAAAAGGTGGTATTGAACCTTCAGGCATAGAATTTTGTATCGTCTACACTATCAGCTACTTCCTCATTCGGTACCTCCAGGTCTGAAAGCAGAGATTCCTCAAGGAGGGAAATGAGGTGGAGGGGATGGGGGTGGGAGAGGACTAACTTTTAAAACACTAAGACTACCTTGTCTACCCAAAGTACCTAAAACGATTGCCCAACTTCCTGGCCCTCCTCGGTCCAAGCCACGCTTAGCAGCTTGTACTGCATCCCCTCTGACCGAACGCATCTCACCATGTTCATAAGTCTCCCGAGTGAATTTCTTAGAGTAAGGATCGTATCGGAAGGCGGGGACGGTAGGATTGGCAATCATTATACTTTCCAAATGAAATCTTCCATCGCCTACGTATCTTGTTATCAGCTGAGCTTCCCATGGACATGATGAATGAAAGCTCACATGAGAGCATCGACATCGGATAGTTTAGGAGCTGTACAACCTAAGACTTCACCTGGACTAAGAGGTTTGACCTGAGGTACGGTGATTTTATATTGACCTCTCCAAACACCTCTATCTCGTGGGGGCACATGCATGATGGCGTCGTTTTCGTCTGACAAAGAGAGGGATTCGATTGGAGGAAGCGGACTTTCGAGATTTGTACGAAGATATTGAACGGCGGCTACGAATTGAATAGTAGAGACTAATGCCAGATGAGTGGGAATATCATCTTCTTTCTCCATCTTCGAAGTATGTTGAGAATGAGTGACTTGGTTGGAAAGTTGAGAGGAAGAGAGTGGGTTAACAGGTGATGAGTTAGAGTTGAGAGAAGGGGAAGTCGATTCCGTCGCAGGAGTAAGAGAAGAAGTGATGGTTCGGCTTGGGGGTAAGTCGGGAGGCTCGATGGAGATATGTATTCGACTACCTGAAGTGGTCTCTTCAGCACCTAAGACATGTTCATGGAAGGCGGAACGTGATGAGGGGAAATTTCTTCGAACGGAAAGGGCGAGGTGTTCGGTATCAATAGCGATTTCAACAAAGACATAAAGTGTTTTCAAAGATGTTTGATTGACGGGTACTATCCATCAGCCTAGTCCAATCTCCTCAAACCCTCTAAAATCTAGATTGACGGCACATTTACCCATACTTGATATGTAGTAGTAGAAGAGACAGTAGTATGGTACACTCACTAAGACAAGAATGACCATAATGTACAATCATCTCTGCTCCTAATTCCTTGGCAGTAAAATCATCTATACCTGATGATCAGCTTATACTCTAGGAGAGAACAACAGCTTACAACAGGCTCCATATGTCACATCGGCGAGTAACAAAGGAATTGCACCTGTGAACCTGTTTATCAGATCATCAGTCCATAATCATATAAACGAGTGGGAATAAGTATGTGATACATTCAAGATGGATCGGAAGACAAATTGAATGAGCTGAAAGGGAATCAATCACTCACTGTTCAACTATATCCGCTATGAGACAACCATACATCATCAAACCTTCTGGCATTTGAAGAGCGACAATTTTGACTCCATCTCGACGAATAAGATGGATAGTTTTATGGATTTCAAAGTTATAGTTCTTTGGTAATTCTACTAAATTAGTGAATGCTAACAAATGCCCTGACGTCTGGATCAGAACTTGGTCCATCCCTTCAATCTGTTTCATCCCGATGTTCCCGAGGTATAAAAGTTTTGGCATAATCAGGTGTGCATGTAGCTTACCTACATTAATGGATGAGAAACATAGAGAATAGAGAGAGATGAAGGATATGACCCACCTTCAATAGCAGCGTTCAGAACAGGATCATGGAGTATATCATCCGGGACGAGGTTGGCTACCCTCCTAGGTCGGTTGGAAGGTTTCGTGCTTCCCACGAACCGTTTTCTCGGCTTTGACGGACCTGCTGTGGGTTTGTCGATACCTTCGGTGGCTTCAAGAACTGACATGACTAGACCTCTTGCGTATAAATTGTTATGGACCAGAAGTAAAATGCGAAGTTACTCGATTTCAAGATATATGTATCTAAGTAAGTTACGGACTTTCCACAAATTGTCCGCCACTTTCGAAGAAATTGATCCCGCTTCACGGCCTACAACCAGAACATGTCTTTTGGTCAACTCACTCTCTTCAAGTGAACCATCACGATGGAAACAGACCTAGCTGCGACGGCAGCGGCGAGGAAAGAAAGACTCATAGCTTTGAGAAAGAGAAAAGATGCTCATGAACATGGAGAGAAAAATGGTGGACCGTGAGTTTTCCTTTTTTTCCCTTCCCTTTCCTCTCTCATATCCCCTATCATCCCTTCAATCCTCTAATCTCTCAATCCTTCAATCTTACAATCTTACAATCATCCATTTTATCCAAGTCTGATCGAATCTGTCCCCATTCCAGTTCTCATAAGTGATTTTATATATCTCGGTTGTGATAGACCAGTGACCAGTGAAAACTAAATAACTAATCTCAGATCTCATTTCACATTCAAACAACGTAATTTTGATCCAGAAACGAGACAAGTACGTCAACGTGACCGAGATAACGGTGAAGATACGGTAGAAAAAGCAGTGGAAGGATTAGCAGAGGAAATCATCAAAGAAGATGAATTGAAAAGAGCTGAAGAATTGGATTTATTCAATATACAACCTAAAAGGGTGAATTGGGATTTGAAAAGGGATTTAAATAATAGGATGATGAAATTGGAAAGGAAAACGAATGAAGCTATATCTGTTATATTTCGTGAGATTGATTCCCCATCTGTCTCCACTGTATGGTACACAAACTCCCATTCTTTAGTCTGTGTCAAAATAGATTTTCCATTCTTTCGAAGGTTTTGGCGTTTTCGACACTATTGGCAGGACGATTCACATTGGGAGTATTTGGTGGATTTTGTCCAGGATGAAGGCTGATGTTAAGGAAGTCGATTACAATCAATGAAGAAAGATTCCAATGATAGAGGAGTGGATTTAGTAGCTTCTATCAATGCTGCGGAACATGAAAGAGATCAAGCTGCTGCTGATGCAGAAATGGAGGGAAATGATAGTGATTGATGTCGACGAGTCATTTGTACCCATGCATTTTATTTATTTGGTAACTATGCAAGTGAACCGAAATGTCTGACTGATCTTCACATCAAATGCCCAAATGAGCTTATCGAAGATGAATCTATAACAGAAACAAGGGAGATTTACGGAGATGTGGACAGGATGAAGATGATCAAAAAGCGTTGGATGATCATTGCGGACTAGGAGGGTCAAGAAGGAATCGCCAAAGAGCTTCGGGATCTTTATAATCGTGATGAATCAAACTAACCAACCACCATTCGTCGGCAATGTGTTCGAGGTGTTTCCGAGCGGGAGACAGGCGTGGATAGAGACGAGACCATTCGGTCCAGATATCGAATGCTTCTTCCTTACCTATCAGCTCAAAGCTCACTTATCTCGTCAAACTTAGATCGACTGCCTTGAAAATTTGGCGGAGTGGTCACAGAGGGGATGGTAGAAACAAGAACTCACCTTCCAAGCGAGGAAAGACGTTTCTTCGATTATTGTAGATTGTACAATTTCCTGACCTGGGAAAACACCCCAGGTGACAGCGTTGACAGCGTCTTTCAAAGTGTTTGTCTTGAAATCCCCCTCACAAGTCAGCTTATTCAATGGATTTCCAAAAAGATGCGAGCTCACCCTCTTGTTTCCCGCATACATGCTTATCATCCCATCCGTCCTCCTTGTCAATCTTTGTTCTATCTTGTCCACTTTGCTCAGAGGAACGAAAAACTCCACGAACGCCTTCTGAAATACATATCCCCCTCTTGGACCCCATCCATGGATCGGATCTCCACTTTCCGCTGCGTCCACAGCCGGTTGACTTCCCACCGTCCAATGTTGCATCTCGGCCGAATTCAACTTTAGCAGATGAGGCAATATCTTGACTGATTCCGAGCTCAGCGGAAGATCACAGAAAGGGGTAGTAGGGGCAGTGGGATCAGATCGCAGATATCTGCAAAAAAGATCTGACAGATCTTCCGAGTTGATTGGAACACCCCAATCTTTCAACGCTTGAGCAGGGGTGATTTTGAGTCCCGATCCCCATCCATCTATCTCCCCATAAGCTGGAGACCGGACATCCGTAAAACGTCCATTCGGATATTCGTCCCAGCTATCTTCCCCGCTCGGTCCTGTTGTGCCCACATTACCCAAACCTTTCTTTGGAGCAGGGGGAAGAGCTTTGTTTTTCAGACCCCACTGAGCGAGATGACTGGCTTCGCTTGGAGAGATGGAGAGACCTGGAGCGGCGGGTTGCTTCGTTCCTGCAACGACATCATCGTCATCGATTAATTGGTTGTGTCTTGGGAGAGGGGATGATTTCAGTTGGTTGGATTCGGCCGACCAGCCGAGGTTTTCAAGTATTGTCCGAACTGATTTTTCCAAGTTGAGGGTGCAGAAGTGAACGCCAGGTACAAGGGATGAGGAGAGAAGTCGACGGACCATCTGGGTGGCTAATTTGGCACCGTATCGCTTGACAGCTGCATCGTCGGTCTAAGAAGATCAGTCATACAAATCCTTTTCATAGAGTTGAGTACACAAGGAGGGGTTTAGAAAAAGTGATGGAAGGGAGTGTGAAGAAGACTCACTCGGATAGGCTCGAGATCTGACATAATAGAAACTGGGACGGGTGTATGTGTGAGGTTAACAAGTCTTCTGAAAGAAGCGAAATTTTGTATCGGCATAACTCCAGGTATTATCGGTACACTGATGCCTGTCCTATCAGCATTTGTCTTATGTGACATTTGATTCACTTACCAATCCGACGACATTCCTTGATCCACGATTCGAAACCTTCCACATCATAAAACAATTGAGTGATAATAAAATCCGCTCCGGCATCACATTTGACCTTAAGCCATTTTAAATCATCCTCCACACTTTCAGAGTCTAGATGAGGTGTAGGATATCCAGCTACTCCAATACAGAAATAATCACCATGCTCCGCACGGATATATCTCACTAAATCATCGGCATGTTGAAACAAGTCCGGTTCCGTGGGAGGAATCACTGCGTATTCTTCTGATCTAGGTGGATCACCTCGAAGTGCTAAGATATTGGTGATTCCCATTTCTTTACATTTCTACAAATCCATCAGCCTTCACCCTAGAGGGATTGGATGTGTACATACGGAGAGAGCATCGTCGACCTTCTCTTTGGGCATGTTGGTACATGTTAAATGTAGTATAACCTCCAGACCGAGTTTCGTGATTTGTTCAGAGAGTTCCAAGGACCGGTCGGCGGTGGCACCACCGGCACCCCATGTGACGGATACGGCCAAGGGAGCAGGGAGAGGTTCCGAAGCTAAACGTCGGACACGATCTAGTAAGTTTACCAGACCTGCTTCTGTGCGTGGAGGGAAGAACTCGAAGGTGTGAAAGGGGCCATTACGTTGAGCTAAAAGTGAAGTGAGATGGGGCATGATGTATAGAGAAAGATCAAGTGCGCGGGTGCAATAGCGATAGCTGAGAGGTAAGTAGTTGCCGACTCAAGCTAAGCGAAGGAGGAAAAATAGGTCACGTGATCTTTCCCCCTTCCGGCTCCGGTGGACATGGTCCCCTCCCTTGGAACAACATCCTCTACCCTATTCCCATACTAACGTCCGTCTCTGATGAACACCTCTTCCTTGTGTATATTCCTCGTGCAATCCCGTCCATAATCAACAGCCGTATTGCCATGGCGCTGGCTCAAAATTTTCTCTTTCCTTATCTCTCTTTACATGTTACTCATGCTCCGCTCTCCTCGGCTTGACAGATGGACAAAACCTCTTCCCCGTCTACTGCCCCCGGCTCTGGGCGGTCTCCTATGCTTCCTGTGGATAGCGATTGAACCTTTGAATAAATTGGGGGGACAGTGAGTGGCGCCAAATCTAATATAGTTTTCATAGCTGATTGACAGATATGCCTTCTTGGTGTATACGTCGTTTCTCCTGTTTTTCTTCCCGCACGGACGGATCGGTATCCAATTGGAAGATACTGGTGAGTCGCTTTTTTCAAAGAATGAAGCCGTGAGATACTCATGTAATAGCCCTTGGTATCATCGCCGCTGCCTTCGGTCTTGCTTGGTCTTGTCTGACGTTGGCCATCACGGCATATTGCGGGAGACACCATGGCCCTGGTTCTTCTCAGTCCAGAGCTATCTTAGGTGTCGGTCTGGCAGTGCTTGCTTTCCTAAGTGAGTCAACATTTTCCCTCGCCGAACCACTGGCAACTGACATGGAAACCGTTCTTTCCTAGCTCAATTGATCCTGTGCCGTTCCGGTTTCTATTCTAGGTTCAAGGTATGTGAACGATTGGAGCTAATTGAAAGGTGGCCTCGTCCGTAGCCTCGTTCCAAGGCTCACGGCTGCAAGTCGTATAGCCTTGTTCTTTCCGATATTTCTACTTACCAGTTTGTCATCGGTCAATGCTACGTCTGTGAGCTCTTGTATATACCTACGACCGTCCCTGACCTATCAGGTATCCAGTCATGATTTCACTGATCAGTTCCTCATCGCCGTCTTTGCCGCGGCCTTTGCGTTGGTATCGACTATCATCTTCTCCAGCGGACGGAAATCCTCTTATCTTGAACTGAGAGATTTGATGCACCAAAGCATCGACATATCCTGTCAACTTCTCCCTCTGTCACTCTCTTCTCTTACCGGGAACGATTCCAAGCCCCCTATCAACGGCAATGATGAGAAGCCGAGTCCGTCGCCCTCAATCCATCAGAGCCAAGATGAACTTGCTCGTCATCTTCGTCATGCCACCACCACTCTCAAACCGGTTCTCGCACATCTACGATATGGCATCATTCGAAGTAGAGTCAGTCCCGATGCTCTTGGACCCATAATAGATAGTTTACAGCGACTACAAAGAAATCCTCTTCTCGGACTCACCAGTCACGTCCCAGGTGAGAGAATACAAAGTGCTCTTCGAAAAGTATATGAACAAGATATCTCGCGACCTTCTAGCGTTCCTGGTACGCCAAGAACATCAAGGACTGCCCGTCATAGTGATAACAATACTCCTAGACGCTCCGAAGACCGTAGGCCCACGATCCACGGAGCCATATCATCCACCAACCTGCGTCGAGCTCTTCAACCACTAGCCGAGGTTCATGCACATAATCATCATGGTCATCATCACCGTCGATCAATCTCTGTGGCTGCTGTCGGGGCTCAGGTCCAAATCAAGGTGGATCACTCTTGTCGTCAACTCTCGGAAGCGATCATCGCTGCTTTATCTAATATGCAAGATCAACTTGACGACGTATGTGGTTGGAAGAAATCATCTGTCACACATCAATCAAACGGCGCGGGTCAAGGAACTAAAGTCCTGGATTTGCGTCTGTCGGAACTGCAAATCGCCTTGTCTTGTCTGTTTGAAGGTTCGGCCGATCCGACAACTGGACAAGAAGAACACGTTCATGATCAGGGTCGTAGATCGACAGTCAGGATCATTGCTCAGGATACACACGGTATGACGCATCCAGACGAAAATCCACATCAGCAGATTTCTCGGTTGGCATTTTATATGGTAGCTTTGATAGATATGGCGAAGGAAGTCAGGGAGATGGTAGCAAATACTGCTGAGCTGGCAACTCGTGCTACACCTCGGCCAAAGTGGAGACTTCCCACGACCCTGATAAGATGGAAAGAGGTCTTCCCTTGGCCGAATAAGGACGGGAGCGAGACAGATGGTAAGTCACTTTTGTCAGTATGATCTCATTTGACCCGGGACAGAATCGAGCACTGTCGATGACGATGTGGAAGATATAGACGGGGTCGAAGATCCGACCACAAGACCAGATGTGGAGGACGTGGAAGCATTGGATTTCGCGAACGCCTCGTTGGCTGAGAGCAGGTCGATGACGACGCCACGACGAATGAAAGGGCGTTTTTTGGCTTCTTGGAGGATGTTTTGGGATTATCGTCAAGTTATCAGAGGTGGGTCCTCCTGTATTTCTTCAGATTCATGATAGCTTGATGCCGTCAGTGTGCTCTTGACTGATCTTGGCTAACATTATTATATTAGGAGGTTTTTTCTTGGCGGGAACTGACTTTGTCAGGCCGAATTGTACTCTCGTCCATATTACATTCGGCCCGTCACTCTCGACACGTTCTTTTCGCCATCAAGATGTCCCTTGGAGTCTCCCTACTCTCCCTTCCTGCCTTCCTTCCCGACTCTACCAGAGGAAGATCATGGTTCACTCATTCCCGCGGAGCATGGATGGTCATATCTTACATGTACGTTCTTGATCTTCACACAGGGGCCATCTTTTTCGTTGGATTCTCCCGATTAGTCGGTACCTTCCTCGGTGCCCTCATCGGTTATATATGTACTCAGATCGCACATACAAACCCATACGGTCTCGTCGTTCTGGGTACGGTATGTTCTTTGGGTATTTCATATGGCATTGTGGCTAGTATTTGGCCACCAATGTTCACAGTGATGGGTATTACCCTCCCTCCATTACTCTTCCTTCGGTATCTCGGATTGGATAACGGTCAGAGTGATATCAATTTGGCTTGGCTTAGATTTGTGGAGATTGCTATTGGGATAGTGGCGGCTGTTCTGGTGGGAACTTTGATTTGGCCTAATCACGCACGGGTCAGGTATTTCATGGCTGTATCAGGAACGTTTGATAGGATAATCGAATATTGTAAGTCTAATCATGCATTCTCTTCACCATGTGAATATTAAATTTTGTTCTTGTGCTTATCATACAGATTTACTTATGAGTCGGTACGTCAAACCTTCGATACACGGAATGAGATTTCCTAGATGAGATGATTTGAGGCTGATTGTTAAAGCGATAACTTACGTACTTCTTTAGTTTACCAAGGTGCTGGTAAAGAATACGACTCTCTCGAAATTGGAATAAGAAGACATATCAATACTTGTCGTACTCTTGTTTTGATACAAAGACGTGAGGCCTCTCTACTTCCTCGACCGATAAAGTTATATTCCGAGGTGGTAGATAGGACTGAACATCTTCTCGAGGCTTTTTACGAGGTCAGACTTTTGAGGTTTAGTGTTCCTAGAAAAGCTATCGTACTTGATGTTTTACCCATACGTAGGGGACGGGGGAGTTTTCTTTTCCCCCCCCCCCCCCCCCCCCCCCTCCTCCCTTTCCCCCTCCCCCTCCTATCTCTTCTAAACGAAAGAGGAAGCCCCCAAATCGTTTTCCGTCAAACTAATTTCGCATTCCTATACCAACATTTTACACTGGTAGTCCTTTTCCCTCAATGTTGTTATTGATACATCTCCTTTGCATCACTGATGCCATGATGGCCGGATTTGTTACTTGTCTGTTGAAGTATGTTGATAAACAGGTATCTGCAATCCTTGTCAACCTCTGGGCTTGTTCTCAATCTTTCAGATCCCGTACCGCTCTCCCTCAATTCCTCCCTTCTCCTCGTACAGCTCTAGCCGAATTGAGCGCAGCAGCGGATGAACATGCGAAACGTATAAGACAAGTAAGGAAAGATGATTTTCTTTCCAGAGAAGATTCGGCGACTCGTTCAGAGAGGAACCAAGCGGAATTAGCTGCTTTGTACGCTATGGCGGAGAATGAAGCTTTGGCAGAGGTTTGTAATATTTTGGAAGAGGTAAGTTCCGTGCTCCTTCTCCATCCTAATACCTCGTCAGAGGGTATCAAACCGTATGACGTCCAGCAAACTTCTCATGGGGGATAGTGTATCATGGACGACGTTGTGGGATAATCAACTAATGATATAGCTCGTAGCTGCCGCTAGAACATTATTCGGATCTAAAACGTTTTATACCGATGCTTCGGCTTTTGAACGACATGATACTATGGCCCCTCATGCTCCTTGATTATCTTTTCCCACTTCTGTCATACTATCTGTATCTGTTGTTGTGATATCATCCATGCCATTTAATTCTTCAATATTTCCAACGACTATATCACCTCGTATAAGTATAATAAACAAACATCCGATGCATAATACCAATCGTTGTAGTTCATACATCCACTAACAAATGATAAGAATATCATTCAGTGCTCACAAACTTGACAACATCCAATATCAACAAAGAACTAGAACTGACACTCTCACTCATACATCTATCCTAACATCCTTGAATCTCCATCATTTACTCCTCCTCCTCCAAAATCTGACTCCGTCCCCGACATGCCCTGATGATTCATTTGTTCCGGATAAGATTCATAACTCTCCGGAGTGATAGGTGTACGAGAACCATGAGAAAGACGTGTAACTGAAAAATAATTACCTCTATCATCTGAATAAATCGTGGAGATGGGATTGACAAAATTGACAAATGTCAAATTATGTGGAAAATCAGATAATGTTACTTGGTCCCCAAACGACATTGTTGCTGGACGATAAGTACATTCACGTCCTTGCGAGGTACAATTGTTACAGGCGGACTGATTTTTGTTTACGCAACGTCGTTTTCCTTTCCGACAAGACACACAAGCTACTGATGTTCGGGTATGCGCTACGGGGGGTGGAGGGGGGTTCAAAGTGTTCATAGTGGGGTATATGTAAGAATCATTGGGATTCCCTATGGTTGTCAAAGGCTGAGCATCGTAATCCTCATTTATTCTTGGAAGCCGAATATCTTCACCATAACTGTCTTGGGAATAGAAGTCATATGCCTGAGCTGATGGTGATGGTTGTTGCTGTTGAAGTTGAGATATGTTCGGTGGAAGTTGGTATGAGGTGTCAATATATGGCGTTTCATATGATTGTGTAGGAGAGTGACGAGAACGTTGTTGATTGGAAGTGGGGAGTGGCAAGTATGAAGAAGGTGGAAGAGGTTGAGTATAAGCCTGAGGAGGAATTTCGGTTCGTAAACGAGGATCAATTTGTTCTTCTAGATATGATAGAGTATACTTTGCAGTTTCGATAGTTTGATTATCATTGTCTAGAAGAGATGAATCAGTTCATGTCCATGGCTCTGTTCATATGACGACCGAGCAATGTTAAGTAGATTTTGAAATTGAGGGTAATTGTATTACCGTGTGTGTCGTAATCGTTGAATCATGTGTAATCTATCTGATCAGTGATTATTGTTCTACAAGAAAAATGACTTACACTCATTTCTTCTCTGCTGGGATCATGAGTGTTAGTGTCCATCTTTCCACTTTGTCAGAACTCAGAAGAATTAGTATAGTATTCAACGGGTTAATGAATAAATACGAGTTTATGTGAATATAATGGATGAGAGGTTGTGACAAACGATCAGAAAGATGAGAGAAAAGGAAATGAGGAAAAGAGAAGATGGAGGTAATGTCAGAATGGAGAATAAGGAAGCATAGAAAAATGGAGTTGCACGATTTTCCAAAGTCCGAAGAGTCACATGAGGTTACTTCCTTTCACCTTGGTCGAGAGCAGAGAAGCAGAGGACAGATAGCAGCAACACGCATCGGTTTGAGAGGAAGAGAGGAAGATCAACGAGAGGAGATGAGAGGGTGAAACGAAGGCTGGTGGATCAGGTCGATGACTCGTACATGGTGTATGATGCACCTATTGGGGTCTTGGGGGTCGATTAGTGATGTTGAAGGGAACAGGACGATGGCCGTCAGCTGGACAGTTCTTCGAAGAAGGCATCGAACTTGTCTCGCCTTCGTGTCAGTTGATCTCGTCTAAGATCTAAGATGGAGGTACCGACATATGACAAACTCGGTAGTCAGCGGGCATGGGTTGACCATGGATCACCTTGAATTAAGTAACAAGAATTGGGACTTGGTGTTACTTAATTGACATCATTATTATTTGGAGGATTGCACAAACTCGTCTTGAAGCGCTTAGACGGATAAGATAGGCGAGCAAGATACCTTGAGCTGCAGGCCTATTTCTTCAGAAACGCCGAGACTTCCCTTCCGACCTTCTCCACCGTTCCGTCCCCTCAAGCTACGTATACTAACTCCACCATCATGCAAGTTATCCGCTCTATCACCCCGGCTCGTCTCATCGTTTCTCGCACAACCGTAGTGAGTTCCACTTCAACCATCTCATACCCTTCTTTGTCTATCCCATCTCTTACCTATGAGCCATCCGACAGGTGGAGGACAAGAGTTAACTTATAACCCTCGGACTACTCATCTTCGACCAAGGAGCGTAAGAATGGACATATGGAGTCTGTAAGGGAATCCTGCTGACAGTAGCCAATGATCACTCGGTACTACTCTCCCAACAGTAGGCAAGAAGGAGCTACCGCTTCTTCCACTGGTTTCCGGTCAGTTCTAATTTCATCTAGCTAAGAACACGACTTTCGTCACGGACCCATCCGTCAACTCAGATCATTTGGAGGAAATGGTAGTACAAGTGTTCGGAAATTCGCTGACACAACAGCAAGCGCGAGGAAGCAGCGGAAAATGAGTATATCAGGAAGAAAGAATTGGCTGAACTTGAAGCTCTCAAGAAACAAGCCGAAGAACTCAATGCTAAGGTTGTGAGTGGATTGCAGCTCTGTTTTTTTCGGTTGACGTGTGCTGACTAGCGTAGGCTGCTGCTGAAAAGAAGGTCGGGGGGCAAAAGTAGAGGTAGCCAACTGGGACAACCGACTGCTTGAAGTTTGAACAAGAAGCAAGTACGGGAATCGAGAGGGATTGTTAATGCATCTGGGTTGAAAGAAGCATCATCATGTATGCTGCATAGGAGCACTGCTGTCACCTCATATGATGTTCGTATATAGCTATCCTTCAACAGAGAGAAGGTCAAGACATAGGGGAGGTTATGTGAATACCCGTGATGCGGAAGGGCCAAGGCGGGGCAGGGCAGGAGGGGCCCGTCTCAGTTGTGAAAAAGTGACGTATCACCCACCATCGTTTGTCTCGTTTTTCCATCTCTTCCCTCAATACCCTCACCCTTCCTCTTCCATACTTCATCATCGATCAATCAGGGTACTCCTATTCTCGATTATCAACCTGGACTTCTTCGAGGATTCTTGTAAGACGGCACGAACGGACTGCATGCACCCATCCGAACTATATCCACCATCCTCACCGTCACTCAACCACAAGTCGCCGCTTTGATGTGCACCAGTCATGGACAGAGGTTGGCGAGGTAGAGCAGGCGACCCCAATGGATCACGAATACCTGTAAGCGGACCCCGTTCTTCCACTCTTTCATCTCTCTTTTTGTCATTGTGTTATTCTGTGCTGACACTTCCTATGCAGGCGAATACCAACGCTAGTGAGTTAATCCGTTTTGCGACTCGCCTCCAGGACTGACTTTGAGCTTCACGAAAGAAAAAGAAGACCAAAACCCCAACTCCCAGTCGATCATATGGTCCGATACCTGAACCGTTCTTGGCTCTTGCTCCTTCTCCCGTCACATCCCGTCCTTCCTCAGAGCTATATGCTGCGCCTGTAGCTTCTAGCTCAACTCTCGTTCTTCCCTCCACTTACACTCGTCCAGGTCAGAACTCTTCTCCAGGTCCTTCTACTCAAGTCCTGCGCCCGCTGGAAGGTACAAGTAGACGTCATGCTGCCGGATTACTTTCACCTCCTGCCATTATGCCTGGTAATCAGCCGTCTGGACTGCAAGTCCCACCAACTTGTCAGCGTCGTCGTTCTGCCGAAAGAGTAGGTAGGCCCATCGGTTGGGGCGAAGGCAGAGGAAGAAGTGAAGAGTATCTCAGAGATGTGATGTCTGGTAATCATAGTAATACTTCTTTGGGACAACTGGGACAAATAGTCGAGAATGACAATCAAGCTTCCGCGCCTGCGCAGAGGAGAAGAAGGAGGATCGTCAGGGATGACGGAGGATTGTCGAGGAGACCGACTGTCACTTCGAGAGAGGAAGGACGTGCCATAGGATTGGCAAGAGGTGCAAGTATGAGAAGGTTCAATGTATGGGACGGTGAGTAATTTTTTTTATGAAGCAGGGGCGAACGTTGCAGTAGCTGATAAAGTCAGATGTACCAGAAGCTGAAGATCCACCTCCGCCTTTTCCTTTTCCTACGACTTCGACGAATCGGTTACCCCCTACCTTCTCCCCTGAAGAGCCACCAATCACCGAGCCATCTACTTCGACCTCGGTCGCTCAGCCTGACCCGACTACAGCAGAACGCCCACGATCACCGCCACCTTCGTTCGAACAAGCCATCCGCGAGGCGTCACCATCAGCAGTTCCCAACCTGCCGCTTACAACATCTACACAAGAGGACGAAGGGTGCGTCAGTACTTTAGTCAATGAGACTTCGCCGAATCTTCCTTCTGGCCCACCTGAATTGATAGTCTCCCAGGTTGATGACAGCCAAGCTTCTAGTCGCTCCTCGTCACCGGAGTCGGAATATCTCTCAGCGATTGGATCAGTCACTGCGTTGAGTCTGGATGATGTCCCCATGACAGTAGAGGAGAGGGAAGATAGAAAATTATGGAATGCCGACATCCTGGCGGGGTACACTTTGGAAGAAAGGGTGTTCAGGGAGATGGCAAGACGGAGGTCGGTGGAAGATGCCAGTATGCCCCGTGGTGAACATGGCAGTCCTCCATTACCCGTTGCTCAGGCAGATAGGTCTGGACAGGCTACACCAATGCCCCCGACAACGGACCAGCCACAGGCGGTGGATGAGCGGGAAGAGCTTGAGCGACCGTCGACGCAGACATCGGCGTCGCCAGGTACTTCTTCCAGCCCAGCAGGTCCTGCAAATGACTCGCCTGAACCACCTGCCGTCGCCGTCAACGACGATATGCTACCCGTTTCATCTCCACCTGAGGCCCACTCCCAAGATGTAGTCCGGGCACATGGGCCCGAGTCCATCCCTCTTACTTCTTCGTCTACCACACCCACACCCACACCCTTACCCACACATCAGATCTCAACTCCCGAGCTGAGTCTCCCCGACCTGCCCTCACCCTTGGTGATCACTCCCACGAGTTTTGTGCTTCCTCGACGGCCTCTCTTCTCCACCGCTGGCTCTGAGGTCTCACCTAATATCACACAAAATCAGCTTCCACTTTCACATCTTGGTCAGACCAGTGACAGCTCATCTCAGCTCTTTGAGCCATCTCGGGATGTACCTCACAGCACTTCGTCAGCTCGATCTTCATCAGCTGCCCGACCCTTTGCTTCCGATGGACAAGTCGTGGGCATACGTCTCATCTACGATCGCCCACGTCCTGCTGAGTCGAGCAAAAGCGTTGTCCGGGAACCGACGTTACCTCCTCATAGGGAAGCAGCGATGAAGCGTCGAAATTTGCCTTTGGGACCTTTTCGACCATCTGACACTCCGCTCGATTCTTCCGATGAGGTCAATGGCGAAACCTCATCTACTCGGGGACCTCTTATCGACTTTTCCGATACGCAACAGGAGACTTCGATGGTGCATGATCCCTCGCTCGTCGGACTAGCCTCTTCGTCTCTTGACCTCTTACACCTTCTCGAGGACGATCGACCATCTGGCGTAGCTACATCGTCCCATCTGCAGGAACCACCATCCGTGTCCTCTAGGATTGCAGGTAAACGTCGTCCACCTCCACCCCCGCCGCTCCGTACGAATCGTTCTGAAGAAGTACCAGTGACTCGAAAACCATCAATCATCTCCACCGCTGATTCACCTATCACTCCTCGTCCCGTTCAGAAATCCACACCATCCCCACAAACCTCTTCCATTGCAGGTGCCCCGACTCTTCCGACTCGTCGACCTCCTCCTCAACCTCCCAGACCTTCAGATTCCCATTCAGGTACCTCTCGTCCACCCGCACCATCTCCACCACCGGCTTTTGTACCACGTCCTCAACTTCACTCGGCCATTTCGGGTACATCATCCGTTTCTGCTCTTTCGGATAAACCCTCAACTCCAAAGTTGCCTATCACGTGGACGAGTTCAAATCCGTTAACAAGAAGTTTGGCTCGTCCGAAAGGTCCACGTCCTCCACCCGTCCCACCAAGACCTAGAGGTTGGAATAGATCAGTGGTCGTACAAGGTGATCAACCGTCATCATCGGAAGAAACGGTGAGTCCTGATAGACGACGACCCTTGGGTGATAGGACCAATTCAGAGAATCCCTTGGGAAGTACTGGGGAATTCTCACCGAGTTTACCTAGATCAAGGAGTGAGATGAACATACCTGCTAGAGGTGTTAGAAGTGGATCTATGGAGTATACGGATCTGGATGTTTTCGTAGCGAGACTGGAAGGTAGTGGGAGAGAGTATGAGGTGAGTTTATATACAAGTGTTTGATTCTTCCCTTTTGACCTCTCTTCTTCTCACGTCGTCACAGCTGTCATCATCGACGTCAAGCTGAATTTGCGCATTTTCTACTCGTAGTGTTCTCCCCCCTTCGTTAGTATGCTCGTTCGATCTTGATATCTTTCTGTAAGACGTGCATCAGGCTAACGGTCTAGGGCTTTTCACAAATCATAAACTTCCTTGGACCCGCAATGAAACCCGAAGCCACCCCTGAAGCTCTTTCCACACTCTTACCAGGTCTCATCAATGTCGATTCTCGTCGTATTACCCGAGAAGGCAAGGTCAAATTGAAACTGTCTCTTTTAGGTGCAAGAGTATCTAAATGTCCTATTTGTCTTGCACAGTTTAGGGCCAATGAGAAAGGTGTCTTGTTACCTTTATGTGGACATGTAGCTCATGAGACGTGTGCAGAGAGATGGTTTAGGGAAGATGACCGATGTTTTGTTTGTCGACAGAAATTGAAGGAAGAGGGGGAGATATGAGGGGGGTGGTCAGTCGTTTCGTCGTTCGCAAGCTATCGCCTCGTCATCAACAAATAATCCATGTTAAGAATGAACAAGACACCACGACTAGATCTTCCCCGTCCCTCTCCTTGATGGTGAGGAAGATGACCTGTTTCATGATGGATGTCTTCGGGAATATGATGAATTGATTTCGAATTCGGTGTTGGGAGTTGAACGACGCGATGGACGGTACGAGAATTGACTGGATTTTGTATCTATCGGAAGTAATGTAGCATGGGTGATGTATCATGAAATGCCAAATTTTGATCGTCTTTCAACGTCTTCCCATTCTCATATACAGTAACAACCATTTGTCGCGCATGGTGGGCGCATGACGAATGGACCCAAAAGCAAAAAGCGAATGGACCCAAAAGAAAACAGAAATGGACGGTGCATAATCGTCAAATCGTAAAACATACAGTCAATCCTCCTTCGGACCGATATCAATTCATCGTTTCTGTCATTCCATCGGTAAACTCGGATCATTGGGCAAGAATGGATCTGACGAAAGAATGATAATTGATTTGACCGTCCCTGAACGTCAACCATCCGTCAACTTCTCGGTTCACAATTGACCCATTTCCCTTAAATCCCCAAACAGTTTCAAACTAAACATACGCTCTCCACGTTTAGATTTTGTTGCACGACTTTCAGCAAATTGAGAAACACCAGCTCACTACTGACGAGTAGAGACAGGTATGACGAGACTCACTGTACGGGAAACCCTTTGAGAAGTTCATCAACTTCTTCATCTGACATTTTTTCACCGAGTTGAGTGAGGACGTAACGTAATTCACCAGCACCGATGAATCCGTTTCCCGCTTTATCGAACACTTGGAAACCTTTGATAAATTCGTCTGTTTTGTCAATTCTTACCTGAACTTGGGTGGTATCATATCATAGATCTTGAGGTATGATCCTCTTGCGACTTGAAAGTTCGTGAATTTGTTGAGATTCACAGGTCAAAAAATGAGTGATGTTGAGATTCACAAGTCGAAGAATGAGTGATGTTGAGATTCACAAGTCGAAGAATGAGTGATTGAGAAAATGAAAGATAGGTAAGAAACCGAAGTTTGAATACGTAGACGGTAGAGAAGGTTAAGACTGATGATTGATGACTGATAACTAACCCGCTGTACCGGCTGGTTTCCATCCGTCTGGTCTATTCAAAACCTGAAGAAATTGATCATATCCAACTACGAACATCAACCCATACTTCTTCTCTACTCGGTGATCAGAGTCTAAACTCACATGTCGCCCCAACTTGCCTTTCCAATTCCGTCACCTCGGCCTGAGTGGGGTTTTGACCTAAAGATCTGAGAAGTTCTCCTAATGATTCCCTTGGCACTTGACCGGTACCTTTTTTATCGAATAAAGCGAAAGCTTCTCGGTATTCTGACTATCAGCAAGGACTCCATGTATCCCATGGAGTGATGTCTGTGACAATAGAGCACGGGCCTTCAGAAAGGAGATGAGCTGACCTGCGTTACTGGCCTATATTGTTAGTTTGCATGTTGTGGATACAGAGTCAACTCACCATTGTGAGATTCCCGTGAAGATTTCAGAAGGGATAGATGCTAACTGTCAAGTGAAAAGAAAGGGTGTATATGATGCGATGCACAGTAATTTAAGTAGTTCAATGACGACGGTTGACGGGGTTTAGTATCTGAGTACGCAAGTTGGTACCCCGACGCGTCTTTGTCTCTTGATTGAATTTATTTATTTATTTACTCTATATTTATCCTGAAATTCCTTAAATGACTTTTTTCCCCTCCCTTCTTCCCCCTTTTTCTCATCTTTGACATTCTCCTTCAATCACATCGTCCGACCATCTGGTCACATACACTTCACTCAAGTTATCATAAAATCACCCATCCTCAGTCTTTCTTTCCCTTTCGTGTCATTCGAACATTAAGGAGAAAGATCAATTGTCTCTTACAAGACTGAATCAAGTCAATTCGCCACCCATCCACAAAAAAACAAGATAATGACAAACCCCCCTGTCAACAATGTCAACGGTACTAATGCAAGTACCAATGGCACTACTGGTTTAGAGAAGAAATTTAGTGAGTCTTCTTCATTCTCACTGTTGATTGATATGTGTTGACATTCGTTTCCAGATTCGATTGCTCTTAATCCCACGCGACCAGCTTATGTCCCGCCGCACCTTCGCAACGCACCTGCTCAACCAGCAGCGAATTTCGTACCTACTTCCAACGGATATCAAACTGGTCCTGCTGGTCTTCCTACTCCTGCGGCAACCCCTCCCACCCGTGGGGCTTACATCCCACCTGCAAGGGTCTCCGCTGGACCTCCCGAAGACGGAGGTTGGGGTGCTCCCAGACGTCCTGTCGAAAGAAGCTTCGGTTCCGGTCCTCCTGGATTCGGATCTTGGAAAAATGGTCATGTTATAGGTCCACGTAACCCTCGTCTTGAGGCTGAACTCTTTGGCGTAGAGGGTGATGGTGTTCATCAAGCCACTGGTATAAACTTTGATAAATATGCCGATATTCCCGTCGAGGCTACCGGTCAAGGTGTTCCTGAACCTGTGTTGGAATTCACCAACCCGCCTATTGATCCTGTTCTTCTTGAGAACATCCGTTTAGCTCGTTATACCACCCCCACCCCCGTTCAGAAATACTCGATTCCCATCGTTGCGAATGGTCGTGACCTCATGGCCTGTGCCCAGACGGGTTCAGGTAAAACAGGTGGTTTCCTCTTTCCCATTTTGTCCGCCATGTACGCCGTCGGACCTTCTGCTCCTCCCCCCGACAATTTCGGTTACGGAAGGAAAAAGTCCTATCCTACCGCTTTGATCCTCGCTCCCACTCGTGAGCTCGTATCCCAAATCCACGACGAAGCTCGTAAATTCGCATACCGTTCTTGGGTCCGACCCGCGGTCGTTTATGGTGGTGCCGATATCGGTCAACAGATCCGTGCTCTCGACAGGGGTTGCGACATGCTCTCCGCCACACCCGGTCGTCTTGTCGATCTCATCGAACGTGGAAAGATTTCTCTTTCCAACATCAAGTATCTCGTACTTGACGAAGCTGATCGAATGCTTGATATGGGTTTCGAACCTCAGATCCGTCGTATCGTTGAAGGTGAAGATATGCCCGGTGTCATGCAACGTCAAACACTCATGTTCTCGGCTACTTTCCCCAAAGAGATTCAATTACTCGCTCGTACTTTCCTTAAAGAATATATATTCCTCTCTGTAGGACGTGTGGGTTCCACTTCGGAAAACATCACTCAGCGCGTCGAATATGTCGATGACCACGACAAGCGCTCTCTTCTCCTCGACTTACTCCTTGCTGAAGAATCTGGCGGTTTGGTATTGGTCTTCGTTGAAACGAAACGCATGGCCGATAACCTATGCGACTTCCTTTGTGCTCAACGTCACAATGCTACCTCTATTCACGGAGATCGAACTCAGCGTGAACGTGAAGCTGCTCTGCTAGCTTTTAGGACTGGTCGTGCTCCGATCCTCGTGGCTACAGCCGTCGCTGCTCGTGGTTTGGATATTCCCAATGTCACTCATGTCATCCTTTACGACCTTCCTACCGACGTTGCCGAATACACTCATCGTATCGGTCGTACCGGTCGTGCTGGTAACACCGGAACTTCCACAGCTTTCTTCAACCGTAACAATCTGAACCTCGCTCGTGACCTTGTCGACCTCCTCACTGAAGCGCATCAGACTGTCCCGCAGTTCCTGATCGACATATCTTCGGAACGTTCTTTCGGCTTCTCTAGCCGCCCCGCACGTGGTCGCGGTGGTGGACGCGGTGGAGGTAGAGACGCCCGTGCTGGCGGTGGAGGTGGAGGTGGATATGGTGCTGGAGCCAGAAACGGAGGAGGAGGTGGTGGTTATGGAGGTGGCGGTTATGGCGGTGGTGGTGGTGGTGGTTTTGGTGGATACGGCGGTGCTGCTGCTGGTGGTTTCACTCCTGCTCCCGCCAGTACTAGCTGGTGGTGATTCACCTTTTTATGTCAAAGATCCGATTCCCCCTCCCTCCCTCCCTCCATCCCTTCTGTCCCCTCTCTTTCTTTTGCTTTTCCTTCACAATTCCGTCTCCTCCCCGCTTCCATCACTCGACATCGTCTCGTCCTATCCCATTTCCCAACTTTCTGTCTAGACTCATGATTCGATACTCGACTCGTTTCCGTTCCAAGTCTTCCCGTATTTCCCCCCACAAGACAGCGCAAGAAATCATCGTCTCCTCACTCCCGTGTCCACCCCCTTTTTTTCGACATGGACGATTTTAGAGACTACACGAGCACTGTAACAATATACCCTGCATTCATCATTGACAAGAGCATGGACCGTCTGGGCATTTATTCGCGGCTTTACATCAACACAATAGAGATGAAAAGGGCGCTATAGAAATGCCATGGATGGCAAGCAATGAACGATTAGGATAGAAAAGGAGGTTTTCCCCCCATCATGGTCGATGAATTTTAGCATTTAGACGACAATAGGGGACAGTTCTTTTCAAGTCCTGGTTTTTCTAAACAACGATGAATGCATTGAATGTGCATATGAAATGAGTTTGGATATCAGTGCTGATAAGTTACTTGTTTTTACGAACAACTTGTCATCTTCAATGTGACCATCTGCACTGACTATACGATCAGTTATCATCATCATTGCCGTGACAATGGACTCGTCGCTACGCGCTAGAAGATGGAATTGAGGTCGGTGATGGTGAATTGGTTGACCACGACCGAACAAATGACGCAATGCCGGATGACCGGTAGTATGACAAACCGGTAACGATCTCTTCACCACCACTATATAACCAAGAACATTGGTTCGTCTTCTCTTTACTACGATCTATCAACCCTTTCACATTTTGCGACAAGCAGAACTAGAATTATCATAACATGTCTCCACAAATCACAGTTTCTCTAGGTGAAGAGATCTTAGCTTCAGCTCCTAAAGATCAGACGGAGACTGTTGAAGGCAAGTGAGTGTCAATCGTTCTTTATCATTCCATCTCTATTACAATCGCTCTCTTGAGATTCAACACTCAAACATGTTCATACCTATCTCAATCACTATCCTCAACATACCGGTAATCCCAAATGTATGATTGAGTATCCCTCAGCTCTATGTCAATTCAGATTTGATGATATTTATGATTTGACACTTGGATCATTGTACTAGTTTGAATGATGGTCCAGAGTTTCGTTGAATCATTGTTAAATTCATAATGATACTTGGCGAATCTAATTGACTCCAGTTATTATTTCAAAGAAGAAGCAGTGAAAGATAAATCTAAATTCAAACCTTCAAAGACGGAAAGTACTTGTCCTTGGAAGGGTGAGTCTTCCTGCTTATCACGTTGCATACTTTGTCCCTTCTCTACCCTTAGGTTCTCTTCAGATACTGCATATCCCCTGAAATCTCTGAGATGATCCTCCGTGTCATGATATCAATGTATCATATGATCACCAGTCTCATATTAGCAATGTCTCTTGTGATCTCCCCTCACATGTTTCTGTTTCATTCACCTTGTCGTCTCATGTTTCCGTCTCATACGCCTTATCGTCTCATGATCCGGGCTCAAACACGGACATCACTCATTTTCAGGTCTCGCAAAATACTACGACTACGTCAATTCCGATGGAAAAGTGTACAAGGATTTAGTTTGGTATGTCATCTTCCATCCCTCCCTTCCCACCTCTTTGTCTCAAATGTCTTGGGTGAATATTCTACTTCGATAATTTGACATTTCTTCCTCTTCCCCACATCGCATTTTGACAAACCTCTTACCAGATGTTCGAAATGGTATACTGTACACATTCAGAACGAGGCTGAAACACAGGTATTATCCCAACCCCAAGAAAGGCGCAGAGATGGTAGACGGTCGTTGGGCTTTTTACAAGTCTAAACATCCCGATCTTCACATCAGCTGATCAACGGACCTAGATGGTGACGAGTCACCGCGAACGTATGACGGAGAATGTATGTAGCACTGATTGTATGAAATGTTGAAGGTGGAAACAGGACTCGCACATACATACTTCTATCGCGATCGTTGTGACCGATGCTTGGTTGTCGCTGACGCCTCGGATTTGACAGCAAACACTTAACTATGAGAATATGAGGTTCGAGTTGACATGAAACAGGTTACGGGCTCTTGAGAGATAGTGCAAGACATATATCACTTGGAAAGTGAACACTACTCCTAGCCAGTACTCGTACTCTTACTGCAGCCATGTAGGCTGTAAGTTAGGCAAGTTGGCTCTGACATTTACGGTGTCCGAGTCTAGGTAACTAGTCGATCGTTGAGGACTCGGGGCCGCGGGGCCAAAACATGTGTTTCAGTTTCGGATGAAACGCTGCGTCCAAGCAATGCGCCCTGCGCCCCGCGCCCCTACTATGCAGCCTACACGGATCACTCAGAAACCAGCCTTGGGTCTAGACCCATTTTCGAACGCAGCAAGTACCCTTCCACTTTTCACTATGGTGCGATCCATGTTCATATCCGTTGTTTCTGACATCGGCCAGAACGATTCATCACCTATGACCGAGGGAGATTAAGACACTCAGTCAGATTCGACCGACGGAAAGAACACAAAGTGAGTCATCTTATGAAAGTCGTCATCATGACCGTCGGCCGTCGGTCTCCTTCTGGCACAAAGGAAGAAGACGCACTTCAGATCTTTTCAGATCTCTTCAGATCTATCTTGTTCCCTGATTGTTTAGCTCCTTTGGAAAAAGACCATGCCCGGACCTCTTCCAGGCGTGAAAGCAGAGGACTAGTCAGAAAATTTTGCCGCCGGAATACGCATGGGGCAAAAAAGGAAGAAAAAAACTTAGTCATCGGCGATCGACAGGTTTGTGCGTCACCGATCTCCATCACCGAGCACACCGACTCAACCTCGATTTTTCAATGATCTAGGCCCGTCACCGCATGCGCCAAAGCACCACCCCCCTTAAGATGTCTCGTTGTAAAGATGTATTCAAATATGTAAATAGTACGGAGGTAGATTACTCGTATTTCTTATCAAAGTTCACTTTGTTCAATCTTCCCCGTCTTCCCGAGCTAAAGTATCATACACCTTTCCTTGTCCGGGGAGATCGAAAAGGAAAAAAGCTTGAGAACGTCTGTTCTGATTTGAGACCGACGGCCGACGACCGTCGGTCAACTACATAGTAATCTTTGTCTCCGCTCCTTTCACCCATCACAACACCGAGTACAGTACGGTACACCGGTACACCGAGTCGGTCAGAGCAGATATATATAACACGTCTCTCAAATTTAGCGGTGATTCAATAGGTCTCTTCCCTCTTCCCTCTACCTTCTTTTCCTATCAAGTACTTCATCCTTCCACTTATTCGCCACCAGTGGTCACATCATTTCTGAACTATCGTTCAAGACTAAGATCATAGTGTCGACTCGACGGATCCACGTCGAATCAACTTTAGACCCACGTTGTCGATACACGTTCTCTATAATATCATCCATCGACACCCCCTTCAACACAACATTTCACAAATAATCAAACATAACAAGAACAAGAACAATGGCTCAAATCAGCGAAAAACAATTGGAAGAAGGTCGTAGACCTTCTGGACCTACACTTTCCTCTCGTTCTCCCACAATCTCGGACGATGTACCTTCCGGAGCGAATGATCCCGCCGCTACTCTCACCGACCTGAATGGACCGAACGAAGGGAAATTAACGGAACCTGAATGGGCGGTTCAAAGCACACTTGGTGTCACGGAGAAAGATTGGAAGCAGAAGGAAAACCTCATCATATGGCTGATACGCTCTATCGAGATTGCCAGCTG